AATCTGTTTACCTTGTATATGAATTGTGTATCTTGACTTAGACTGTATCCTTCGTCTGAATAAATATTCAGACTGTAAGTCACCTATTGTAAAATGTGGTGTTGTATAAATGTTACAAATAAGTTTGTTTAATGATAAAATGATTACCTTATAAAGAACTTACAATATTATGTTTTCGTATATTGTCCTCTTACTGAAGATATTCATAAAATGTACAGACGCTTCTTGTAGCGAAGCCATTGATTAGGTCAAGCCATTTTGGCAATGCCAATTCTCACGATAAACGAGATTTAGCCAGTGACGTCAGTCTATTTGTAAACAAATAACACGTGGAACATTACGGAAGCGTATTGATAAATTCCATTTGTGCAGGAATTTATTAGATCTAGTCATTTATTATCATTATCCCGATTAATTTTCTTCATTTATAGTAAATAGAGCGGAAATATTCATGAAGAAGGCCGAGGTAATCAAGTGGTCAAGTGTTGTCAAATTTCAAAAATTTGCATATCTCGTTTGGATCTCGTGAACTCAAACGTCCTTGACATTGATTTCGCGATCTACTTATGAACACATCCTGAAATTTTGGTGAGTCTGAACATTTCATTATTTTATATCAACTTGTACCCGCCTTATACAAATATTTTTGCTTCTAGTTTAAGATGAACATCTCTTCAACATATTCACCAATTTTCAAGGTGAACATTCTTGTAATAAACGAGAAATTAATGTGCAAAAAATATCACCGCGATTTCCACAGGAAATATATCAATCATAACAGACCGAATATTATATTCGGTCTGTTGGATACATACTAATCTTGACTAATGAAACATGTCAAAGTTAATTCACACATAAACGCATTTTTCCAAACTATGAATTGGAGGTGCATGGATCCCCAAAGCTAGCATGAAGAGTGCGAAGTGAAGCTAATTTTTGAAAGTTTCAAGGAGTAGCCTTGCAACAGTCACACATTTGCAAGAGTCTAAAATTTCCACAAATCATCTTACCTTTCCCAGGAACAACGAAGGAGCATGAAAATGTGCACTTCTTGCATTGTTAGAGTATAATAAACCTCAAACCATTGTAAATTCCAAATATTTCATGTCCACATTTTGTTTGCTGGAACTACTTCTAGACTTCCTGATTAATCCTCATGCAAGTTTTGTGACTACACCAAGTGGCATGGATTATCACTTGTATGTTTTATCTATTACAGTGTAATTATCATGATAGATACATGATAGAGGCTTTATGAATGATAAGCAATGGAAACATGAATGAAGATAACTCTTGACTAAAAAATAGTTCCAGGAAACAACATGGTGGACATGAAATATTTAGAATTCACAATGGTTTGAGCTTTATTATACTCTAACAATGCAAGAAGTACACATTTTCGTGCTCCTTCGTTGTTCCTTGGTAAGGTAAGATGATTTGTGAAAATTTTAGACTCTTGCAAATGTGTGACTGTTGCAAGGCTACTCCTTGAAACTTTCAAAAATTAGCCTCACTTCGCACTCTTCATGCTAGCTTTGGGGATCCATGCACCTCCAATTCATAGTTTGGAAAAATGCGTTTATGTGTGATGCTAACTTTGACATGTTTCATTAGTCAAGATACACAATTCATATACAAGGTAAACAGATTTTAAAAACATGTGTCTTTATCACAGTCAGAGAGAATGTTTCTGGCGAAATTCTGGGACTTCAAATACTTTTAAGTTGGGAAACCGGAAGTCCTTACCTTTTTTAATTCCCGAATCTCTCCGAAATTAGCTCATCTTGGTGACTGTAAATTGCACAGCTGTATTCAATGGAGTCTTGTCATATTCGATCAGCCTCAATTTTAAAGTGTATATTTTATTTTCAACGTGATTTCATCGTTTTTTGTCGACTGGTAAGAAAACGCCGGGCAAATGGCAAGATGGATGACTTTTGACCTGACCTTGACCGATGGTGATCACGTCATCAATATTACCAAGATGGCGGTTTCAAAATTTTCTAAAATCGCTTCAAATAATATTATGTTAATTCCTAGCGAGTAAAGATATCTCTTAGTTTGCTATTTCACAATAAGATAACGAAATGTGTAAGGAATTCGTATTTATCAATTAAAACATCACATCGACATTTGGTATTCGTAAACTAGACGATGAAGATAACGACCTCGAAAAAAAACTAAAGAGCGAGTATGGGATTCGAACCCGGGCATCCAGCGTGCTAAGCGAGGATTCTCCCCCTAGACCACCGATATATTACATATGGTATTGGGATTTAAACGCTACTTATTTTGAATGCTATGATTCGGAAGTGACGTCACGTTCTTCACGTTTTGTTTGAGAGCGAGAACGAGACGTGTCAGAAGCCCGGCTTTTTTGTCAGTCGACCTGTTCAAAGTACATTTAGTTATAATTATCGCTTTCCAGAACAATTTAGGAAACAATATTTTCTATCTACGTCGATTACAAAGCATCTAAGGTACGTAAATTTATATGAACAACTGAGTCAATAGGGATAAATAGCCCAACGAGAGTCGGCGGTCTTAAAAAATACTTGGATCTGGATGCCAGTCCTGGTATAAATATAGTTCCAGGGCAATTCGAAGAACGTATTAGATGTCCGTGGTCTTTATCAAAAAAATATGGCAGTCATTTTTTGTACTTTTTATTAATATAGCGTCGCCTTAAAAACACTGATTAACATGGCGACAGTTGAAGCAGGCGTAAGTCTTGCAATAGATAGCATGTGAACAATTCTTATAGAAAAATAATACATTATTGTAAAAATCTTTTGAGATGTTTAGAAAATCGTAAAGGCTAGAGTACCGACAATTGTCGGTACTCTAGACTCTGATGTGGTGGCACGCTAGAGGACCGACAAATAAATTGTCGGTACGGGAGATATGCTGTGTTTACACGCTAGAACACCGACAAATATTGATTTTCGAATTTTCTGGCGCATGCGCAATGCGCGGGGGGATATTTCAGATATCATACGGATATTTTGGGAACAAGTGCAAAACCCGGGGAGGGCATTAGCCCCGGTTACGCGGGGATTACCAAACCCAGGTCAAAAATGGTAGCCCGGGAACAGGGAATGGTAGTAAACGTTGAAAGGCCCAATAAAAAACATGAACAAGTAAGACGTTAGAGAGCTATTAATGCAGAGTAAACGCCTATACATATTCTTAACAGATAGGATATTTCTCCTGAGCCGATCAGGCGTAGAAAGGGGCATTTGCTACCCATTAGATAGAAGAAAATAGCTAGAATGTTTTTTTGAAGCTTATGGTATGAGGTTCCATATCCATCCGCCAAAAGGTATATAGTCCATTTAAAAACCTGTGGTATCGTTCTAAATAATTACCCATAGTTGGCTTCTAGGGTACCTAGTATGCCACTATTTGGTGTCAAAATAAAGAGGAGTTCAACTTTCATTTGAATTACGAAAATAGCGATGTAGGTCAAAATAGTTCCGAACGTGAGCATGTTTACTACGTGTTTGCCCGTCATATCAGAATTGAGGAAGTGGTAGCAAACGCGAGTTACAATAAACGGACGCTGATATCTCAAAAAGTAACCTGACTTCCTATAATTTGATGTAGGTCAATCGAACCCCTATATGGACAGTTGAAGTTTGTAGGACAATTTTGATGGAAGTTGAATCAATTTTTGTCGAAATAAATTATGGTTCACTACAAGTTAATGCCTGTACGATTCCATACTGGAAAAGAAGCACTATGTCCCCCCTCAAAAGAAAAAAAGTAGGTCTTGCCGGGATTCGAACTCGGGACCGAATGTGTTCGAGTCGTGCTCGCTAACCACTAGACTACCAGTGATGTGGTTATTTCTGAGTGTAAAAGTAGTGGATTTATTTATGAAATTGTCGGCTCTCTAGCAAAAACACGTAGCAGCCACTTGCGTACCGACAATTGTCGGTTCTCTATCTGGCACTACTAGTTGACGATAGAGTGCCGACAATTGTCGGTACCCCAGCAAATACCCCTGGACAGTCTCCAGTACCGACAATTGTCGGTCCTGGAGCCACTCCGTTAGAAAATAGACATGACAAGGAATGACATGAGCCAAAAGATATGCTTGCTATATATGAAGGCATGTGTGCAATTCCTTACTTTTTTCAGGAAAGTATCATTACATTGTCTTCAATAATAGTAACATAGGCAACAGAATATAAGAGGTAGAGGTGACTTACTCATGCCCAAAATGCAATAGACAAATCTTAGCTGTGGCAGCGTGTTTCCAAAAATCCAAGACTGACTGACGACCAGTCGTTATCTTTCAAGGCCAGTCTATAAAACAGATCTAAAAACAATATCATTTGTATAAAAAATCTTAACTTATTGTGTTTAATAATCTTATAAATACTATATGTTTATATATTATAAAATGTGATTCAATCAAAAAATTCTTCAATATACCTATACGCGCTAACTTTTAACGTGCGAAATATTCTTATCTCCGCGTTGGAGAGTTCAGTTTCGTGGTACAACTTTCTCAACATCCGGGCACTTTCACATTGGAATAACATTGGCTGTGTTTTTCAATGACGCATTGTGACTTTATTAGAGGTTTATCATGAATTATATTTGCACATACGATAGATATGATCATTATAAAGACATTTGACAAGTTTTTAAAAAATATATTCACCAGAATTGTCAAAATCCTAAGTTTAAAATTCAAGTGACGTCACAGATTTCCCGGAAGTTGCTCAGTTCCCGGTACTTGCTCAGACGCCATAGAAAAAACATTTGAAGCAAATTGAATTTCCATCTTCTTTTCTAATTATTGTCTGAATTATAGAATATTATTATACATATGTACTAATGTTGGATCGGGATAATGCCTATGGCGTTGTGTTTTGCGGACCAATAGAAAATTGTCCATTTTATCGTGTTGCATTGCGGGAAATATTTATGTTAATGACCAGTAATTTCCTAACGCGAATAGGACTATTAATCCTTGTCGTAAACCTTGACGGTAATTTAAATTATTCCCCAAGTCTAAAATGCAGGTAACATAATTTTCATTTTGAGCATGTTTCACCTTATTTCTGACCACAAAATCAGAAAATACATCGACTTATATGTTCCACCTACTGATTGAAAGATGTGTGTGATCGTGTTGCCTTGACGATGATACAAATAACGATCATCAAATCCTCAAAAAAATAAAGTTGCTCAAATTTTTGTAAAAATAAGCACAGCTCATTTCACTGTTTTATTGAGACCCTATCTGTTGCAAGACTAACGCCTGGCGTAACCGTCACAATGTTATTCAGTGTTTTTTAAGTAGCGCAAGGATCCTGCCATGACCGTGGTAATGTTATCGTGAAAGCCTGGTATAACCGCGACAATGCTGTATTATATTGCAATGCCTGCCATGACCGTGACAATGTAATATAGTTCTGCAAGGCTTGGTATGACCGTAACAATGTAATATAGTACTGCAAAGCCTGGCATGACCGTGACAATGTAATATAGTATTGCAAGTTCAGGTATGAGAGTGGTAATGTAGAAATTTACGATTAGGACTGCTATAACCGTGACAATGTGTATTGCAAAGCCTGGCATGACCATGGCAATGTAATATAGTATTGCAAGGCTTGGTATGACCGCCATGGCAATGTGATATAGTATTCCAAGTTCGGGTATGAGAGTGGTGATGTAGAAATTTATGATTGCTATAATTCACCGTGACAATGTGTATTTGAAAACCTGGCATGACCATGACAATGTATTATGGGATCGCAAAGCCTGGTATGACCGTGACAATGTAATATAGTATTGCAAGGCCAGGTATGAGGGTGGTAATGTAGAGATTTAGGCTTAGTTCTACTATGACCGTTATAATGTATTGCAATGACTAGTAAATATGTATGACATTAATGCCAGGAATATCCTTAACAATTTTAAGTGATCCTCATTACAATTAAACAGTTTAATACTATGATCATGGTGTTTAACTACCTTAATCATGTCAAAATCAAAATTACTACTATACATTAATATTCACATTCGCTTATAAACCACAATAAAGGCTACGGTCGCGCCAGGCTTCCACGATAACACTTCCAGGGTCATGACAGGCCTTGCAATAGAATACAGCATTGTCACGGTTATACCAGCCTGTCACGGTTATACCAGGCTTACAAGATAACACTACCACGGTCATGGCTGGATCCTTGCGCTACTTAAAAAACACTGATTAACATGGTGACGGTTGTGGCAGGCGTAAGTCTTGCAATAGATAGCATGTGGTTTTATTTCATCAGTAGAACACCAGAAATAGAGTAGGGGCAATCTGCGCGAGATTCGGTTTTTACTTGGTTCGGTTTTTCATTAAAGGAAGTACTTCATTCCCATGATTCAAAGTGCTTTTCTGCCATCGGTTCGGTTTACTTTTTTAGTAAGTTTGTACAACATACGTCTACAAATCCGGGGCAGGTTGATATTATGTCATTACATTTGTTTTGGATGCATACTTTTTGTTTTGACAATAAACAAAAATATTCCCGCACTATATGGTGCATCATGGGTAGGGACTGCTGTGAAAAAATGAACGTAAGTGACATCTATCTCAAATTAAATGTTCCTATAAGTTATTAATTGCGCATGCGTTATAATAATTTGAACCAATTAAATTGCTGGATTTATTGCGCATGCGCTAAAAACCGAACCAAAAAATGGAATCTCGCGCAGATTGCCTCTAGTGCAGAAATAAGAAATCAGGAGACCATTTTGCAATAATATATATAATTTGACACAGGGGCATTCTGCGCGAGGTTCCATTTTTAGGTTCAGTTTTTCGCACATGCGCCTAAGATCCAGCAAATGATTGGTTCAAATTATTTAAATGCATGCGCAATAACTAGATTAGAACTTACAATTTAAGATAAATGTCACTTACGTTCATTATTTCACAGTAGTCCCTACCCATTATTCATCTTTAATTTCGGGAATGTAATAGTTTAGTATAAAAACAAAAGCATACACAGAACAGAAGTGTAATAACAGAATACGAACTGACCCCCAATTTGTGGACGTTTGATGTACAAATTTAAACCGAACTGATAGCAGAAAACCAATTTGAACCATGGGAAGGAAGTACTTCCATTAATGAAAAACAGAACCAAGTAAAAACCGAACCTCACGCAGATTGCCCCGACTCCAATTTGAAGGGTTTGTAGAAAAAAACGGGTACCGAGTAGTAAATCCTCCATACTGGGTTCAAACTTGGTACCCGATAACCGGTTGAAAATACCAGGTACCCAAAAAAACGAAAAATACAAATATATAACATAATTAGATCATTAGAAAACGCGTAAGATTTGTTTTGAATTTACAAAAATGTATGTAACTTCCTTCAAAATTGAGCTAGAAGCTTCATATAAAAAGCATTTTAAGGTTCTTTTCTTCCTCTATCATCATGGTCATATTTTCATTGGTTATGGGGGGTGCACCCCCTCCTGGCTACGCAGGCCCGTAAGACACTTTTCTCCAAGGAGGGTGCAGTTTTTACTAAAGAGAATATGAAATTGTCAATTTTTGCCGCGTAAATCAAATCGCGTAAGTTAGAGGGGGGTTGGTTACTCCCTATATTGGGGCCATTCAGCCTATTTTGGAGTATCTTCTTGTTTTTAGACTAAATATTGAGTAATTTGGAGAAACACTGGATTAGGGGGAAGGTGCGCTAGAAGGGCATAAATGTTTACATTCAGTGATTTCTGGACACTTTAAGGTGTTTTAATCAATAGAATCAATTTAAAGAAATTCAGATTTTTCAATCATTTTCTTCTTAGGGGAGCGGGGGGGGGGCAGCACAGGAAATTCTACCAATTCAGGATGCTGTCTGATTAAGTCTGAGCACTTTTAATGTGTTTGAGTAAATGAATGCTTTAGTTTTTGGGGTTGGGTGCCAGAAATTTTCATGATTTTATTATGTCACTTGGTGACTGTTTAAGTGTCCATACTGTCCAATTGTTTTGTATGGGGTGTGAGGAGACACTCCTCGTAGAAAAATTTACACTTTTGAGATGCTATTTGGTGCTTTCTGGGCACTTTCAAAGTATATGAGTCAATAAAAAAAATGGGAATTCTTTTGGGGGTGTCAAAGAAGATGAGAGGGTGAAATCTGGGGTGCCAGAGGGGGACCAAGTGGTTGTCCCCCAGAAACATTGACAGGGCTGTAAACTTGGGACCATCTAACATGGGGGTAGGTGTGAATATTTTCAAAACAAATGCGTGATATATACACATATTTTGTACCAAATGCGTGACATAAACGGCAATCGCGTGCAAAGACCGAACGGAATGCCTTCGCTTTTTTTCGCCATTCGGTAATTTACTGTGTCGGCATTTCACAAAAAACGATTTTTAAAAACTTCAACAAAATGCGTGATTTGCGTGATATTTGATCAAACACGCTAAATTGATGTGTGATTTCTATTTTCCCAGCAAATGCGTGACAATCACACCTAATGCGTGAGGGTTGACAGGGTAGCATTGACCATATCAAGGTGCTACTTGCAGGCCTGTCAACTTGGGGACACCTAACATGAGTGACTTGCAAATGTTGAACACCTTTGTTCAAATTTTGGACACCTTGGTCCAAATCTGAACATCTTGGCCACAATTTGAGCACCTTGTTTTCAATTTTATTGCATTTAATCAAATTTTGGAGGGGGGGTAGGTACGAAAATTTCCAATTAACATGCGTGACACATACGGGATTCGCGTGACAAATCCGAACAAATTGCGTTCGGTTTTTTCCGACGTTCGTATTTTTACCGTATCGTCAACATATTTTGAAAAATTTTCTACAGAAATATTTTTGCGTGACAATTACCAGGTAAAATGCGTATTTGCGTGACATTTTCTGTCACGCAAAAAAAACTGGCGTGACTTCAAATTCTTCAGCAAATGCGTGACAAATACGCAAATTGCGGGACAGTTGACTGCCCTGTACTTGATGATGTCTGGGCACTTTAAAAGTGTCTGAGACTATACATAAAATAAATTCAGAACTTTTCCATTATTTTGTGGGGGGTGTGAGGGCTGGCCCACCCCCCCCCCCAGAAAATTTTACAATTTTGAAATGCTTTTTGGTGCTTTCTGGGCATTTTCAAAGTGTATGAGTTAATGAAAAAAAGAATTTCAAAAAAAAATTTCAATAAAAAAAAATGTTCAAATTATTTTGGGGGTGTCAAAGGGGGGTGCGGTAACACCCATCGCACCCCCCCCCATCTGACGGCCCTGCTACACCTATGACATTGTAAGACGTAACAATTTACACTTCAGTGAATGTTTCGTCGAAAATTGGGATACTTAAATTATGATTATCCCATAGAACGAAGTTCGGAGGGATATAGGGAACGCCTCCGTCCGTCCGTCCGTACGTACGTCCGTCCGTCCGTACGTACGTCCGTCTGTCCGTCCATCCGTCTGGGCAATAACTCAAATACCTTTGGCCCGATTTTGTTCATATTTTGTACACATATACCGCAAAATGGCCGCAATTTTAACGTATTTTACTATAACTCGAAAAGTAGTGGAGCGATTTTGTTTATATTTGGTATGTGAATACTAAAAGCATGGCACACTGTCTAATGACACTTTTGGTAGAAGGTGGCCATTTTTAAAAATGGCCCCATTTTAACGTAATTTACTATAACTTGAAAAGTAGTGAAGCGATTTTGTTCATATTTGATTTGTGAATACTCATGAGCCTTGCACACTGTCTCATGACACTTCGGATAGTAGGCGGCCATTTTAAAAAATGGCTGTCATTTTACATTTTTTACTATAACTCGAAAAGTAGTGGAGCGATTTTGTTCATATTTGATATGTGAATACTCTAAGCATGGCACATTGTCTAATAAAACTTTGGGGAGTAGTAAGCCATTTTGAAAAATGGCCACCATTTTTATGTGTGTTATTTTACAAGTACATGTGTGCGATTTTTCAAAAATTTTATAGGTGGCTTCTTAAAAGCACATTATTTCTTCTGATGACAACTTGGCTAGTGAGCAACCATTTTGAAAATGGTGGCCTTTCTGGTGTGTTGTTTTATGATATTTGCTATATATTTCGTTTGTAAAAATGCCAGCCATTTCTGTTCGATGGGATTCGCTACGCTTTGGCGTTGCCGTTGTTCTGGTTAATAATCAAAATCTTACACGTTGCATCATGTAAATTATAACACGTCACCTCTCTGCAAAAGTAACGATAGCTATTTACAGATTTAAATCATAATCAAAACAATTCATGCATCAACATACGAACTATTGAAAATAGAGTAAGATTGATTTGTCATGTTCTTCAAATCGTCTCACAATGTCATAGGCGTAGCCAGGAGGAGGTTCGATGGTGCGATCGCACCCCCCCCATAACCAATGAAAATATTACCATGATGATAAAGGAAGAAAAGAGCCTTAAAATGCTTTTTATTTGAAGCTTCTAGCTCAATTTTGAAGGAAGTTACACACATTTTTGTAAATTCAAAACAAATCTTACACGTTTTCTAATGATCTTATTATGTTATATATTTGCATTCTTCATTTTTTGGGTACCCGGTTTTTTCGACCATGTAACAAGTTTGAACCCAGCATGGAGGATTTACTACCCGGTACCTGGTACCCGGTTTTTTCGACCGTGTAACAAGTTTGAACCCAGCATGGAGGATTTACTACCCGGTACCCGGTTTTTTCTCAGTTGTCAGGTTCCTGTTTATCTAGTTCCAAGACTTCTAGTCCTGAGAGCCTTCAATTAAACCTCATTACATTTCAAAAGTCGAAAAAAATGTGCTAGCCATGAACATATTTCTTACCTCAATCTATTCTAAACACCAGCCTAAATGTTCTCTCAAAGCCAAAAGATAATTCAATTTGAAAAACACAGGAACTTTTTCTGTTTTTCAGTTTTGTTCTCCAAATTGGCTGGTGTGATATTTAAGGCAAGCTATGACATCACAATGGGAATCAAAGCGAGTACGCTAAACTGGTTTGATCAACAGAAACAGCTTTCTTATAGACCTAAAAAATCTCAGGGTTCATTCACCACTGTGCCTCCTAGATACAATCATAGATGGACAGATCTACATTATGCAGCCAGTCATGGGAATCTGAGAAGGATTCAAGAAATAATTCATAAAGGAGGTGAGAAGTAGAGCCTCATTCAGATTATGTTCTACTAAGTGTAGGAGTTATTCATAAACTGGAGATATAACACCCTAATATTGCATCCTATGTATTTGACGCTATTTAAATTGTAGACCTAATTTGGCAATTTTTATCGATCTACCAAAGCTGTCATATTAAAACAGCCATCAAATTATGAGTTTACTTCCAAACAAAATGACTATCCAAATTTGTACATAATTTATTTGACAAATAAGTTGCCTCACTTTTTCTCTTTCTTTTGTACAGGTACATTTAACATTGATAAGCAAGATTACTATGGCAAAACTGCCCTCTATTGGGCTTGCTACAAAGGCCATAGTGACTGCGTCGAAGAATTGCTCAAGTTTGGGGCGAAGATCAACATCGTCTGCAGACATGGTGGGACAGCTTTACATGCAGTAGCAGGACTCTATCCTGAATGTGCTAAATTACTTATTCAGGTATAAATGATCTAAAATTGTTGAGGTAGTTCCACACTTCTGCAGAAGAAGTTGAAAAACATTTTGGGATATGTCATTTCATTGGGTATGTTGACTTAAAAGTTAAAGAATTTTAAATTGTGGAGACAAAGGGTATTGTTTTACATTTTCTCTCTGTTGTTGATGTTAAGCTGTAAATTGACACAATTCTTTGCTTCATATGTGGATGAATTGCCTTGACTGTAGAACAAGTCAAAGTTGTGATTCAGTTTTGAAATGTTTATGCAACCAGTTTTAAGTGAATTCCAGATAAGTAAAAAATCTGGGATCATCAATGAAATCATGTACAATGACCAATAGATTAGATAGAGAGAAAAATGCACATCAGTCTTATATGAATGCCCAAAAAATCATAGTCATCATTATGATTTACCATCACAGTGATCTCCCCAGCATTAAAGCAAGTGGGCACTGGATGCACCTGAGATTTTAAAAACAGGCTTACACCCACCTGAAAATCCATTTGCACCCACTTGAAAATGAGAAGAATGATGAAAAATGGGCATACTTTTGACTAGTTTTGGTCTGATTTGTAAAAATGAGAATGTCGCACCTTGTTTTGCAATCCTGTGGAGAACACTGCATCACCACCATTGTTTACAAGAAAGTTTTTTTTCAAAAGTATTTTTTATTGCAGCATGGGGCTGATGTCAATCACACAGACAAGTGGGGGGTGACTCCAATGTATATTGCTGCCTGCAATGGACAGTTCAGGGTCATAGAATACTTAATAGCAGCAGGTGCAAAGCTTACTTATAAAAACAATGTAAGTATTCAAGTGTTTTTCATTTTTTAACTATAGTAAAACCTGTAAATCCAAACACCTGGCTAATCCGAACACCTCCCAATCTGAACACTCAATTTTTCCACCCATTGATTACCACGCATGTTAAAAAACTATTTGACCGGAACAGTCATATTTGAAAAATTAAACTGTCTAATCTAAACACTTTTCATAAAATATCATAAAATTGCTCAAATATTTAAAATAAAACACTGATTTGTCATGATATCAGAACTTTGGGAAAAAAACCTTGAATGGTCTCAATCATAATGGGGCTTTCCACCATTACTTATTCACTTGATCAGTTGAATCGAATTTTCAAATTACAGGATGCCATAAGGCTATGTGGTCAAAGGAACTATAAATATTTATTGAAAATATGTTCACATTTCTTCAAAATCTAGGAATTTGGGAATGCCAAAACTTTGAAATGTGAACACTTTCAAATGCTTTTAACTGGTCCCAATGGAGTTAGGATTAGACGGATTTTACTGTATTACAACTTGAGAGGTCAAAGGTTAAATGACAACACACTTGTATAATCCGGTAGCTGACAGCTGAACGTTGCATTCGTGAATACAAGCTCATTCAACGATACCTTCCTTAACTAGCTGGGGACATATCATTCTGCTCTGCTTACCTTGATTAGCCAGATACTCATTCTACTCAGCCTACCTAAATTAGCCAGATACTCATTCTGCTCAGCCTACTTTAATTCACCAGATACTCATTCTGCTCTGCTTACCTTATATAGCCAGATACTCATTCTGCTCAGCCTACTTTAATTCACCAGATACTAGTGTTGTCGCGATTAATCGATACATCGCGATATACATCGCCAAAGCTGATTCTGGCGATGCATCGATGTCTGAAACAAAACATCGATGTTTTAAAAAAAAATTAATTTGCTAAAAATCACCCTTTCTTATCTTATTTTGACCCAAATCGCTTAACTTTCTCATGTCTTATTTCATTTCCCAATGTTTTCTGATATTATTTCCCTTTAAAACTGTTTTAGCTAGTCGAAATGAAGCATTAATCTAAAAAAATTTACTTTAATTTCACCGTTACTAGAAGTTCCCGGATGAACCAGCGTTCTGTATTTTAGTGCATTAGCGTTCGGTTTTTCAGTACACTTTTCCCGGACTTTTTCCCGATGTACATCGCGATCTGCATCGATGTTTACTACTGAAAATTGCCGATGCATCGTAGTACGATTATGGCACATCGCGACAACACTACCAGATACTCATTCTGCTCTGCTTACCTTATATAGCCAGATACTCGTTCTGCTCAGCCTACTTTAATTCACCAGATACTCATTCTGCTCTGCTTACCTTAATAAGCCAGATACTCATTCTGCTCTGCTTACCTTAATGAGCCAGATACTCATTCTGCTCTGCTTACCTTAATTAGCCAGATACTCATTCTGCTCTGCTTACCTTAATTAGCCAGATACTCATTCTGCTCTGCTTACCTTATGTAGCCAGATACTCATTCTGCTCTGCTTACCTTATGTAGCCAGATACTCATTCTGCTCTGCTTACCTTATGTAGCCAGATACTCATTCTGCTCTGCTTACCTTATATAGCCAGATACTCATTCTGCTCAGCCTACTTTAATTCACCAGATACTCATTCTGCTGTGCCTACCTTATTAGCCACAAATAGCCAGATACTCATTCTGCTCTGCTTACCTTAATAAGCCAGATACTCATTCTGCTCTGCTTACCTTAATGAGCCAGATACTCATTCTGCTCTGCTTACCTTATATAGCCAGATACTCATTCTGCTCAGCCTACTTTTATTCACCAGATACTCATTCTGCTGTGCCTACCTTATTAGCCACAAATAGCCAGATACTCATTCTGCCTACCTTAATTAGCCACTAATAGTCAGATACTCATTCTACTCTGCCTACCTTATTTAGCCAGATACCATTCTGCCCCTGCCTACCTTAATCAGCAAGATTACCCATAATTTAATTATGACTACCTTTTTAGCCATATTATTTATTCTACTCCGTCTTTATTACCATAGAATTTACTGGTATCAATCTAATTTGAATGAGTTCCCAAGGAGGATTAGCTCCCAGGATCGAAACTCGATATTTTCCAACAATGAAAACATTGAAATGAGTTCCCAATAAAATTAATCCGGTAGCTGACAGTAGAGAGATGCATTTGCGAATACAAGCTCATTCAAGCCTACTTTAATTAGCCAGATACTCATTCTGCTGTGCCTACCTTAATTAGCCAGATACTCATTCTGCTGTGCCTACCTTAATTAGCAAGATACCATTCTGCTCTGCCTACCTTAATCAGCAAGATTACTCATTATTTAGTCACGACTACCTTTTTTAGCCATATTATTTATTCTACTTTGTCTATATTACCATAGAATTTACTGTTTGTTGTTTCAGAAAACTGGAGACATCCCTAAGCCACTGTCTAGCCACAAAGAACTATGTGAACAGCTACAATTCATCTCTCTAAACCCACCTAGCCTTCAACACCTATGCAGAACTTCAGTTCGACAACACGTGGCAGAGTATCCTATGCAAAAACTGTTGGATTGCCACCTGCCAAAGCCTATATCAGACTATTTGATACTTTCAGATTTATAGCTCAGCTAGAAGCATAGATTTGTATTCTTACAGCTCAGCTAGAAGCATAGATTTGTATTCTTACATATAAAAATCACAAAATGAATGCGTTTTTTTAACAGAATATATTGATCGCCCCTTGTATAAAATTGTCATTTACTGGTTAAGGTAAAATGGAAAGCCTTGAACTTAATCTTAGGCACATGAAATGACCAAGCAAATTAGGTGATTTTATAAATGTACAGGGTGTCAAAGAACAATGGCATCACTATCTGCAGCAAAAACAACTTAATGGTACATGGTATGTCATATATCATCTTAAAGAGAATTTATTTTTGATTTTTTTTGTGAAATATTAGCCTTATATGCAACATTAATGATATGTAAACTGTGTGTAATATATCATTTTAAAGAGAATTTATTTTTGATTTTCCTGTGAAATATTAGCCTCATATGCAACAATAATGATGATTTGTAAACTGTGTGTCATATATCATCTTAAAGAAAAGTTATTTTTGATTTTCCTGCGAAATATTAGCCTTGTATGCAACAGTAATGATGATATGTAAACTGTGTGTCATATATCATCTTATAGAGAATTTACTTTTGATTTTCCTGTGAAATGTTAGCCTTATATGCAACATTAAAATTTTAAATTGGAAAAAACAGCAAAAATAGAATATGCTCAGACTAGTATTCTGGGGGTTAAAATTCTGGGAGAGCCATTGTTTTTTGATACCCTGTAAATTGTGTTAGATACAAAAGAAATTGGTGCAATATTTAAAAGTTATTTAATATTTTGTAGTATTGAAGGCCTTGATAAAATCCAGATTATTTTAAAAGGAGCTAAAGCCATAAGTCGTAGATTTTTTTTAATGGCCTGCTGCATCTACAATTTTGGGTAAATAAGAAAACAACCAACATGGCAAACAAGTCCAAATACCATTTATACAAAGTCAAATGATAATCTAAGTGATCTAAGAGACCATAAAAATAATATTAAATATATATAAATTTATGATAATTGATCTAAATCTATGTAACATTTCTGTTTTATGACAAGTATCTACTTCTTATGGCCTAATGCGAAATTCTCTATATGGTGTAAACTGATAATTGGGATCTTAACATGCCTCAAAATAACAATTTAGTGCAATATAATACAGACATCAACATATGATGTAGGCCTTTTGTTTATCTCCTTTAATGTTGGGAGTACGCTTATGGAGTTGATGTAAAACTATATCTCAGAAATTAAAATGCTGAATCAGTTTTTCTGATTACCTAAACACAATGTAACACATTGTTTATATTGAATGAAGAAACTGTCTCTGCAGTTGTAGACAGCTGGTTGTAGGTAGCTTTTACTAAATAGTATTTTTAATACTAAGAATATATGCTTGTCAAATATTTGAGTAGGTTTAGTTGATGAAGTCCCAGTAAGCTACTGACAGCAAAGAGTCCTTCAAATAAAAACTTTGTATTCACACAATAGACATTTTCAATAAATTGTGACTTGACTTTGGGAACAAGGAAAGCCGGGCTATGTCATATTTTGCAGGCAGCAACATGAAACATTTGTAAACAAAATATTGCAAGAAGTCTTTTGAATACAGTATTCGTCGTAAAAAGTGCTTGCCTTCTGAAATATGGTATAGGATATAATGTTGATGTGATTACCTCACCGTGGCATATATCATACGGTATTAACTGTAAAAAGCACCCAACCACTTTAAGTGCCCCCTTTACTTCGTTTCTTGGTGTTATAAAATGACTATTTACTTTTTTATGGCGAATACGGTTTTGAAAGAAAGACAGCATAAAATATATGGCAGGAGTAGGTTTGTCTTTTGGAGGACTCATTGTTGCTTGGGATAGGACTGGGACTATCAAAAAATGTATGAGAATGTTTTAAGAAAATCTTTTGAACAGTTATTTGGATTTACCCCAAATGAAATATGCAATGTAATAGGTCTATGATTGGCCGAATTATTTTTGAATTGAATTATTGTGTGAAAATGCTCAAGAGATATCATTAGTATAACTACATGTAGTATAATTACAATAATTAGTGTAATATTTTGTGCCACTGTAACGAGATAATGGATAGATTTACAAATCTCAAAAAATCTCAATAAAACAAAGATTTTAAAGCTATTATCAAAGCAAATTCCTAATTTTGACATTTTACAAGCTAAATGTTCAATTTAGCCTATTTGATGGCAATATTAGGGATCATGTCTGAGACTGAGATCAGTTTCAACTTTGTAACCATATGCCAGAAAAAGTGATTTCTGTAAAATCTGTTAAGTAGAACACCTCTACATGATTATTTTTATCTAAAATGAAATGCTTTCTTTGACATAATGTAAAGGTATTTATATGCAGATTATGTGTTGCTTTTCAAAGAAGTGTCAGATCCATCATTAGTATATAAATGTATGGTTCAACATGTGAGGCTCAAGTAATCAAATTCTGTGTTTTGTCTGAATTTGATTAGTCTTTTCATGTTAAAGGAAAAAATTATAAACTTAAATGTATCCTCAAACCTAGCTATCAATACACATAATTTAGTAGGAGTGTAAAGGAATTAAAAAGGGATGGAGACTGTAAAGTGTTAGGAGCAATCTTCAAAACTGTTTCCATGGCAATTCTATTTCATTTTCTATAAAATTGAATTGAGATGTCTGATCAAGTATACAAGTTCTCTAGAAATTAGATATAGCATGGGAGAAAGGAGCAAAAATAGTGTATAAATTGTGATTATTTTTCAGATCTTGCTCTCATTTCATCTTTATCCCTTCTACTTCTAAGTTCTACTGAGAACAGAATATAGAGTTCTATTATTAATGTTAGGAGATATAATATGGCAAACACTTGTTTATTTACCTTGGCCTAAGTGAATACTACTCCACATGTATAACTGGTATATATTTTTACAATTGAATAAATAAATAAAATGATTTTCATTTAAAATGATTTCTTTTTATTTCATACATACAAAACAATAGAATTGGACATGGTTACTTTTATATGACATACACAATTTACCTGTGAAGATATAAATACAAAAATATGATTATTTTAACAATGTGTTGAATAAACTCATCAATTTCAACAAGACCAATGTGTATAACTATTGTATATAGCATTCAAGGTACAATACCATACTGTATAATTTCAACTATTTACAGAAATAATTTTCTAGTATATGCAAACACCTTCACTTTTAATTGCAATTTTTCTTATTCTTAATTAAAGGGGCAACAAAGCCTGTCAAGAGAAAATTTGAAAATTTTTACTTTTTCTGAGCTATCAGGGCATCATTTGCCTCAAACATTTTCTTTGACATACCTATTTTCTTAAAATGTATGGATAAACTATCAACTACCCAGTTTCAAGTGAAATATTAGCTGAAATAATATTCATTCAGGGGGTTTCTTTGGAAATATCCAAACTTAAACATACTGTACATGTATTTTGACACTGGTCCGTGATCATTGAATGGCCCCTTTGCACTACTTGTTGCACCTTTAAATAAATAAATATAACTTATAAGTTGGGACATCATACTTTACTCAACAACCTCGAGTTATTATTTTCACATTGCTAGAATTCCATATTTCTGATTTGTTAAAGTAATAGCATATGATCAAATACTCCAACATATTGCCTACTCATTGATTCTAATCATCGAAAGTGCTTGAAATGCCTAGAAAAGATATAATAAAACAAGCACTTCTCCTTATTATCTGGAAACACTTTGGAAATTCCAAAAATTGATATTACAAAACTAAGATTTCTTTCCAAATTTTTGCTACAATTGGAATATTTCATACATAAATGTGTAAAACATTCACAAACACTGTCCATGTCCAAACACTATTATAACATATCTATGATGATGTAAAGTGCAAAGTGTACACAAGACAGTCGGCCAATATAAGTTTTGTAAAGCCCGCGCCCGCCAACTTTCTGATTGGTCAAGGCGCTGACGTCATAACCAATCAATCGAAGATAAAACTGCGCAAGCAATTTTTCTAAACTCATTTCAATCATTGTCAAACCATTTGTTTGTCAATTCTATAAGAAAATGGTACTCTCTGACCAGTCTACATCATCATCATTCCATTTTATCATTTTAATGTGTATCTAAAAGCTGTGTTTACCACAGAGAAAAAAAACTACTACAAAATCCCCCACCTTTTAAAAGTGATATGAATAAAACTACATTTGTATACAGACAAATTAAAATTTAGTTTTCTAAAAAACTAAAATTAACTATTTTAAATATATCTTAAAGAATATTAGAAGACATTGGCTCTTGATGTTCTTTAAAATTGATCGCTGCTAGCAACTACTACTAAATGGAAAGCTTTGCATTTCAATCATCAATGTTAATAACTGGGGGGGGTCTTCAGGGGAAATCTTTGGGTGATACTTGGACTGTGATGATATGTAGCTTGCCACAGACGGTTGCATTAATTGTTTTCTAGGTTTCAGAATACCTTTTTTAACATTTCTGATTTTAATCCAGGTTTTTTCAATTTCTTTTCTTAGGCTGAATAAATGCTGGCTCTAAATACCCAACTGTCACATCATTATCATTTTTAGCCAGGTTAATGACAGTCCCCCTACCCCTACGTGGTCCATTTACAACTCTACGTTCAATCCATGGCTCCGCATTGTACATGTTGGATGTGTCATTTTGTGCATGTTCTGATTCCTCAACAGATGGAGGTACACTTGAAGGCACTAATACACAAAACGGGGTTGTTGATGATGCATTTACAGCTAAAGATGATACTGTATTGACTGAGGTGAGTGAAATGTCCGCAGTTTGAGTTGCAACAGGCTGATGTAAAAACTGAGGTCCGCGTAGAAGAAGGATGTTATCATCAGCCCCGAGCTGATCATCTCTCACCACACTTTCTCTAGACTGAATTGTAACTGTCTTTTTATCCTGTTCACTATTTACTTGTATACTATATCCTGGCATATTTAAAACATTTTTATTCTCTGTCCCAGACTGAATTGTAACTGTCTTTTCAGCCTCTTCACTGCTTACTTGTATACTATATCCTGGCATATTTAAAATCTTTCTATTCTCTGTCCCAGACTGCACATCATTTATACCTACTCCAGGCTGTGTATTCGATATTCCAGACTGTAAATTACTTTTTTCTAGCTGTATGTTACTATGAATTGGCTCTGAGCTCATAGTTCTTGGTATTTGTTCCTCAGCACAATCCGAGTCGGGAATTACTTGAACAACTTTGCACCATTCACCTCCTATTACAAATGCCATCTGATCCTGGGGACCAATAGGATTACTTCTTGACTGTTCTTGTCCTATCAATTCAATTTCTGATTGTGAACTTTCATTTGAGTGAATTCCTTGCTGTACATTGGTCATTTCTGGCTGTACATTTTCACCTGAGTCAATTATTAACTGAACAGTAGCATTTGAGTCAATTTCTGACTGTACATTTTCCTCCAATTCAATTCCCGGCTCCACTGTTCTAACTGAGTCAATTTTTAGCTGTGCAGTTTCTCCTGAGTCAAGCTTTGACTGAACCATTTTACTTGAGTCAATTTCTAACTGTTCAATTCCATTTGAGTTAATGATTGGATGTACAGAACCACTTGAGTTAATTTCCGACTGTACAGTGTCACTAGAGTCAATATTTGAATGCATTATACCCCTTTTAGAGTTAGTGTTAATTTCTTGAGAAACACTTGCTTGTGCAGAAAGAGAAGATATTTTTAAAGGTTCTTGCGATAGCACAGACTTTAGTCTTTTACGACCATTCTTTGAAACTGAACTGCTACCTTTCACTGAAATGAGCGCTTCAGAATTGCCTAAGAATTTGGACTTTTTAACTTGTGCAGAACGGATGCTCCTCGTATGTGCTGAAATAAAGTTTGATCTCCACTTTGCCCTCAGCTTGAGTGATTTTATTCTAGGATCATTGATTGGAAATGAATGGACATCTTCATCTGACGTAAAGCTTTCATCTGTAATGGTTTCTTCATCAGTGTCTTCATCTATAGTAATAACTTCATCTTTAATCATATGATCATCTTGAACAGTAAAAGCTGAATCATGAACAGAAGTCCTGACTGACTGACCAGACCACACTAAAGGTGTATCTTTTTGGAAACTGGCTGTCCTATGATTTTCAGATTCAGGCAGTGTAATTGGTGCTGATCTATCCAAACTTAACATGGATGATGTCATGGTGTGGGGGGCCTCAAGGGTTGGCGAAGATGGTGCAATCACTATTGGTGATGTCATGGTGTGGGGGGCCTCAAGGGTTGGCGAAGATGGTGCAATCACTATTGGTGATGTCATGGTGTGGGGGGCCTCAAGGGTTGGCGAAGATGGTGCAATCACTATTGGTGATGTCATGGTGTGGGGGGCCTCAAGGGGCAGGGAAAATGGTGCAATCACTATTGGTATTGTCATTGTGTGGGGGGCATCAAGGGGTGGGGAAGATGGTGCAATCACTATTGGTAGCTTCATTGAACCATCCCTTTCCAGAATACGTGGAGGGGGTATAACACTGCTTGAAGAGACAGCCATTTTGGCTGCACGTTTTTCCATTAATTTCATTCTAACAGTATTAGGTTTACATGTCTGTCTGTATATTTCATTTATTACATGTTCATCTTCACTTATAACTCGTGAAGAAGGATGTGGTGCTCGAGGGGTTGATTTAACGGGTTTAGTTGGCTTGGGACGTGGTGCTCGAGGGGTTGATTTAATGGGTTTAGATGGCTTGGGGACAGCTGGTGGTTCAGTTGTATCATGGTCACTCAAAGGGGAAATAGGAGCCAATGGTATATTGACTGGAGGACCAATGATGTCAGTTCCAATTCCTGAAGGAAGAATTATAGATATTTCTGTACTGGCTGGAGAATCAGATTCGGGCAGAGTAATTGGAGAAGTAACTGTGGCAATTGGCGGTGCTATATTTGAGAACCCTTCTGTGAAATGTGGTTGGGAGCTTTCAGAATCTTTTCCAATAACTGAAGGAAGAAGTGTAGATATTTCTGTACTGGCTGGAGAATCAGATTTGGGCAGAGTAATTGGAGAAGGAATCGTGGTGATTGGTGGTGCTATATCTGAGAGCTTTTTTGTGAAATATGGTTGGGAGCTTTCAGAATCTTTTCCAATAACTGAAGGAAGAAGTGCAGATATTTCTGTACTGGCTGGAGAATCAGATTTGGGCAGAGTAATTGGAGAAGGAATCGTGGTGATTGGTGGTGCTATATCTGAGAGTTTTTTTGTAAAATGTGGTTCGGAGCTGCTCTCAGAATCTTTCAGAATGGATGAAGTAGCTTCTACAAGCTTTGCAAGTGGGTGTGAAGATTGGTTAGACTGAACATATGCCTTTGTGTGAGATTGATCGACTAAATCTTTTAGAACACTCAGGGTAGTATCAGTACACACGCTTTTATGAAGTGGACGAGGGACTTGACGACGTTTCATTTTGATCTTTTTCAGTTTGACAATTTTACATTGATCATCTAGAGACTGGTGAGTCCCTTTAGGTCTTCTAGAACCTTCTGAGGCTTCATTTGTACTATTCTGTTTAGTGTGGTTTTTATTGAGCTTATGATCAACACGTGGGTGGTGAATATTTTTCAAATACTTTTTGCGAATCTGTTGTGATGTTTTTAAACCATATTTTTGCTTTAACATGTCCTGTTTTTTCTCATTTTCAAACTCGGCATTCTTGGCTCCCGATTCTGCATCTGGTTTGCTTGATTCTAAATTTAGTTGCATGATGTTGGCTTCAAATCCATTGCTTTGACTAGTATCATGTCCAAACGCTGTCAGTAATGAGGTCTTCATATTAATCAGGTTCATATAGTATTTCAGGTATCTTTCTCGATGTACTTCAAACATTTTCACCTGGCTTGTACAAGACGCACAAATGTATGGCAGAATCAGATCTGCCATGTAATATTGTGACTCATTTAATAAACCTGCCTTCTTAAAAAGATTATAGCTTTCATCTAAAGCAGCAATTCGACTTGGTGTTATCCTATCATTCACTTCTTCCTGGCATGCCACACATTTTTTCAATTTCCTAAACCCATATGTTTTCACATATTTTTTCCAAAGGCACACAATCCTCGGAGAAGGATTTCTCCAAGGCATTTTGTCTATTCTGTGCTCAGAGAGCTCACGTTTTATTTTTTCTGTATTTTGCATGTTCAGAGATTTAGACTTTGAACGTTTACCAGTTGGTGGTTTCCAGGATTTCCAGGGCATTGATACAACGGGGGAGTCACCAGGTTGAGTGGGTTTTGGTTTGATATTCCTTGGTTTGGTGACTCTTGTTTCAAGTTTAGTTTCAGTGTATGTTGCCATATGTTGATTCTCTGTACTCAGAGGGACATGTGTCTGAAGATGTGTGCTTGTAACTGGAGTGGAAACAGCCTGAGGGGTGGTATTAGTATTTGGAACTTTTGTTAGAATACCTCCTGGGAATATTGCTTTTGCAACAGCACCTCTAGGGACAACATTTGGCTGTGATAGACAATGAGGGTATATTGTATACTGATTAGCACCACTTGATTTCACCTTGGTGGCTGGCACTAAAGTAGTAGGGGCTGGCATTCTTGGTCGAGAAGGATTTTGGAAAGTTGCAACTTGGGGAATATTTGGTGGAGAGACTACAATGTTGGATAATGGGACATGAGGAGAGGAAATCCTGAATGTTGGCGTTACACTTTGAGGTGTTACAGTCCCTTGTGGTACACTTTGTGCTGATGTTGAGCTTGGTGTAGCATTTCCTGTTGCTACACTAAATATTGAAACATTTTCCGTTGAAACATCCTTTTGTATTACATTATAGGGTGCTACACTGTGGGAACTTACATTATGCAATGTTACCCTATTTGGTGCCATGTTTTCTGGTGTTACACCTTGATTAACATAGTTCAGCGCATTTCCTAAAGTCAAGGGTGAAATCTTTCTAAAATCAATATTTTGTGCTGGCGCTCTCTGTTGACAGGGATTTTGGAAAGTTGCAACAAGGGGAATATTTGGTGGACATACTGCAATATTTGGAGATGGGGTATGAGGTATTGATATTCCCGATGATACATTGCTCTGTGTCACATTAGATGATGTTACAGTATGGGATGTTACATGTTGCAATGTTACACTATTTGGTGTTAAATTTGCTGAGGCTAAGGTTACATCATCACTGGTAGAGTTTAGTGCATTTCCTACAGTCCAAGGTGCAACACTTCTTAAAACAATATTTTGTGCACCATTACTATTTTGAAATAGTACATTGGTACACTTGTTCCCTGCATTTTTTACACCAATGTTAACTGGGGCTGCCAGCCTCTGATAATTTAAAACCATATTTTGTGGCAGAACCCTCACATTATCTCCTACTACATTTTGACCTGGCCTACTTTGAAATATTATACTCACAGGTTGCTGCTTTGTCAGGGATGATACAGTAGGATTAACTGCAGTAGGATTAACTGTGGTAGGATTAACTGCAGTAGGATTAACTACGGAAGGATTAACTGCGGAAGGATTAACTGCAGTAGGATTAACTGCAGTGGGATAAACTGCACTTGAGTTGACAGAAGTAGGATTAACTAAAGTCCCAGGTGTGGCACTCTGTGGTATGTATATTACATTTTGAGGTAAAATGTTCTGTGGTAAAATATTTTGGGGCAATATATTTTGTGGAACAATTGGCAGTCTTAATATGTTTGGTGTTGTTTTAGATGGATCAATTGTTACTATTGGTTGATTATTTGGAGAAATAACTGCCTTTGGCTCTGGAAGGTTCTGCTGAATCATGGCTCTGGGTTCAATGGTCTGAATAATTGTTGGTCTTGGTTGATTCATTTGAGGAGTCATTGCCATTTGTTGATTGTTCTGAAGAATCATGGTGATTGGTTGATTGGTCTGAGAAAGTAGCCTTGGTTGATTGTTCTGAGATATTGTGAGCCTTGGTTGATTGCTCTGGGGAATTGGGAGCCTTGGTTGATTGTTCTTGTTTACTTGGAGCCTTTGTTGATTGTTCTGGGGAATGGAGAGCCTTGGTCGATTGTTCATGATAATCTTACCCTTTGATTTTATGCTCTTTGATAATACCCTTTGGGGTAGTAGATTAAGGGGAAATGTGGGCCAATGATTCTTGACAGGAGAAGTTGCATTCTGAACTGATTGTTTTTGTGTGTTGATGGTAGATTGTTTCTGGGCGTCAGCTCCTGATTGTGTAGCAGCTGTGGTGACATCAGATTTCTCCCGATCTTTGATAGAAGCTGCTACACATTTGGCCATAGCTTTTGCAGGAGCAATATTATAACACAGGACTTTGGGCTTTGGAAGAAGTGTACGAACATGACCTTGACCTTTGTACTCATCTTTATTGTTAGTTCTTCCTCCGACCTTTGAAACCATTTTGAAGGGGAATGTCACTTTTCTAGGGAGATAAAAATTCATATTTGGTTTCGTATCCTGTTTTTCAGAACCATTGTCATGAGAACCGTTGTTATCATCTCTTTCGATAAAATTCTTGGTTTTGCGTCTCTTTTTTCTGTGAATAGTACTAATTCCACTTTCACTGGGAGACCAGCTCGAATCAGTATCACTTGAAGAACTTGATTCTGAGAATGTTACATCACTGAGGGCGTCTAACTTGTCGTCAAGAGTGTTATGTACTTTCTTCCTTTTTCTACTCACTGTATTAGGGATGATGTGCTCCAGATCGACAGCACAGAACTTTTCGTCTATCACATCAGTTGCTTCTTCACTTAATGAATCATCAGATTCATCAATAATAGTATCTGTGTCTGTGTCTTCTTCCTTGATACACAAATCAGGTATATCAGCTCTGCATTTTGTTTGAAGGTGTTTTTCAACATCTTGTTTATTCAACAAAACCTTACATTGTTTGGAGAGTTTATCATAGTCAACTTGAGGATTAACACTTCTCTGGTTGCCTTTGTCGTTGTAAACTGAACCAACACAGTCAGTTTCAACACTTTGCTCATTTTCTGGTTTTAGATCACTGAGTGGTGCCTCGGGTTCATGTTCTCGAGCAAATGTAGACTCACTTACATAAGTGTCATCACTTTCAGAGAGAACCTCCTCTTTTATTGTGAATGTTGACTCGTAGGTATCCATGATTATGTTTAGCTCTCTTTAGGCATGTAACTGAAAGCAAAATGAAGAACAGTTGAAATTGGTAAGATACAGTTGTACAGGTAATATTGTACAATATAGTTTGCATTCATTTGACTTTGATTCTTAAAAGAAAGCTTGAGTTAGCACCCTATGCAGACAGAGCCTGTGGGAAATATTGGGTGCGGCGCAAATGAGCGGAGGGTGCGGAGCTAACGGTCATTTTTGAATTCAAAATTGGGATATTTCTGAAACTAAGCCGTTTTGGGACTTCAAATATACCAAAATATGTGTATTTGACACCAAATATCAATACAATTGTGAAAATAGTAGTGCAATTCATTTTATAGCGACGCAGTATGCCTTAAACATTTCCCAGACCTATATATTTTGAGACTATCCTTTTAATACTGCGTCCCCAGCATTCATAAAAAATGGTGTTCAAGATACACTACCCATGCAAATTATTTTTGCATCTTGGAAGCCAGGCAGTATCTGTGTGATTTTATAAAAATTCGGAAATGTTCTTCAGAGATGAGCCCCTCTAAATATTGGGTGCGGAGGTACGTTTATGGAGCTCCTCCGCACCCAATATTTAGAGGGGGCTCATATCTGAAAAACATTTCCGAATTTTTATAAAATCACACAGATACTGCCTGGCTTCCAAGATGCAAAAATAATTTGTATAGATAGTGTACCGTGAACACCATTTTTTATGAATGCTGGGGACTCAGTATTAAAAGGATAATTTCAAAATATATAGGTCTGGGAAAGGTTTAAGGCACACTGCGTCGCTATAGAATGAATTGCGCTACTATTTTCACAATTGTATTGATATTTGGTGTCAAATACACATATCTTGGTATATTTGAAGTCCCAAAACGGCTTAGTTTCAGAAATATCCCAAATTTAAATTCAAAAATGACTGTTAGCTCCGCACCCTCCGCTCATTTGCTCCGCACCCAATATTTCCCACAGGCTCTGTCTGCATAGGGTGAGTTAGTCACTTTGTGACAAGACTGTACTAAGGATAATGACGGTGACTATCCAGGCCCTGTATGTCGCGAGCAAGTTCCCGCTTACATCACGAGCTCATAGTTGAAAAACGTTGTTGCCCTTTATTATTGTAATAGCCATTGAACTATGAAAATAAAGTTGTACTGAGTTTAACTTACTAAATTTCCATAGAAACGTTTATATTTCAATTTTATCATATCCCTCTAGGCCCCGCTTCTAACATAGACACCATAGATAATTTATACATGTACATGTACAGTGAATGGACAAAAAATGTATAGTTTGTTTAAGAATTTATACAAGCTTATACTAGGGTTCATCTTAGACATGTTATTGTTTTGCAAGGAAGTGCAGGATATCTGAGAGATTTTATTCTTTTTGGTAACTACCTCAAAAAGTCAGCCATCTTTTTGGAACCAGCGATTTTTCATGTAACTGTACACCACAATCTAGTTATTCATCATCTTCTGAAAAAGAAGAGCAAAATAAAAATGCAATGTATAACTCATCAAAACTGCATTAATTTTTTGAAATTAATACAAGCAACATTGACGACTCTCATAAACATCCAAGAACAACTACATAATGAGAGACATTTCATAAAGACCTTCTAGATAAAAAATGTCACAGGAAAGCTTTCTCGAAAGTCCATGGTTGAATGTATTTAAGTGTTTTTCTGGAATTTTGACAAGATTTATGCCCTGCCTACCCAGATGTAAAGATGCTCACTAACACAAGGCGACAATGTAGTTCATAAAATCTATGTGTGTAAAAAACTGGGTGGGGTGGGTATCTGAATGACCAGGTACCTAACATTCCTAGCAGAGTTAAGAATTTGATTTTTTCAATGAACAATCCAAGCAAGCAACCACGGCTTTGTATAAAAAACCTCCTACCTCATACCCACCTACCCACCTACGTGGAACATGATACAGTCATTGAAGGGTTCAATTTTCAAGATTATTAAATCTCAAAATAGCTCAAATTATTAACATTTCTACAATTCCGGCTTTATTTTATGACTAGACAGATGACAGATCCATAAATAAAGGCATATGGATGAATTTTAATGTGTAATGACCCAAGGGCGCCCCAGGGGAATAAATAACTAACAACCACGAGCATAGGTCCAACAAGCCAGATAAAGAAATTGAAAGAAAGTGTGCTAAATTCGATGCCCCGAGTGGGAATCGAACCCAGCTGGGATGTAGTAGCAACTTGCTATCAAGGGTCGTTACAAATGCATCTATAATTCATCATAAACTAAGATTAAATAAACTAAGATCTTTAAAATTGAACCCTTCAAAGACTGTATCATGCTGGGTATGAGGTAGGAGGTTTTTTATAAAAAGCCAGAAAAGTATACACCAAGTATTTACCAAAATGAGTGTCTCCAAGGCTTCATACCAGCATATGTATAATGCATTTATCACAAGTTTGAGCTGAAATTTCACTAAAATGAAGTAAGGGTAATCTCCGCCAGGTTTGTTTATTGTGGTTAGCTTTCATGGTAAGTGCTCGGAAGCAAATAATTCATGTGTGCAAAATATTCAAATAATTTGATTGGATTAAACTTTGGTGCGCATGCGTACAATGTGTGCACTGCCATGGTTTTTTCTAGTGATTTCGTTTCGTTTCATGGAGTTTGCGTTTCAGTGTAACTTCCGCAAAAATGGCGGACAAGAGAACTCTTTACCTATAATATAGACTATATCCTCTAGTCTGAAATTTTTTTGAAATTTGGAATGAAAATATTCAGACTATAGCCCACATATGTTAAAATTTGGGATTGAAAATTATTTGTTTACATAGGAAGTGCCATTCAAAATGGCCGACTGGGTAAATTAATTTGCATATTTGCTACTTCCCCTAGCTTTATTTCCATTTGACAATATGCTGTGTTACTTTTCATAGCATTTAATTGTACTTTACTACTTAATTGAATTGTTATAATGCTTTTTTTTGGGAAGTGAAGTTTCCTAAAATTGATAATTGTGTGCAGGAAATTTCCTGTTTTTTCCCACAGGAGGGACATAATGATCAATAGACTCAATTCTCAGGAAATTCAGTCTATTGGATATAGACTAACCTATAATAGCAAAACTTTTGTTTTATTTGTGCATTTTATCTATAAGATAAGGGTCTCAGGGTATGTAGGCAAATTCATTTTGGTAGGAGCACTCTGTTTAGTTTGAAAATGCACCCTTTATTATTTTGTAACTGCACTATGATAATAAATTGCGTCATATTCCATGTACCCCCATAAATGTGGGGTTATTTTGAGGTTTTTTGATATTTAGGACATTTGTTTCTCAAAATAACCCCACACCGATTAGTACTTTGATTCTTTGGGGATTTGCTAAACAATAGCATACACATAGAATTTGTACTAATATTATTAGAATTTACTCACTTTTTTATGTTTTTCGTATCGACAAGACATTAATCTTCAACATGCTTCCAAATATAGCCCTCTAAGTGTTGTATTCATTCTTGTAATGAAGATTTAATACGGATAACAGATATTTCTAAAAAAGTTTTTCAAATTTCATGTGCAGTCGATATTTTTTATCTAAATGACAAACTTCGTGTAAATACGAAATCCAAAAGTAAAAATGGAGGGAAATTTTGAAAAATGATTTTCACCTTCCGGTGTGTATTAAAAGGATTTTCAACCTCAAGTCTGGCTGCTGTATCGTCTACGGCCTTTGTTTTCCTGAACTTAGGCATAAGCAATAATTTTGTTATTAATTTGACAGGTGATTTCGTTTGGCACTGTTAAGTTTCCCATCTACCACATAATTCCTCCCAGAATGCAACGCGCGAAAATGGCCAAAATTTGAATAGATTTCGAGAGTCCAATATTACAGCAAATTGTTCCAGTTATAAAGTATTGTTTCCACTGATCGATCGCTAATTACATTGGAAAAAGAATCCTCTTCACAGAAGAGAAGAAAAAAGGTAAGGAAACTGCCGATATTGTCAGAACTTGAATCTTCAAATCATGTGAAAAAAACCGCAAAGAATCAAAGCCTAAACTTTGTGGGGTTATTTTGAGAAACAAATGTCCTAAATATCAAAAAACCTCAAAATAACCCCACATTTATGGGGGTAATTCCATGTGGTCAATGGTTCGATATCTCCAGCAAAGTAGTCGCTGATGCTCATACTTTGCTCCTGGCTTCTACAGCGTAGATGTAAAAAAAAACTTATTCATTTTGATTTTCAATGATCATGATGACCCTGTGACTGATTTTCAAGCATCTTTGTTTTTTAATTTTTTAGACTGAAATTATTGGATGTCGATTTCAGACAATTTTAGACTAAAACCTACTAAAGTCAAACGATATTTCGATACTCGATATTTCATACTCACAATTAATGACCGTGATTGCGTGTTCAGTGTCTAATTAAGCCTAAATAAAAGAAATAAGCAGAACATTTTGTTTCCCTAATAATATTTTCTGGGAAAGAACTTTGAATAGAAATAGTTTAGCTGTAGCGAGCCTTCATCCGGGGATGTTTGTTGCTAAAACAATATGGCCGACGAGTTTCTAAAATTTTATTTCTACGGACTTTAAATTTCATTACCGTTCGTTCATAACTTATTGTAATGTGATCAAAGCTAGGATACAACAGTGTCAATATGTCAGGATCACTCAGGGGTCTAGATCCTGAAACGAAGAAATATCTTCGTGCTAACAGAGTACCAGATGTGTACGAGGTAAGAAACGAAAGATTTTTCAACTTTTATTTTTTTGTTTTGATTTGATGAGCAATTTTAAGCCTGGTTTACACTGACCAATCTTTTTGATCGCCTCTGTATTTTTAATGGGAGAAAAGACTGTTGGTCACCGCATGCTTCACCGTCAGGACTTTTGGAAATTTTACCTGTCTTGACAAAGTCTTTTCCATAGGCTTTGACAGTACTCCATCAGAATCTATAGGACATAGACAGGGCTGTCCAGACTCTAAGGACTTTGACTATCAGAGTTTTAATAGTGACATTAGGGATCGGGATTGTCCCATATTAAAATTCATGATCTTTTATTTTGGAGTTGATTTTTTTAAATCCTCACTTATTGAATGTGATATGTTTGTCCCAATTCAATCTTATATGATGAATTGTTACCTACCGCATTTTTGTTTTTGAACATGATGTAATTGTGCTGATTCAATTGAAAAATCATGATTTGTTGAAATATTTTGTCAAATGGACCCACTTCTCATGGAAAAGTCAATAACCCGGGTAGTTCCTCACATTGTCATGGTCCATTCAGGGAATAATTTGCAAAGTTTGAAGATCACTTCGAGAAATCAATACAATAATTCGATTGAAATATATGTATTATAATTTACCCCTGCGTATCAAGCACCATTCAGAGGCCAATCAGCATCACAACATAGTGGTGCAAGAATTTCTTAGATTAAGGTAAGGAATTCTGAGAAAAAGTAAGGACTCCAGATCTGGACAATATCTCAACTTACCCAATTTTGTCAGTTGTTGGTGATGCACCTATGGGGTCATGACAAATCTCAGATATATAAATAAAGCCCCAGAGGCGCATTGATTATTTATCAGACATTACATTTGCATTGGGCTATTGCAAGACACCTTTAGGTAGACACATGTCTCTAGAGGACTAAAGTCCGGTGCAAAAGACTAGTCAGTGTAAACCTATTCCTAATGGCTTCACTAAGATTCTTTATTTTTAATATATTTTATATCTTGTCATCTTTTGTTATATGAATTCCATAATATAAGTTTGAATGGACATCTGTTCCTTTTGAAGTTGAACCTGGGCTGTAGTTTGTTTAAGGTAAGTTTGCATGTTTGGAATTTTGCTGCATTCCTCAATTGAGTCACATGTTATTTTTCAAATAGGAATCAATCCTTCCCCACATTGTCTGCATCTTTCAGATTTGCACAAAGAGTGCATTGATGAACCTAGAAAAGACTGATGAGAAGATTTGTTTTTTAAAATGTATAAAAAACGAGAAAATTCAATGACAGAAGGGCACTGAATTTTCTCATTTTTATACATTTTACCCCAAAAAATCTTCTCACCAGTGTTTTCTTAAAACAGTGTACAGTATATAGGTACAATGGCACATGTGCTTGTAAAACAGAAAATATTTTTATTTTAGGCACTTCTCACTGGGCTCGTTGTCATGTGTCCTGCTGATCCTAAGAAATTTATCCTAGACAATCTGAGATACATTCGACAGAATGGATTTGGTGTCATTGAATGGTGAGTAAATGTCTCTCTAAACGTAGTCTTACTACAATGTTAAATTATAGGTTAATATACATTAGAGTGTACCTACTGTAGCTGTGAGGGAGATGAGGCAAATGTACTTGGCTCTCCAAAATATTACAGAAAAGTATTTTTCGAGTTAACTTTAGTATTATTTTCTATAAAGTACAGTATCTTCTTTGGCCTAGTTTTGCCTCACCTCTTTAAATTTGCCTTGCCTAATTTTGAATTGTCTCTGTTATTATGATTTTTTACCACTTCACCTCCTCGCCATGTTAACATTATTGGCTATTTTTTCTCAGGGACATGTTTGTTGAGCCACATATGAGACCGAACTACAGACCCAACACAGAAACAATTCTAGATTTGATTTTCAACTTTGATGAAAATGCACAGGTGAGAAAGTCAAACATTTTTCAATTGATTTTCTTAGTACATAGTATGCTACATTTTGAGTGAATTACAACACATGCTGTTTTGTGCATGAAGTTTATCTAATGGTAAATGATGCTAGTATTTATGATATAAATATTTTATCTGTTTAAGAGATCATTATTGTATCTGTTATTCTTGACTTCTAATAGGAATTTAATTTTGCTGCTTTTCAGTTTTTTTTTATAAAATATATCAGCACATGTATATATTGATTATAACATTGTTTAATTGGGCTAAAACCAGGTTTTTATCAACTAATCAAAACAGATGACACCATGTAGCTTTGTATAAACATATCTGATAAGAACCATGTAAAGTCTGTATTGTCCCTTTAAACATTTACTGCACTTTAATTGCTATTTTTGCTGCATATGTAATAAGATGTGGGATAAAATGGTATTATATTTATTTTTATATTTGTTTTACATATTATATTGAGTGTAGTGTGTCAGTGTAAATAATAGATGTTTAACCAAGTCCCGGGACCAAGTCATATACTCATATACAGTGATCTCCTCATGATTTTTTCTCAGGTGCGTGCAAAATTTTCATTTTCATAATTCAAACAAAAATTGGACAAAATATTCCAATTTTCATGATTTTTTTCTCATTTTCAAATTGGTGCATATGGATTTTCAGGTGGGTGCAAGTCTATTTTCAAAATCTCAGGTGGGTGCTGCACCCACTTGCTTTAATGCTGGGGAGATCACTGATATACCCCTCTATACTATGATGTACATGTAAAATGTCTATTGTTTTGTTTGATTATTTGTTTGAAGAGTTCATGAAATTTGATATGTATTTTTTTATCTTTTTATTTTCTTTGGATTAAATTGAAACTTTCCATTATTATTTTTATCTATTACATTGTTCTCCCCAGGATTTTTTCTCAGGTAGGTGCAAAAGTCTCATTTTCACGATTAAGTCCAAAATAAGCTCATTTTACACGATTTTTCTCATTTTCAAGTGAGTGCAAATGAAATATCACTGTTTTATAAACTAAATGATGGGAGGGGGTATTTATTGCCATGAAAGCCTTTAATGTGACAGCTTTACAGTGGTCAAAGGGGCTATTCAAGACTTCTGGTTGAGAAATCAAAACACAAAATAAAATAATTTATGATCCTTAGAGACAGTGCCTCTTTAAAATACTATGATTAGGGTCCTCTTATATTAATGTCTGTTTGGCGGCCCTGCATGGGAATCCTTTCCAGAAATATCCTAGACTTTCAATACCGTAACTCCATGACAGTCAATGGTATGCAAAAAGTAACTACAAAGTTACAACTGTCACAGACTGATCCGTTTACAAACCATAATGACAGAATGGCTTATCTTTTGAAATCAATATGATGAAATTTAAATCTCAAAAAAATAAGATTATTGTCAGGAATGAAATGGATAACATACAACAATTTACTGTATATTTTTTATGATCAATATTTTATTGTACCTAGTTTTTGACTGACAAAAAAATGGATCATCCATGAACATTTTTTGCTAAAAAAACATTTTAAGGTTAAGTTCATTTGTTTTTTAGACTCTTAATTCATACTTATGTTTGTTTTTTCTAGGAGGGAATGGTAATTTATATTATTTTATAGCTGACATTAATTCTATAATTTTCAATGCTTCCTCTAATCATTGTGGTGGTGATGAAAGATGAATTTCTTTATCCTAGGTTGTGATTTAAACCCCAAACCTAAACTCTGAGCTAATTAAAGCTTGATTAGTCAATCAAATCATGACTTGCATCCATTTCATCCATTAGTAAAATTAGAAAAATGCTCATTACGAAATTAACAAATAACGATTGGTTAGTTGAGTAAAATAAACTTATAAACCTCTCACTTTATAAAGTTCTGCTTAAAGTTAGTCAAACTACTGTTCAAATTTTATAAAACATTTAATAAAATGCAATTGTGCAAATATTTTTTCACGTAAACAAGTCTATATTTAAATAGACCAAGCACTGGTAATAAAGACCAATTATGATTGACACACATTTTTTATTTTCAATGTATTATGATTATTTTTATATTTACTAACAGCTAATCCCAGCTGTTGCTAGGAAACTAGCTCAGATAGAAGAATTGAAAAATGAGGTAACCATGGCAACATATTGTGGTTTCCATAGCTACACAATTCCATAGCAACCAGCAAGGGAGTGGAAATCTGCATTACCCCTACATGTAAATTTGCTCCAATCCTTTAATGCACATTGCATGCACTTCAAGTACATGCATTTCAGAATTTGTAACTTTGCACTAAGGCACAGACTTTATGTACACGTTCAGGCAGTCTGAAATACAAATTTCTCTGCTCTACTTAACATTCATTTGTATACAATGGAAACAAGTCAAGTCTCACTGTTCATCAGTTACACATGTTTATTGTTTGTTTGTAAACATGTGAAATCAAATGATATATGCATGCATTCATATCATTAAAGACCACCTTTACCCACCTTTACATTACTCTTTCTATTGCATGTTTGGGTCATTGCATGGGAATTGGTAGTATATTTTTGGTGTAGGTATTGTATATTGGACTAATTGCATAGTTATTGCATGCTGGGTATATTGCATGGGAGTTGGCATTGTATTCTAGGTGTATCTTGGTTGTAGGTATAGTATATTGGACTAATTGCATAGTTATTGCATGCTGGGTATATTGCATGGGAATTTGTATTGCATTGGGTGTAGGTATTGTATGTTGTACATATTGCATAGTTATTGTCTATTAGATCACACTATATGGATATTGCATATCGGGCATATTGCATAGGTGTAGGTATTGCAGCATGGGTCCATATAAGCAATGAAGCATGGGGATGGATGTGGTTACATGTTTACTTATATAAAATCTTTATTATCTAGCTGTTAATATACGGATACACTTTATTTCTAATGTATATGGTTATTAATTTAACATGTGCATAGTGTATTTCACACATTTTTTATCAAACTGAAACTTTTACCATAACTTGTCATACGTAACATTATATATGTTTGTAAATTACTAATTTTGACCTCTTTTGACATTGGTTATTCAAAGTACACTCCTCTCCAAAAGTTTGACAATCCCAACTCCCCTGATGATATGTTGTGTAAATAAAGTTGTTATTTTTGATGATGTTCAGAAATTACAAAATCTGCATTAATATCTGATATATTATAGAATTCAAATTCATAACATAAGTAAGCTTTAATATGCTATTCAGTGGGGAGTCAGAGTTGCTAAACTTTTGGTTGGAGGTGTAATGAAGTTTGTTAATAACTGTTTGTATATTACATTGTAGCCTACACCTGAAATGTATGAGAGGGCCTACAGTCATTATAACACCACCCTCAAGTTACTATGTTTCAAGTAAGTCTTTAACTTATCAGTCATAAAATTTCAACTTTTAAAATCTCACACCGGAATAGCCTTCCATGTCTGCCATTTGTGACAACGGTATCTGACTTTACCGTTGTCAGGCTATTCCGGTGTGAAACTGAAGTTCAATCTGTTTTGATCAAATGATAAAAAATCGGTTTGTCTCGCTATCCTTCTTGTGGAAGCAGTTCAACACGTGTTGACAATATTATTTTCAAGTACCTGACAGACTTCACACAACCCTCTTTTAGAAATTATACCTCCATAAGAAGTTTTTTAAAAACACTTAGTCCCTGTGACTTATATGTTAAAGAATCATCTGTGTAAGCAACAACTGTGAACACTTATGCAGAATGCAAAATGCAGAATATGCTGTATAACCTATACATGAAATTGAATATTATTTTAGTCTTGGTAATTTAGTTTGCCACCTGAGTCAGATATGTCTGTCTTAATTGTCATTCCCATTCTTTTCCATTTCTTTTTAATATTTGAAAAACGTTCAATTATGTTCGTGTATTTCTATAATTTAGAGCAATGTTTTACTAAAACATGACCTTGATCTTCCCATGATTCCCCTCCAGTGCCTGGATGCAGTAGCACCTCCTCTTTTTCGGGTATTTCTGTAATTTTATTAAAACATGACCTTGACATCTTCCCATAATTCCATGATTCCCTTGCAGTGCCTGGATGCAGTACCACCTCCGTAAGAAGCGCCAGAGAGAGGAACACGAACGTAAGATGGAAAAGGCTCTCATACACTACAAACACCGTATGATGAGAATCCATCTGCATGTCTGGATTGTATCCTTTTCAAACAATGTTATTTATTATTTTAATTACCTGATATACAATTTTTGATATGGCAACTGCATGTGTACAGTTATCTGAGGAATACGAGGGAATATCAATAAGTTAGAGTTTGCATTAATTCATTGTTTCTAAAATCTTTACTTAATTCAATGTTTTACATGTCATCCTTAATCTATTATGCATGTAAACAAATTAACAAAATACACATGTACATACAAATGCAGGGAACTTAAACATTAATACTTTTTAACATGTACTTATATTTATGCATAATGGATAAACATGAACAAAATGTCGGTTTCATTCCTGGAACTTTTGGATTACTATATGCAGTTATTTTTAGAAATTAAAAATAACATTGATTCTGGAAATTGATTTTTGGATTAATTCTGATATTTCTCCTCAACTTGGACTCTTATGTCTTGCTTTACTGACTTTTGTATAGACTTTTGTGGTGTTAGCATTTGCTCTTGAAAATATAAGCCATGTAATCCTTGACACTTACAAGCAATGGGTAAAGTTCAGGAAAGGTCGCCAAGCAAGTAAGTAAATATTTTGTTTAAAAAGAGTATTAATTACATGATTATAGTAAATACAAACTTAAAAGATCCACTCCAGTTTATGTTAATGTAATGTAGGACACTTAAGGAAGGCAGAGATAATTGACTTAATGACCTGTATTGTCAACAAAAGGTAATATAGATATAAAGTAGTAGGTAGTATAAGTATAAAGGATCCAGGTTAATTTACCCACTCTACATTGCCCACCTTAATTACCTGATAACACATTTTATTATACTATGCCTTCCTTAAGAAAACTCTTCAGTCAGGAATAATCAGACATTGAGGAAGGTTTGTTCAACACATATCTCTCTCGGTGTTAATGCATGATGTTCCTAATTGATATAAAAAATAATAACATAATATACCAAGGGAATCATGAGAATTTAAGATAGAAGACAAAGCAAATGAAAACAACAGACAACATTATAATTTTAACATGGAAACAGTTACAAATATCCTGTTTTTGGTAAAAAGAACCAGAAAAATCACTTGTTGCCTGCTGCTAATTATGACAATTGTAGAGACATCTCGCTCTGGTAGGGAGGATTTTAATGAATGTGAACTACAGTAAATCTAAACAGCTCCAAGGAACTGGCCAAAAGTGTTCAAATAAGCAGGTGTTCACATTTCAAGGGTTTCACCCTATGAGAGATAACAAAATTGGGACCAAGAAAAAGTGTTCACATTGGGAGGTGTTCAAGTTGGAGAGGTGTTCAGATATACAGAGGTTTCACTGTATATTTGTAAATGTAAACATATTTTGTTTATTTTCTCCAGTGGCATTCAACAAGATCCAGCACGTTTACCATGTCTCTATAGGAAGAGTTATATTTGTGGCCTGGCATAATACTACACTTGACGCCAAGAAGACTAGAGAGTATTTTGAGGTAATTATTTATTAAACTTGACATAAATGTACATTTTCTCAATTTGTCAAGTTTATTCATACTAGAAATAATGTGTAGATTATGTGTAACAAACATATTTTTAAAATACAATTTTAAACAACCAGAGCTGAAAATTAAGCATCATCTAATCATATAATAAAATATCTGCGGAGTATAATCTAACATACAGTATTTCAATACTGATGGCATGAATTGATTATCTAAATAAATCTTCCTATTTTTGGCTTAAGTCTGAACTGCAGGTAAGTTGGGTATAATACTGTATTATAGTTCACATATTTCACATTTAGTTTTTTTTTGTTTAGTTTTGCATCAACTCTCTGTTCAGTGTATATCATAAGATTCCAGATTTACTCAAATCACACAAATAAAGTTATGAGATGGTTTGTAGTGAGATTGGTTCAAGAGTCCAGTTCTCATCACATATGCTACCTCTATAACTTACCAGACCCATTAATTTTTTATTATGCTGTCACCACCAGAAGTGGTGACATATTGCTATAGTCTCCAATTATTTATGGACAGTGTTCGGCAGTGGGTGTTTGGCCTCCAGTAGTTGGTGGTCAGCATCTGTAACAAATGACAGGTGGTGACATTTTGCATGTTTATGCCTTGTCTTATTCTAAAAAGGTTTTGGTCATAGAGAAATGAGGGGTGATGGGTAGAGATTTATGCAAGACTATATATATTATTGTAGACAAGGCAGGTTGATCACCTTGCATGTTTCTTGTTAATTTTCGAGGCAAAACACATTTTTATTTCTGTTTTCATTCATGGAATATTTAATTTTACTGCTTTGATAAGGGTTCAAATTGTTTTCATGTAGATTTACCCCAATATATAGATTATAGAATGCACGCTTGTAGTTCTTCTATGTTGTCGATTCTTAATGTCCACGGCAAAATTATGATTCATTTGAAATATTATTGTCCTGCATTTTAGAAAGATTACTTATAAAGAATTTTAATATATTTCCAAAGTGAAATCCTTCAGGAATCCAAACTAAATTCTAGATTGTACATAATGAGACAGTAGAAATACTTCAACCAACATGATTCCATTGTAGCGTCTGGAGCGAGGAGAGAATATGGATGATGATGATCTGTTTGGTAAAGGCAGTGGGGAGGCAAGGGATGATATATCTCTTCTACCAAGAAAGGTTGCAGTAAAGGTGAGTCCATCTCAGTAAACATTTAGCACATGTAGCACTTTTGCTAAGGGGGGGATGGGGCAATTAAAAAAATATATATATAATACAAGGGGTGGTCCAGATGTTCTGTAAAAATGCTCTAATTTCTTTACCCTTTGGATTGATATGGGCATAGTTAATATTTTTTGTACAGAATATCCGCATTTCTGATTCCTATTTTCACAATGCCTTATATCATTCATTATAATGTTTATATTAATGAACATCTGTGAAATAGTTGACTTCTTGATGTTTTGCTTATGAGTAATGTGTTTCTATTGTAGATTTTCAGCTATGTTGACATAGCTGACCTGGCCAGATGTGCCTGTGTATGTAGATCTTGGAAGGTCATAACACAAGCCAACTCTTTATGGAGCACTGTAAGTATTAGAGCTATTAGGGATCCCAAAATACATAATCTGATGCATAACTCTTTATGTTGGACTGTATGACGCATTATCAGTCAATGTTTTGAATGGTAAAAAAATAATCTTGAGTACATAGAAGAGTTGCATTTGTAATTGTCCGTGCCGTCTGTTGAGTCCAGGTTTAACAGTATGCCATCAAAAGGAGACAGCAGGGGCCATACTAAGGCAATGAGATAAGGGGGACTAATAAATTAGAGGGGGTGAGATGGAGTTGAAAAGCTTCTCCTTTGAGAGACAATGCCTTAAACCTGCACATCGCTCCAAAACGCAATATGTTGACATATATTGTTTTTACATTTTCAAGCTCTAATATAAAGTTTATGTAAATAAAAATTGTTTTTTTCTGCGTAATATCAAAGAACAATCATTTAGTTAAAAAAATAAAAAGGCGAATGCGGGATTCCAACCCGGGCCTCCCTCGTGCTAAGAGGGATTCTACCGCTACATCACCGTATTATTATGAATGGTGGAAGTAATTAAACCCTACTTATCTTGAATGCTATGATTCGGAAGTGACGTCACGTTCTTCATTTAGAAACCTTTCCAAAATCATATCGCCGGCTCCGACCGAAGCAAATTCAATGAAAAATCTTTGAAATGACATATTTATCGTAAGTATTTCTACACAAGATTTGCCCCATTTGTTTATCATTCTATAATCTTTCATTAAGCTCAAAATGATAAAGTTCACCCCTGAAACAACCCAAGATTGCGTTTCGGAGCGAAGTCCAGCTGAAAAATTAAGTGAAACTCAAGACTGGGTCTTAAGATTGGAAAAATTGTTCATTTCTAAGATACTTCAAGACTTTGTGTCTGTTCTTTGAGTCCATATGAAGCCTCTTATATTAAGAATGAGGTTTTTAGACTCCTCAATGGAAAACTTTATTTTATTGTGAATTTTACTTCTGGCATTTGAGCTTGTCATTCAATCACTAATATGCAATGATTCTAATGATTTTGTTTTTTCAGTTGGACCTCTCCAGAGTTAGAAACAGGTAAAGTGAATTTTATTATGAATCAGAGTTCACTTTTTAAATACTCCTCATATATATTTGCTTATATATTAGTTCCGCCTATGTATTACTGAGGTTATTATACTCGTAGTACTTATAGTATTTTGTTAAATGATCTTCTTAGGCAAACCAAAGAACAGAAAAATGAATTCAAACAATTTGGAGAAGTGAAACAAAAAAATCTGTAAGTGGATGACCGAGTGATTGCATTTTCAGATTAATCCTTTGATGTGAAGAAATAACCATATTTATTTGATCCATTCCTAGAATTTTTTGAGAACAGCTTTTAAGGTAAACCCGCATGATGAGAATTTTCATTACTATAGCCCAGCTGTAGCACCTAGCCTCTTTGGCTCGAGCAGTAGAGCGTCAGACTTTGGAGCAAAGGGTCCTGAGTTCAATTCCTGCATGGGGCATTGAACTTAGCACCCTCCCTTACATGTTCAGTATCTGGCTTGTTACACTACAGCTCCCCAGACACATGCCCATGGGCCATTACAATATTTATACATGCTGTGGTAAAACACATGATTTTTCAAAATCAAAATATTTGGTTAAAATTATATCAAAATGACATTTTTTGATTAAAATTTTATTCTGAAAGTAAAGTGTGGGAATACTTTAACTCTGTCCCTCATGTAAAAACATAACATTTGTCATCATACAGGATTTCATGTACTGTAATTTAATGTACACTTGTGAATTCTCCTTTGTGAATGAGCACTGCTAATTTTAGAGGTGAAAATGAATCAAAAATTAGCACTTGTGTGTCAGAGTAGCACATGTTCGCAAATTATGTTCACATAACCAGTATAAAATTAAAATGACCCATTTTGTGTACTCTAACCTATTACAGCTTGCATATTTACATGTATATAATACAGTTATGTGATTTTACAGTATTTTGTATAATACATTTAATATGTTTATCATGTTAAATTCAAAAAATTGCACTGAATTAATTCATTTTCATATTTGATTTGCAGAGTGAGGTAAAACAACACAATGCTTTCCTTATATCCTTTAGTACTTAAGAAAGACGTATTATAGGTTTACTTGGGTTGCTCAAAAAGTTTATTACATCTAAAATCTTAAAATTGTATTCTCATGTGTGTCGTGGAGAAAAATGTGCCATTTGGTTCAATGCCTTTTATTGAAATACAAATATCATAGCTCATTTTGGAAAAAAACTAGGCCTGGAAATCATTTACAGTTGAACTGGTTTTTCGCTTCATTGTATGCGATTACCACCAATCACACAGACACATAATAAACATAACATGCCAATCGGGAACACTTAAAGCATGTTTTAACCCATTTTGTCATATATAAAATCCACAGATTTTAGATGAAAACTCCTAGGCTTTAGAGTCTGTCAGAACCTTTTGTACAACCCAAGTATATTAATTAGTTAGAGCTTGATATTTCAGATAAAAAGTGTTCCTTTGCTTTAGAAATCTACGCTGATGCATTTGATAAATACATGGGCCCTCTCTATGTTTGTGTGATAGATTTACAATAATAAATGATTCCAGATTTAAAAATGTGTAGACTCCAGATTTGAAAATATGTAGACTCCATATTTAAAAATATATAGAAGCTGTGGTAGTATTTATGAATTTAAAGTGTGCGCCTGACCCGGCTACGTATAGCACAGAGTTTATACTGGCGGATTAGACTAGTTCATTTTTTATATGTGTGTGAAAGCTTTCTCTTATTTGCGTTTTTTCGTTTAGTACGGTTTTGTTATAATTGCCGAGGTCATATAACCGGGATAAAACAATGATTATCGTTGACTGCCCACACACAAAACATACGTTGAGTGAACAGTGTTATTACAAACAACAGGCTTTAGAATACAAAGCGTAGTGTGATAATAAGCTGCACACTACCACTGCTGCATGTACATATTACTAATTTACTAGGGCTCCCAAAGAGTGGATAGGGAGGTTGTGTTTGTCACTTTTAAATTTTACATTTCAAAATTGTCATTTTACATGTCATAATTTGTTGGTTTCATTCGTTTAGCCAATCAAAACATTGTAAAACAATAAATTGTCTGTTACGTACAATCAATTTTGTTCAGTTTTGATTAGTTGTCAGAATAAAGTTACGTTCATCTGAATCCATGTATGAAAACAAAAATCCTATTTTCACTTCAAAATACTTCAGTGAGATGAAGGCTCGGAATTGTCACATGCAATAACTTATTGTCGTATTCGTTATTTTATCTTCTCGATAGTAGCATTTAGTCGCACATTTGATGCCAGGTCACCTTGTCGCGTACCTCTTGGGGAACCCCACATTTATGTGTGTACTCATGGAAGTAAATTCCCCGGTGTAGCCGAGAGCCACAAACTTTTCAACAGGTTCGAAATGACCAATTTCTCTCATATATACTCTAAATATTTTATTATTTAGCACCTACAAAGTATTGCTAATAACCATATGTAATTTCAATAAGGAAACTTATCTGGCTACATATAAATTCAATATCAACACTAGCTGTTCTCTCAACACGTCCTGGCTTACCTTGTGGTGACAAACCCTGGGTTTTCGCTATTTATAGTTTATCAACACCTGGACGCATGCGCATTTTATACTTTATCAGGCACTTTAAAGCAGTATTTGAAGTTTGAAAATCAATCAAGCATGAAGGATGAGATTGCCTTAATACTAGGGGAGATTTGGTAAATAAAGGTTATGTATTGAGACTTCTTTGGGAGACAATGTGATACACATGTAGTTTATATGGTTACTTAACAGTGACATCATATGATATCACAAAAACAGCCAATCAACACACTGTATATTACATACATGTATTACTAATAATTACAGACTCTATAGCAAAATAAGCAAAGGCAACCCTATCATGTACTATTGATCTTTAAACAGCAAGCGTTTGGCAGTAGGCTTGAGAAATTATATAGGATTCACTCTGACCACCTTTCCATTTTCCCATCTGGAGTAAGAATCTAGCAGCATTTCCAAATCCCCAATCTATTAATAAAAAAAATGAAACTTTTGCTTTTAGTGTAAGTTAGAATAGAATATCCATGAATTCACATTGAATTTATATGTAACTATAGGTCAATCTACCATCGGTCGTACTTCAGGTAATTTTTTACTAGTGTGTACAGGATGTTCCAAAAAGTGGCATATCTGGAACACCCTGTATCATTAAAACATGGTATTGTATTACTATATACTGTAAGAGCTTTGTTTCTTGTTGTTTAAATCAAGTGAATTGTTTGTGATATATTGCTATATACTGCCTCGTTTCAAAGTGAGAGGGAGGGGCATCACAATTGTTGATAGTTTCTCCTTTTGTACTATGTTCTGTAGCTTATGCCCCCCCCCCTCTCTCTATTTTATCCTTGGTTTGAAAGGTAAATAGTGGGAGGGGTGGGGCGTCATGCAAGAGAGGGAAAGAAGTTCAGAAGAATAAGAGCTATTAGGGTATTGGTATTTGTATCCTGTTGATTTTATAATTGGTTATTTTATGTTTTGAGCTATGTATAAATGTGCCTGATATTGTAATTTTAGTATATTATGTTTTCCAGTGTTTTGTCTATGTCCTTAATTTTAGGTGGTTTATCTGTAATTTTAAGGCTCTTAGTCCAATACAATGTTATTGTACATCTTGGGGATTCCTCCATTCAAGGAGTTACACAATATTCTTCTCAAAATAAGAGTGGAAAAGAATAGAATCAACAAGGAAAGAAGTACACCTTTAGTCAAAATTTGAATCTAGAAATGATGGAAAATCAAATACTCCATTTACATTTACGAGAGAAAGTGAAATAGGCATGGTCATAAAAATGTCTCAATTCATACATTTTAAAGAGTTCAGTATACGCTTGTGTAGAAAAAATTGCAAAAAAACTGTTCAATATCTTTCCACTTACTGAAAAGTATGTCACACGGAAGTATTATATCTTCTTTGGCTTACATTTTGCCTCAACTATATAAATTTGCCTCAACTATTTTAACAATTTGCCTCACCTAAGTTTCAGATCCTGGCTAGACTCCTGGTATATGGATCATTATGATTGTAGAACAATGATATATCTATTTAATATATAACAGACCCATGTTGTGGAATATTATAGGATAACAGATAAAGTTGCAAAGAGGCTACTGAATAAATGTCGGCCATATTTGGTGCACTTGAACGTGCGATGCTGCCCAAATCTTACCAAGACCACTTTTGTGTCAATCAGTGAGTGTAGGAATATACAGGATCTCAACCTCTCAGAGTGCCCAGGATTGACTGTGAGTTTTTGATTGGTTTAACATCATTTTACATAAAAAATTTAAACTGAGACATGGTTTATAGGTGTCCTAAATGTTCAAGTTCAGTTTTGATCCACTTCAATGTTTCAAAAATGGGCTAAAATGAGTTTTAAATATGACAAAAGTCTGATAATATTGTACCACAGTTTTCTTTGCTCCGAGTGGAAATAATTCCAGAACTAAAATGAAAAATACAATTTGTACTTGATAGCTATTATATATTACTGAACTATTAAAATCTGACTTGAATCAGTTATTCAGTCGATTACTGTGTCTCATCTATTTTTGTATAGGATGAGACTTTGAAGATAGTTGCTGAAGGATGTACCATAGTTCTCTATTTAAACCTTTCCCATACACAGATCACTGATGCTGCTCTCAGGACGATAGCCAAGTGAGTAATGTAAAACCAAATGGGTGTCATTCACAGATGTTTTCAGGTATTTTATCCATGTTAAGATAATTATTTCCATATTTTTCTCTATTTTTATTCATTTTGCCTGTTATTGGAAATTCTAATAAAAGACCTGAATTTTGAGATTTCGAATACAGTTTTTTTGCACAGGTACATATTATACTCATGTCTCCGTTTGATTTTCAGAAATTGTATAAATATCCAGTACCTCAGCCTGGCTTTCTGTAAGAAGTTCACAGATAGAGGGCTCTACTATCTCTCCACTGGGAAAGGCTGCAAGAAACTCTTATATTTAGATCTTTCAGCCTGTATGCAGGTGAGTCCCATGTATACTAATTTATTTTAACAACTCGTAATATTGGAAATGTTACAATTTTGAGGCATAGGTAATGGTATTTTATTTGAACTGAAAACGGATCTGTCACCATGGAAACACCCGTTAAACAATAGATATACTTTATAACAGTAAAATATACATATAGACTTTTAATAAAAATGTTTATTTCATGAATATTAGGTTACACAACAGAGATTACAATGATAATTGTAAAATGCATAACATATCAAATATCAAATTTGTATCAAATTTTATATGATGATGCCTAGGGACAAGGCTTGCACCCACATGAAAATGAGAAAAATCATAAAAAATTGGCATATTTTGACCAATTTTGGTCTGAATTGTTAAAATGAGTAATTTGCACCCATTTGAGAAAAAATCCTGTGGAGAACACTGGACAGCATAATTTTTATAGTTTTTGGTATTTTTAGTGACCTTGTAATGTACTTGTATTTTATGGCCTTATGTTTTAGATCACTCCTGAGGGCTTCAAGAAAGCTGCAGAGGGTTGTAGCAATATCCACTCCCTCATGCTAAATGAGTTCAACACACTCAATGATAGCTGTGTTCTGGTAAGTGTTGTCTGTTTATTAGAATATACACAAAGGTAATTTACAAACACAACAGGTTAATTGATAACATTTCATAACATAGAATACATGATACTGCGGAAAAATGCATTTCAGCTGGAAATAACTTGTTTCTTATAGTTAATTCAGTGATCTCCCTAGCATTAAAGCAAGTGGGTGCAGCACCCACCTGAAATTTTGAAAATAGGCTTGCACCCACCTGAAAATCCATTTACACCCACTTGAAAATGAGAAAAATCATGAAAAATTGGCATATTTTGACCAATTTTGGTCTGAATTGTGAAAATGAGAATTTTGCACACACTTGAGAAAAAATCCTGTGGAGATCTCTGTAATTACATCAAATATACGTCAGAGCTGATTGTATGGGGCATCAGAGAGATGTTTAAGACAATCAATTAAAGTTTCTCTTACAGACACTTTAAATAGATATATAGAGGCTCACTTAAAGGTGTAACATGGTCTATCAAGATGCAGGTAGAATGTATTACTGTTGCTTTATACAGATCCAAATGTCATATTACAAGACCCAACTTAACCTCTTGAACCCCAGGCTCTAAAACTGGTTTGAAACCAGAGAATTTTTCATTTTTGCCAGCTTTTGACATTTTACATGCATATACAAAAGATGATGCTCAATTTTGTGAAATTAGTTGGCAGAGATCGATCATTTCTACACATTTTAAAACATTTTTTGTAAATTTGATAAAAATAGTTCAAATCAGAGCGATTAATTTATTATAATTAAAATTTTGTGACAGATTATCTCATCACTCTAGATTTCAAGGTCATTTCTTAGGTGATGAGAAACCATGCCCTCTGGGTAGTCAATAAGTTAAGGGGTTGAAATATGGCCCTTGTTACATCCAAAAGTCTTCCTCAAACACATTTTGAATCTTGTATCAAATATACCATATATGGGCAGAACAGTTGCAGTGGATAAAAAATAAAAAGCATCCCCGAATATAGCTAATGCAAAATTCCTTGCTACAACAACAGAAAATATTGGCACAAACCACAAGATGAAGTAGATAACTGTGATCAGTACAATGACTTTGATACCCTTGCTTCCAGATTTCCTGATTTTCTTATTGTCTTGTTTGGCCTGAGATTGTGGCCCTTTGTCAGCGTTGTTTGTGATTTTAGCGCTGTTTCCATCAATTGTGTTCATGTTGTAGCCATCAGTTTGAGGTTCATCAATTTGTGTTTCCTGTGAGGGACTCAATGGTTGAGGGGTTACCATGGTAGCTTTTATGTGTTTATTTGCTCTATACACGGCTATTCCAATCCTGATATAGCAGAGCAGAAGAATATGCATAAATATACCTAAAGGTACAATCTCCAACAATGAGATGCTACCTGGGATCCAATAGGGTAAACATCGTTGAATGCATCCATTGTATACAAATCCTGGATTGACAAAAACAGGAGATATATAAATGATAAATCCAAGACTCCACAATCCTGCAATGAAAAATCCTGGGAATCGTAACATGAGTTTTTCCTGATGCGTGTAAGGATAGCAGATCATAAAATATCGCTCAAGCGTAACTAAACCTATTGTTGAGAATTCAATAACTACCAGATAGGTTGAAAAAATACCAAGCATTTTGCATGTTAACGTTTCAAGAAATTCAGCCAGTGTCATAAACCTCTGAGATAAACACTGGATCATATATACCATTGCCACCAAAATATCAACCATTGCCAAACTTGATACGTAATAATACGCAGTGTTGTGGAGCTGATAAGATCTCCATACAGTCACAATAAACGTGGTATTCCCGATTAGTGAAATGATAAACAAAATAGTGGCGTAGATACAGAGGATATCCAAGCTTTGTTCCGTTATTTGTCTCAAGCTGTTAATAAATGTTGCATCTGTCATGTTGACCGTAATAGAGACCATGAATTCTGTCTCGTTACAATAAAAAATCTCAACATTCTCCATGTTGGATGTCAGTCCAGTTTCAGTGATAATGTGATCTCAGCCTAGAAATCGATGTGATATCTATAATCCAGTGTTGTGATGTTAGCTTATATGTGATACAACTAATGTCAGATCTTGGAATACAACTGATGTCAGTTCATGTGATACAACTGATGTCAGTTCATGTGATACAACTGATGTCAGATCTTGTGATACAACTGATGTCAGTTCATGTGATACAACTGATGTCAGATCTTGTGATTCAACTGATGTCATATCTTGTGATACAACTGATGTCCGTTCATGTGATACAACTGATGTCAGATCTTGTGATACAAAACTGATGTCAGTTCTTGTGATCCAAGTAATGTCAGTTCATGTGGTACAGTTGATGTCAGAGCAATTGGTCTTATTTTTTACTTTATACCTGGATATCATGCTATTTATTTAACAAATCTAAATGAGGATGATCCATATATTAATGCTGGGTACTCAGGGTTCTAAGTTCTAATGGATCTGACTGCTATTGTTTCAGAAGTGAATGTAAATAAACTTCCATCTCGATCATATGTCAATAAATGTCTCCTGCCAGGCCACTGGTGTGACTTAAATATTTACTTTGTTGGAATTACTTTGATCAAGTTAACATTAACTCACATTTTGCATAATATGATATATGCATGATCCACATAACTAATGTTTGTTGAAACTTGTGCTGTTGTGATGCCTGATTGCCTCAACTGTCGCTATAAGGGCACAATGAAACTCTTTGGATGAGTCAAACTCCATTACCTAAAAATAAAAAAGTCAATTGATGAAGCCTGGAGTATTGGTGGTCTGTCTCCTAGTTACGGACCAGAAATATGTTTTATTCAGTTTTAAGTGTGTACTCGTTCATCAATAAATAAACAAATTGCTGTTTTTAGAGTTATCTGCAATCAATGCCATTAACAGAAAGCAGTTACTAATTGCACCCTGGAAAAGATGTCTACCTTTTCTGAAATTATGCCTCTCAATTTCCTCCTAATATGATTCTCTTAAACCTCGGTCACATTTGCTCTTCGATACAGAAAATCTACATCGTACTGCTTATCCCTATAATGCATGCTGCATATTTCTCTTGATTTTGGGAAGTTACGGCCGTAGCACGGTTGTCATAAATCAAATGTGACTGAGGCATTAGGAAGTAGTCCCATGTATTCATAGTTATATATGACATTCTATACATACATACATGGTACCATGTAGAAACATAAGATAATTTAAGATTTATTTTGAATTTTACAAAAATTGATGCAACTTTCTTCAAAATATATTACATACATATGTATATATAGTAAAACCTGTGTTGATGAACATCTCTCTCTAGTGAACCACTATCAACAGTGAATGTTTCTTCGGGCAAAAGTTTTTTCTCCCATTGACTCCCATGTTATAGTACATTCCTGAAGTGAACACCTTCCTACCTGAACAGTGGACATTAGTGCTGTCCCCAGCTCCGATTTCGGTGATCGGCTAGTATAAAAGGTTTGAGGGTATCATTTTGTTCTAGACACTCGCTAGAGTAAATTATCTTAACTTGAGTAGAAATGTGTGGTAAGTAAATTCGCTATGGGCAGTTAAAGAGGCGCCATCTATTCATTTTCAAACAGGGGGTAGGGGTATAAAATAATTTTTAACACATTTTAATAGTAAAATGACATTGAAATACTAATAAAATCTTATCAAAAACATTATTTACAATCAGTATGAATTTTCTTGTGTGGATTAGGGTGAAAATAAGGGCATATCTTGAAATTCACTACAGGGGCGCCACCTATTTTCGTACTTCTACCACGTGTAATAACTTATTTTAGATTTGTTAAGGTATGAAATGTACTGAAAAAAATCATTCTGAAGGACCTATATATGTTCATACCACATACTTAAAATTGGATCAATAGCTTATGTACCGGGGGAGAAAAAAATTATTGAAATTTAAAATTGTGGCATCATGCAGGATAGGGGTGACCATATCTCACATGATTAACTTCCAAAATATGGAGCATATGTATCTCAAATGTGGTCAAAATGGTGTATGTACTCTTGCTTTGTCATAATATTACTAATAAGAAGTAGAAAAATGATTGTACAATTTCAAAAAATATTAATTCTCATTTTGGCTTCTGACGTCCCAGGGGTGACCATATCTCACCTTGATAACTTCCAAAATATGGAGCATATGTATCTCAAATGTGCTCAAAATGGTGTATGCACTCTTGCTTTGTCATAATATTACTAATAAGAAGTAAAAAAAATGATTGTACATTTTAAAAAATATTAATTCTCATTTTGGCTTCTGACGTTCCAGGGGTGACCATATCTCACCTTAATAACTTCCAAAATATGGAGCATTTGTATCTCAAATATGCACAAAATGGTGTATATAGTCTTGTCTTGTCATAATATTACTAATAAGATGTAGGAAAATGATTGCTCATTTTTAAAAATATTAATTCTCATTTTGGCTTCTGACGTCCCAGGGGTGACCATATCTCACCTTAATAACTTCCAAATTATGGAGCATATGTATCTCAAATGTACTCAAAATGGTGTATGTACTCTTGCTTTGTCATAATATTATACTAATAAGAAGTAGGAAAATGATTATACATTTAAAAAATTTTAATTTTAGCTTCTGACGTCCCTGAATAACTTCTAAAATTATGTAACATATACAACTCAAATATACCAAAAATGGGGCATATAGTCTTGCTTTGTCATAATGCTATTCATGAGATGTAAAAAAATTATTACACCTTTTTTCAATTGAAATTTTCATTTTAGCTTCCGAATCTGACATCCCAGGGGCAATTATATCTCACTTTGATATAACTCTCACGATATGCAACATATGCATCTCAAATGCGTGCCCAAAATGGTATAAATATAGTCTTGTTTTGTCATATTAATTGGATTTATGAAATCAGAAGTTCAGAATTTATGGATTTGACTGTCTCCCCTGAAGGGTGCAGCTACATATAGCCCAGAGACAATAAGATCTACTTTCAAATATTTGCATCTTCTCCCCAAACACTCCTTATATTACAGGAACAATGGATGATAAGTCTTTTGCATGCCTTGGATGCAACATCTTTTGTATACTGGTAGCCTATCAGTAGTGTGAGTAGCCTAGCCTCATTTACCAAAATTGGCCCCTTAACCCCAAATCTGACCCGAAATTTTGAAAACATCCTGAAAAATTAGGCCTAAAAGGCGCATTTATGCCCAAACATACACCAAACTGTCCCACTGCTAAATTACAAGGGCGATAAGTCACTTCTAATCCTGATTGACCTTCTCAATGCATGGTTTGTCATGTTGTGCTATATTGTTATTGCCCAATCTCAACAATTGTATTCACTGTATGGCCTACCGTGCCAAGAATAATGCAATTGTTCCAAAAGCTAAGCTCTTCTTTGGGACCCTAGAAGTGTGGGACATCACAATCATAGATTAATATTTCATTACAATCAATGTATGTTGTATGACAAACATGCAAACTAGAGAATGTTAATGTGGCTAGAAAGATTTATCATTACAAAGAGCTCCTTTTCCCATATTTTACATACTCAAAATCCCTTAATTCAGTGTATAATCCAAGGTGCATATATTGCAGGCCACAGGATAACATATTAACACCTTACATTAGCAGTTGCCATTACCGCATAAATGGAGTAAAATACTCCCACTATTGACAGGCTAAAAGGATTCCTGTATGGATTACAAAAAATGTTGGGTCCAATGTATGCAAGGGAATAATCTCATCCATTGTACTTGTAAAGGGTGTTTGGGGAGCAGATGCAAATATTTGAAAGCAGATATTATTTGCCCTGAATTATATGTAGCTGTAGAGGAGACAGTCAAAATCCATTGATTCTGATCTGTTGATTTCATGATTCTCAATAAATATGACAAAACAAGACCATTTTGAGCACACATTTGAGATGCATATGTTGCATATCGTGAGAGTTATCAATGTGAGATAGCCCCTGAGACACCAGAGGCTAAAATTAAAATTTAAAAAAAAATGCAATCATTTTTCTACATTTCATTAGTAATATGAAAACTTTTCTGAGAATATTTGAGGATTATATGTTACGTATCTTAGAAGATATTATTATATGATGCGATATGATTACCCAGGAACGTAAGAAGCTAAAATTAAAATTTTTGAAATGTATAATCACTTTTCTACTTCTTATTAGTAATAGTATGACAAAGCAAGAGTGCATACACCTTTTTGAGTACATTTGAGATACATAATGCTCCATATTTTGGAAGTTATTAATGTGAGATATGGTCGACCCTGGGATGTCAGAAGCCAAAATGAGAATCAATATTATTTTAAATGTACTTTACTTCTTATTAGTAATATTATGACAAAGCAAGAGTACATTCACCATTTTGAGCACATGTGAGATATATGCTCCATATTTTGGAAGTTATTATATTAAGGTGAGATATGGTCACCCCTGGGACGTCAGAAGCCAAAATAAGAATTAATATTATTTTAAATGTACAATCATTTTTTTTACTTCTTATTAGTAATATCATGACAAAGCAAGAGTACATACACCATTTTGAGCACATTTGAGATACATATGCTCCATATTTTGGAAGTTATCAAGGTGAGATATGGTCACCCCTAGGACGTCAGAAGCCAAAATGAGAATCAATATTTTTAAAAATGTACAATCATTTTTCTACTTCTTATTAGTAATATTATGACAAATCAAGAGTACATACACCATTTTTAGTACATTTGAGATACATATGCTCCATATTTTGGAAGTTATTAAGGTGAGATATGGTCACGCCTGGGACGTCAGAAGCCAGAATGAGAATCAATATTTTTTAAAATGTACAATCATTTTTCTACTTCTTATTAGTAATATTATGACAAAGCAAGAGTACATACACCATTTTGAGTACATTTGAGATACATATGCTCCATATTTTGGAAGTTATTAAGGTGAGATATGGTCACCCCTGGGACGTCAGAAGCCAAAATGAGAATTAATATTTTTTAAAATGTACAATCATTTTTCTACTTCTTATTAGTAATATTATGACAAAGCAAGAGTACATACACCATTTTGAGTACATTTGAGATACATATGCTCCATATTTTGGAAGTTAATAATGTGAGATATGGTCACCCCTATCCTGCATGATGCCACAATTTTAAATTTCAATAATTTTTTTCTCCGACAGTACAAAAGCTATTGATCCAATTTTAAGTATGTGATATGAACATATATAGGTCCTTCAGAATGATTTTTTTCAGTACATTTCATACCTTAACAAATCTAAAGTAAGTTATTACACGTGGTAGAAGTATGAAAATAGGTGGCGCCCCTGTAGTGAATTTCAAGATATGCCCTTATTTTCACCCTAATCCACACAAGAAAATTCATACTGATTGTAAATAATGTTTTTGATAAGATTTTATTAGTATTTCAATGTCATTTTACTATTGAAATGTGTTAAAAATTATTTTATACCCCTACCCCCTGTTTGAAAATGAATAGATGGCGCCTCTTTAACTGCCCATAGCGAATTTACTTACCACACATTTTTACTCAAGTTAGGATAATTTACTCTGGAGAGTGTCTGGAACAAAATGACACCCTCAAACCTTTTATACTAGCCGATCACCGAAATCGGAGCTGGGGACAGCATCACATTTGGAATCTTGGCAATGTTGATTGAATTTACCTGTGTTAAGTGAACATTGTACATATATGATATCCTGTACATCAAAGTAATTATGACAATTGATATTCTTTTAATTCCAAGTTTTGAAGTTTGAGCAAGTAATAGTTAACATTAACACTGCTCTAAACATCATACTTCTATTTTAATTAATTGAAGTTTAGGTACTTGGAGTTTTGATTCATAGACATATACATACATGTATCCCTTAGAGGCAAATATTGATGTTTAAACTATTGTTTTATATCATTGTTTCCAGGCGATGACTGAGCATTGTCACAAGTTGAAGTACGTCTCGTTTCTTGGCTCCCCATATCTCACGGATGAATCATTCAAAGCACTTGGCAATCACAAAAAACTGCAAACAATTAAAATTGATGGTAAGATATTTTCAATGGTACCACTTCAAATGTTTGTAATAATCCTTCTGTAAAGCCACTGCAAGCAACTTGCTTATTGTCATGTAATTTTCTAATGGGATGAGAAGTATGGTATAGAACTTTATTCATATTCAATTCATTGCATATGTATTATGAAAGCAACAATGCTAAAATCAAAATGGACAAAAATTGCTAAAAAACTAAATTGATGTCCAGACGAGAGTGCAACCAGTTAGAGCAAAAACAAAACATCCTGAACAATTATTACATGTATCTAACTAATTACACATGCTTTCTAATGCCCCATTTCACACTCTTAAGATGCCAATATCACAATTATTTTAGTGTTGTGTCAGATCTTAGTCCGGCAATCTGCCTCCTGCTCTATTCTATAGTTTCTTTTGCATTGGGGAAAGAGATGTGGGGGGTGAAATACAATGAACTCTGTGCAAAGCTAGCCCTATAACAAATTTAATTCTCCAATTGGTGCATAAATCAGACATCAAATGCTAAAAAACATGTACACACATCTCAGAAAAGAAAATTCCATTTTCAGCTAACCAAAAGATCACAGATGCCTCTTTCAAACATATCGGAAAGTTATGCAGTGATCTGAAGCACTTGTACTTAGTGGACTGCCAGAGAATAACTGATATGACATTAAAGTCTCTCATCTCATGCAGAAATCTCACAGTCATCAACCTGGCTGACTGTGTCAGGTAAATTGGGTGGAAAGTTATGCAGGGATCTGAAGCACTTGTATATAGGTTTTCATGTCACCACTAGAAGTGGTTGATGTTCAGTGTTTGGCATCTGTAACAGCATTCTGGTATATATTTATTCATATATTTATTCTGATACTGGTCATTCCTGTATTTAATGCTCTTAGCTACTAAATTGCCCATTACCTGCCATATACATGTACTTATCATAGCTTTGTATGCTTCTAGGATTACTGACACAGGTGTACGCTACATCGTTGATGCTCCCTGTGGTCCCAAACTACAAGAGTTCAATCTGACCAATTGTATCAGAGTTGGAGACATTGCCATAGTGAACATACACAAACGGTATGTACTTGGAAATATTACTGTTTAGTCTTGTATAAAGTCTCTGGACTCCCACATACAGGGTGACCCCCAAAATGCAACCCTCTAAATTTTGAATAACTCTAAATCAGTGTGGAATCTTAGTCATTTAGATTTGCATATTCTCCTTTAAAGTATGCTCGAGTTCAAGAATCCAAAAATGATGTTTGCATTTTTTGGTCACTCTGTACTTGTTAAGTTCCTTATGAAGATGAGCATTTGAAGCAAATGAATTTATGCCTAGATTTGTATTAAGAGTTTATTTTGAGTCAAATTCTGTCTAGTGTCCATGTAATTGTTGCAGAGCAAGAATTGAAAAATAGGGAGTATGTAGCGTGAAGTACAGAATGCAGTTTACAATTCACAATTGTCTTATGTTGCTATGGAGCAGCAATGGAATCACATCTCCTGCATCCATTTTATCATCCATCGTTGTTCCCAAAACATTCATTTTAGGCCCACTTTTTCAACAAGCGATAAAATGTCAAATTTTTGTCTTTTGTAGGTGCCATAACTTGTCTTACTTGAGTCTATGCTTCTGTGAACATATCAGCGAGGCAGGGATAGAGTTGTTGGGACAAACACATAGCCTCACATCCCTTGATCTCTCAGGCTGTAACTGTGGAGACCAGGTACTGATTGGGCTCTATAGGGACCTGTTTATATTTGTTTTATACCCAAATAGGCCATGGGTAAAAGAAATAAATTCATAAAAAGATGACAGTGCAATCATCAATCATCCAGTTCACAAAAGGGAACAATATTCTATCCATATCATATCAACAACTGCCATCTTTATGTCAGCCTAAAAGCTCTGATTAAAGGGAATAGACTCAGTAAAAGAATGCTTGAGTAGAACTTTTTACTCCCAGTACTACTGATCAGTAATAAACTTTAATAATAACAATATCACAAGCTTCCAATGATCATCCATACTGATCATTTGATACAAAGTAGATTTTTGGAAAATCAGAACAACTATACAAACATTTGAAGTACAACTTACATGTATTTTATATCATTTTGGCAGGGATTATCAGCACTAGGCAACAACCCAAGATTTAGGGAGGTTACTCTCTCAGAATGTTTAAACATCACTGACCTTGGCCTCCAGAAGTTTGCCCAGCAGTGCCCAGACATTGAGAGACTAGACCTTTCTCACTGTCAGCAGTTGACTGATGGGGCAATTAAGAATTTAGCGTTCTGTTGTCGGATGTTGAATGTCTTGAACCTGTCTGGCTGTAAACTGGTGAGTACTGTGTGTATGATGTCTGGGTGTAAGAATGATCATTCTGTAAAGAAGGTCAGAGCAAAGCACCCCAACAGCAGAGAACTACCATGCTCCCAGGAATCCTCCAATCAACAACAGACTGGGAAATCATGGTCGATTTGGACAGGAAGTTGGTGTTTCCACAAGATATAGCTATTACGACACTAAGACCAGACATTGTCATTAGATCAATTGACAAAAGGTGTGTTATCTTGGTCGAGCTGACTGTTCCATGGGAGGATACAATTGAGGTTTCCCATGAGTTGAAACAAACGAAATATGATGACATTATCACAGAAGCAAGACAGAAGGACTGGAAAGCCCACAGCTTCCCTATTGAAGTAGGATGCAGGGGTTTTGCTGGAAAGTCAGTGACTTGGATGCTGAAGTCCCTTGGAATGCCATCTACCAAGCGGAAGCGAGCAAGTATGCAGATTGCAACAGTAGCGGAGAGATGCTCCAGATGGATATGGTTGAGAAGCAGTGCTGCATGGTTGCCCCATTAGTAATTACCATCTCATTTCGACCACCCCTAAGCTTCTCTTTATGCATGCATGGTGTCTCATTATGGGTTCCATAATGGGCGGGAGTTAACAGCAGAAGACGCTTATGGATCCACCCGGTCTTGCACTATTCATGCATATTGTTTTCAGAAGTTGCAGCGTGAGTTAGGAATGAATTGGGGTAACAGCGCATCAGCGTTTAATTCAACATCTGTAGCCCATGCCTTGAGTTCTAATGAAAATACTGTATATATTTGTGTCATATGGGCAGATCCAACAAAGTGAAGAAAATGGGCCAATATAAAGCTTTTTGAAAATGCATGTCTAAAAATTCACAACCATACATCGTAAAGTAATGTAAACCCAACAAAGGAAAGGAAATGGGTCAAAGTAAAGTGTTTTGTATTGGAATTGGAAGTGAGGGAAAGGGATGAAGTGGGGTGTTTTAGAATTTTCAACTCTGCAACGTAAAGCTCAAAATTTTACATTAGAATGCCATAATTTTTTGTGCCTGAATTTTGACATTCAATGGGCAGATCAGATCGCTAGAAATTCACCTTTTCATTAAATGATTCAATTCATTTAGATACAAAATTTAACATTGACATGAAAAACACACCATGTGGGGTGTATAAGTTTGATGTTAACATGCAATATATCATTTACTAATTGACAGTCAGGTTATATGGAAACAGAAAATGATAAAGCTTAAAATACATCATAATAAAATACAAGTAATGAGAAGAAAACATTTTCCAAAGTAGATCTAATAATAGTATAAATGGTAATTCTGATTATCCATTTCATCTAAGTGTGTTGTTTTGTGTTTCAGCTGACTGATCTTAGTGTGCAGTATCTCTCTGGTGTATGTCACTATCTCATTGAGGTTGACCTCACAGCCTGTATTCTCATCTCGTGAGTTTAGTTAGCTTTATAATTGGAGTTATTATATTTTGTCTATGACAAATACCTATTTAATTGTAAGTTCATTTTTCTTTTGATCATAAAATAGGAGTAATATATGAAGAATAAAGTGCTTTTTGTTCAAAGGCTCTGATTATTTGCCTACATTCCTCTGGTCATTTTCACCCTCAAAATTGGAAGTTGGTACAGTAACATAATAAGGACCAGAACGTAAACTAAGAAAACACAGACTAAGGAAAGGCTACACAATACAAAACCTTCAATATATTTTATCATTGCAGAGACAAAGCATTGAAGTACCTACGGAAGGGCTGTAAAAACCTAACCTGCCTTTACATTCTCTATTGTAAAAATATCACAAAGTAAGTAGTAGTAGTACTGAAAGAAACATGAAGTAGTACTGAAAGCTGTTTATTGAATAAAGTGATGTCATAAATCATGGTTCGAATCCTGCTTTTACTTTAAGTTTTTATCTGATTCTGTTTAGCAAGTTTACAAAAATCCCAATTACTGGTAAATTGTACCATGAAATATTTTCTGAGCTGTCACTGCAAATTTGTATTCCCTCCCCTTTGTGTATTTGATTTTGAACCATTGTGTATATTGAAATTTTGGGAACAGTTGTATGTATATATAATGTATCTCCAACAAAGATGTTTTAATCTTATTTTCAGACATTCCGCTCAGAAGTTGATGAAGCATGTGGATACTGTGCATTACAACAACGATGATGTCCCAAGTTACTTTGGATATTGACTTATATTTATATTATATTTATACCCAGAGGTTGGTAATGTTGGAACTATACATTATAGCAATGATAGTGTTACACTAACATCATAGTGTATCAAATTAACATCATAGTGCAGGTCGGACAAATTCCTACTTTTAAGAAAATGCAGTTTCTATCTCCATAGAGAATCAACAGAATCTCTAACAGTTATTAACCTGCAAGAATACACATACATTGTATAGGCCTAGTACTTACAATATTAATGCTACAATATCGATGTATGTGCCAATGAAGGGGTCAAGGCTAAAAAGGAGATGCTTGGAGAGTTTTTTGGGTTTGCTCAACTGCGGGCCACAAAATTTAATCAAACTGCTGACACGGAAACCTGAAGTAATGTAGAAATTAAAAATGTAAAGTTTACATTTATCTGTGCCAAATCAAGACCTACTTGTTGTGTAACATTACATATGTGATGTCAACAAGGTAAGGATATGTCAGTAAGGTAAATATTTTGAGGGACTTCTTCAACTTTATCTATATTTCATCATTACTCTCAAGGCCCGCTTGTAAGATGACCTCATTGCTTGCGATGTCAGCGGGAACTTGCTCATGATATAAACGGGGCCTTGGTAGTCATCATGTACTTGATATTAATTGTACTTGTCATCAAATATGAATGAAACAGTTGTAAATTTTGTAATATATTGTACATAGCAACAATATTTGTACATTGATGTATATAAAATAATATGTACAGTGGTACTTTGTAAGTGATAATTCACTATTGATGGGCTGGAAATAATTAGTCAAGTCAATGATAAGACAAAATTTTATATCACCAAATGAAGAATGAATACTTAACTACCCTGGTGATTTTGTACAAAAAAATGTATTTAAATAATTTAAATCATTATCTATTTGAAAGGAGGTCAATACTAAGGTTATGCCTATTGTAATATAAAGAAATTGCAGTATTTAGAAAATATGCAGAAAAGTTATGTAAATATCAATGTACATATTATATATAGGAAATACAACTAAAATTAAATGTTCAACGTGTACGATTCAAGGCAGAAGTGTAGATTATTCCAAAATTCATGAGGAAATTAATTTTATTCTGTGACCTGTCACTTGGTCGCTTTCATTATCCCAATGAACAAAGTGAACAAAGTTCAGTAGGGATACAGTGAAGTCCTCCTTCCCGTCATTCAGTCAGTCCGTCAGTCTCTCCATACAGAAGATAACTCAAATACTAATTAACAGATTTTTTTCATATTTGGTGGAAAGATGTACAGGGTGTCAATTAAGTCTAGTCCCCCCTGCTACAACTAAAACCTTAATAGATGGTACCTAGTGTGATATACCATTGGAAAGATCATCCAAAGTTATGTTAACTCACCAACTGTCAAGTTTTTTGGATGAAATTCACCTATATTTTCATGATGTTTTTATAGTTACTGTACCCTCCTTAAGCAGCTTTCATTGCATCAAAATGAGAAGGATATGAGTAGCGGGGGGACGGGACTTATTTGACACCCTGAATATTGGCTGATTGGTGAATAGTTTTACGCAATCTTTTTTAAAGATGACAGGAACTTTTCAAAAAATCGTATGCTTTTTATTTTAAACCAAATTTGAACATGACTGTATTCACGTCTTCTATAATCTGTTAACAAAGTCAACATTTCACCCGGGGTATATTCGCCAACAATGCCCCTGGTAATACGAGTAATGTGTGACGTCATAATGGCGGGCCGTAGTAATGGCGGACCGTTATGAATATTCGAAACATTTTGGTGAGATTTCATGTTCGAATCGTAATATAGACCTAAGAGCAGGTGTAATATTGTTGAATACACCTCGCAGGGCTAGGCAAAAACGTTTTCTGTACCCCAAACGACCGAAGGGAGTGAGGGGTTCGATAGCTTTTGTGCTAAGCCCTGCAGGGTGTATTCGACGACATTATTATTATTAATATTCAAACTATATTATTGTTTGAAATTTTGGAAGTATATTCACATATTTCTATTTCACATATATTTCATGTTTTTCAGCCTGACCCCGAGGAGGTTGGGAAAACAGGAATTTGGATTTATTTCTAGATGTTTTTGAAGTATAGTTTTATTATACTCAAATGAAAAGCAATTTAGAGTAGATTGCAAATATTGTATTGTTTTTCTGATTAAGGCCTCATAAAATTCAAATTCGTTACCTGTGGGATTTCGCTATTATTTTTTCTGATCTCTTAAAAGTATGGCTATATCATGTATATACTCAAATTGAAGATCACAATTAGGGTATTGTTTTTTGTTTTTCTAATTTGTGCCTCAGAAAAATTCAAAATGGCTGCCTCGAGCAGGAATTCACCATTACTTAGAGATATCTTTAAGTATGGTTACTTGATACTACAATGATCTCAAATGTTTATTGAAGGGAAGAGTAGATGCTAAATATTACATTGTGACTGTACAGATTCATGATTTACGTCGTTTATAGTGTTTGTTGGGATTTGCTACTCCGTGGAGTTGAAATTTTCTAGTTTAGTCTGGATTCACCAATAAAAAGACTAAATTTCAGATCTGAATTATTTATTCAATCTAAGACAATCACATAACTATGTCATCATTTTTATGTTTAAGTATTTGTTTGCATTTACAATCAGAATGTGACATATTTTTAGAGTCTCCAACTTTTTTGTGGATGGTGTTCAGCGTCAGTAACATGTCAGTTGGTGACATTTGTTTAGTATTGCCTTGAATATAGTTTACAAAAATATTTACAAATGATACGAGATTACCATTCCAGTGAGATTAATCTTAAGTCAGAACGATAAAGTGAAGCATAAGATATGCATTTTGTATATTTGAATAAAAATAGGAAAAATGGCCTCAATAAAAATAAAATATTATATTTTGTGTTTTTGTTTGCTACCAGGAACTGGGTAATGAATAATGAAGCCAATTTAAGAAACTATTCAATAAGATCTAGATATTTAAGATATGTGAACCTGTGAACATGATCTGTGAGCACATTCCCACCACATGCACTGTTCAAGCTCACAGTATAATTGGCACATTGCTACTATACTCATATTATATGAGTTTGTATATATCTTTGCTGTGATTTTACCGTGAGCTTGGGGGTATATTCACACATACATGTAGCTAGGCAAGGTGTGTCAGATTCCAGCCAATCCAAACACGTTATTACAAATAAGTGCATGCAATTAAAAAACCAATAATTCACCCAAGGTCACTCATTCTAGATTCTATTGAAAATAATGAAATTGATACACTGATAAGTTCATATTTGAGTGAAACTCTATAAATAGTATCATGGGAATAACTAGCTACGTGCTTGTGCAGGTCAAAGGTTAAGTGTTGTATAGGTTTCATGGCGAGGATCCATGATACCGACTGACACAAACAGAAGTGACAAATTGAACCTTCCAAAAAGTTTAATTGAAATATATTCTTTTAGGTCATTTCATATCTTTTTTTGTGATATTGTATAAATTATTTTGTGAAAAGAATTTAAGCCCAATACTCAATTCATTGTGGAATGACCATTCCTTTCAGGCATTGTGCAAATTTTAGAAAGCGACACCTTCAAGGAACGGTCATTCCACATTGCACCGAGTTCAGGGCAATCCTTAAATCACTTAAAACTTTTAAGACTCCCATTTTAAGTTTGATTTTGTGGTTTCCAGCCCCCTGATGCAAGCAAATGCATTAATGCCTCTGAGGCCACAGTTTCCTGGGTGTCCAGTATATGTACCTCCTCTGATTGTCCTTGTACAGCAGTGGAGTCTATGTACATCACTCCCCCATGGTTCATTGCCACCTGGGTACAAGGCTGTTGTGAAGGAGGTATCTCACTACCAGATGGTATGGCCAATTCAATAGAATTAGTGGCTCCATCTATATTAGCAGTCCCAGTGCCAACTTGCTCCCCATCTGTAATACCCCCAGAGTCTAAAAACACTATTTTTGGGTTTGGATCTAAATTTGGAATAAACGAGTTGGCTGTATTTGCCATTGAGGTCACTGTCTGAACAGTCTGTACATGTGCTTCATTATAAACCTCAATCCTATTTTCAGCTTGCGTTTGACCCTCTGGTACATCTTGTATCTGCACCATTGTCTGTTCACCTTCCTCTGTGTTTATATACATGATAGTCTGACCATTGTCTAGTTTGTAAAGAACATGTTCTGGCTGCTTATCAGACTGAGATGCACCGTTGTCAGCTACTTGGGGATTGGTTATATTGGTTTCCATCTGGAAAATACACATTTAGAGATAGTAGAGTTCAAAGGTCAGCAATTCCTATTTAGCTTGTGCTACTGGAGTTTCTAGCAAATAGGCCCATGGGCATTTTTCAAAGAAAGTGTATGAAAAATTATTTTTCCCAATTTCTAAAGCCCCATGGGAGTTCTTTTTGAGGGCCTCTAAATGAATGCCAAGTGGGCAAAACAAGGATTCCTGGGCAATATCCTGTTATTGACACCATAAAATTGTTGAATTCAAAAATTTCAAAATTGATTTCAAAACAACAGAACTTTGATAGAACATCTGCAGAATATGCAAAAATGCACAGTTGCTAGTTTATCCTCGATTGTTTCGATGTTCAAACTTTGCGAATAAGGTCCCCAAAACACTTGCTTCTTGGATGTACTGTAAAGCATGTTTTAGTGATGGTCAAAAAGTGAATTTTCCATGCTGTATATGAATTATTTTCTAACTGATCAATGGACATAAAGAAAATAGAAAATGAAAATGAAGGGAAATACCATCAGAAATGAAGTATACATGGATATTCACAATAAAAAAAAATTGACAAAGAAAAGAAGTAAATATTTATACAATACCTTAACCTGCACTTGGTCCACTCTAGGCGCAATATCAACTGCATTAGAAACATGTTCCAGGTTCCCTTCAGGTGTCTGAACTAAATACACCATAGACGACGGGTCATCCTGTTTCTCCATCACAAACGTTATTGCTTCCTTATTAGTATCCTTCATGTGCTTCTTGATATGTCGACAGTATGAGGAGACATCAGGGTATGAGCTGCCGCAGTCTTTAAATGTACACACGTAAGGTTTCATGCCCATGTGCTGGTGCATGTGCTCTCGTAGGTACTGCATGCGGGTAAACGACTTAGCACAGATTGTACAGAGGAAAGGTCGCTCGCCAGTGTGCTTGCTGTGGTGTCTACGTAGCTCACCTAAAATTCAATTACCCAGATTAAATTGTTTAGTTTTCAAACATAAATCTTAAAAATAAAAGAGACATTGCCTATTTAGTTGTAATACCCTAAATAGCATTTAACATTTCCTTTTACCAAATAAACAATTTACAAAAGGAAGAGGTTGGGGGGTCCTTTCATTAGCCTGGTATAACCTGATTTCAATATTTAGATGAAATAAAAATGAAATGCAAGTGGATGTATATCACTTTAAGTATGACAAATAAACATACCAAATGACACATAAACATCTTAAGAGTAAAGACATACCACATAAACACAACTAATGACACATAAACATACCTGGTGACACATAAACATCTAAAGAGTAGACATACCACATACACACACCTAGTAACACATGAACATACCTAATGACACATAAACATCTAAAGAGTAAAGACATACCACATAAACACACCAAGTGACACATGAACATACCTAATGACACATAAACATCTAAAGAGTAAAGACATACCACATAAACACACCAAGTGACACATGAACATACCTAATGACACATAAACATCTAAAGAGTAAAGGCATACCACATAAACACACCTAGTAACACATGAACATACCTAATGACACATCAACATCTAAAAGAGTAAAGACATACCACATAAATACACCTAGTGACACATGAGCATACCTAATGACACATAAACATCTAAAGAATGAAGACATACCACATAAACACACCTAGTGACACATGAACATACTTAATGACACATAAACATCTAAAGAGTAAAGGCATACCACATAAACACATCTAGTGACACATAAACACACCTAGTGACACATGAACATACCTAATGACACATAAACATCTAAAGAGTAAAGACATACCACATAAACACACCTAGTGACACATGAACATACCTAATGACACATAAACATCTAAAGAGTAAAGACATACCACATAAACACACCTAGTGACACATGAACATACCTAATGACACAAAAACATCTAAAGAGTAAAGACATACCACATAAACATACCTAGTGACACATGAACATACTTAATATACATAATGACACATAAACATCTAAAGAGTAAAGACATACCACATAAACACACCTAGTGACACATGAACATACCTAATGACACATAAACATCTAAAGAGTAAAGACATACCACCTAAACACACCTAGTGACACATAAACACACCTAGTGACACATGAACATACCTAATGACACAAAAAAATCTAAAGAGTAAAGACATACCACATAAACATACCTAGTGACACATGAACATACCTAATGACACAAAAACATCTAAAGAGTAAAGACATACCACTAAACACACCAAGTGACACATGAACATACCTAATGACACATAAACATCTAAAGAGTAAAGACATTCCACATAAACACACCTAGTGACACATAAACATACCTGGTGACACATAAACATCTAAAGAGTAAAGACATACCACATAAACACACCTAGTGACACATAAACATACCTGGTGACACATAAACATCTAAAGAGTAAAAGACATACCACATAAACACACCTAGTGACACATAAACATACCTGGTGACACAAAGGCCATACCACAGACAGTACAAGGGTGTCTCTTGGTCTTAGTATGCCTCATGATATGCATTTTCAGTTGGGACTTCTGGCGGAAACTCCTCCCACATATGTCACATATGTGGCCTTTCCAGCCTGTATGGGTGTGCATGTGTGACTTTAGTATACCACTCTGAGTAAATCCTTTACCACATTGGTCACACCTGGAAAGACCATTTACATATAATTGATACGTTTACAATGTATTTGTGTTACTTATACAGATTTTAGCATGATGTAATGCATGAGTTAATTAATAATAAAATTCATAAGTAAACAATCATGTAAACATACAGGAAAATAAAACCTGCCTAATCTGAACACTTCAAAGACCAGCCAAAAGTGTTCAGATTTCTAGATTTTTCAAGTTGATGGGAGGAAAAATTTCAACCAAGGTCCAAGATAGTGTTCACATTGAGAAGTGTTTGGATTAGAGTGGTGTTTTAATATATGGGTATAACTGTATACCCAAATATATACAAAGATCAACAAAACTATTACATGGGCACTATCCACACCAAATTGTACTACGAGCACGTTCGCAGTACAATATTCAATGAGTTGATGATACCATCAGAAAAAAATTAACAATAGGATGGGATCCGAATAAAACCCATTTTAAGATACTGAACAAGAATGAATGACTGCTTATGTGTTAGATTATCACAGTGCCGCAGAGCAGCATATCCCACCAGATGATAATTACCTTAAGATGCCGATTAAAACTTACAAAAATCTTATCATAGATTTCTACCTTAAAAGCTCTATGCTTACTCCTATTATTGTATGTCCTAATTGTGGTTTGTATCCATTGTGGGGTTAAATCAGATATCTTTAAGAAGTAATATGCCTATTAACACTTAACTGGCTTCTTACTTGGAATATAGAATATCTTGCCATAGCCATACCTCACCTGAACTTTGTTCAGTGGGATAATTCACACCTTAAGGTAGTTCCACACTTACAGGAAAAATTCAAAATATAATTTGTGGAAATATCATTTTCAACTTAATTTTGATGAAATATTTTGATTTTGAACTGTGTATTCTATCTTACATGTAAATATTCACATTTTTACTCTCTTGAATCCCAGGCCCTGAAATCCATTTGAATGCAAAGAAATTTTCATTTTAGCCAGATTTTGAAAAGTTCCACACATTTAAAACATATTTTGTGCAAATTCGATTAAAACTGTACAAATTAGAGCAATTTTGGTGAAAAGTTTTGTGACAGATTTTCTCGTCACTCTGGGTTTCAAGGTCATTTCTTAATGTGACAAGAAATCTTGTCACCCTTGGAGTTCAAGAGTTTAAAAAATATTACCCATTTTATTAGATAAAGGTAATTCTAATTGTGATCATAAAATATACATGAAAATACTCATCATGTGGAGCTACCTTAACTTAGCGATTTCAAATAATTTACTGTGATACAGTATTAGATTTTTCTTATTCTTCATTAAAAAAAATCTACAAATAAATACAACGGAATAAGATAAAAACCTATATATTTTTTCTTTCTTCTTCACCTCCTTCACAGAGCTTTTCATTTTAAGACATATTTTCTTTTTGTTTCCCTTCTTACAGCACTCTTTGAGATGGGCCCTAAAATGATCCCTGCGTTTCAAAACACTAGCACATCTAGGGCAATGAAAATGCCCATCTGTATGGTGCCTGTGGTCTTTATTAAAACAGCGAAACACATGAACTCCTGCAACAGATTTATAGTTCTTAAGACATTCCTACCATAGTAATTACTTGAAGAGTTCCAACCAGAGCTAAGAATTGTTTTCTTGTGACATAATATTAAATAATCAGTGAAATAATACACTTTTAAAAATGAATATGAGAAAATAAATGATAAAAAATGAATAAAACTAAGTACCAAAAGAAACTTCTAAAATTGATCATCTACCAAAATTGCAAGTTTTTACTTAGGTCAACTCCAATCCATTTTAGGTTTAAGAAGTTGAATTTTGTATATAGCTTTCAAAGTCAAACTCACCCTCTACAGTTATACGTTTTTTCCAGTGAATTTTCAAATGTTTTATGACAGCACTACGTCTTATGTTTGGTTTGAATTCATTAATCGGACATAAAGGGCAGTGGTAGCGTTTTCTTGTACTTTGAATACAACAGCTTTCTTCACAGGATTTCAATAGTTCAAATAATTCACTCTCTGTTGTTGAGATAGCCATCATTGCAAAATCTTCATAAAATTGACCCTGCTCATTGCAATCTTTGTTAGATGTATCTTGGGTATCATTGTCTTTCATAACATTGTCTTCTTCAATGTGATCTTTGTTAGAGGGATCTTGGGTATCATCTTCGCTTATAATATTGTCTTCTTCAATGTTATCTTTGTTTGAGGGATCTTGGGTATCATCGTCTCTTATAATATTGTCTTCTTCAATGTGATCTTTGTTAGAGGGATCTTGTGAATGGTCTTCTATACAATCCTCTTCAATGTGATCTTTGTTAGAGGGATCTTGTGAATGGTCTTCTATACTATCCTCTTCAATGTGATCTTTGTTAAATGGATCTTTGATATGAGCCATAATATCTTCCATAGCAAATTCATTCTCATTATCTTCATTAATAACCTCTTCCTTAACATGGAATATTGACATCTTATGATCAATAAAGTAATCTGGATTTCGGTGATTTATAGTCATATGATCTTCCTTTGAGCTTCTTTTCTTACGATGTCTAGAATAGAAAATGAAATACTGTGTAATCATTTGAGGATTAACATCTATACTTAAAAATGCATGGTTATATAAATATTAGGGCTACAATGGTAGACTGAAACGGCAGTCCTGCACGGTTCTTAGGGCTCAGTCGGGACAGTTGGTCCAAAAACTGCACAATCCAATTTTTACAGTATGTAAATTCAGATTGCAGTTTGTGAAAATATTGCCGTTTGCAAAAGTAAAGTAAAAAAAATGTATTAAGTGTCAAGGTGAGTAAAGAACTCAACATAACTGATGCTTCTAAGTCATATAAAGCTTAATGCTGCAGCTATTTTGGCTTTCCAATGGTGGATGATGTTTTGATTTTGGAAAAGATGATATACAGATTGTGCAGAGTTGTTCTGATACATTAGAAAGGTATTTGTGAAAAAAAAGAAAATTTGCTCAATGAAGACTTGCCGTGTCAGTTTGAGTAAAGCTACCTGATTTTTTCTATTCTATTAAAGCGCGATAAGCATAGAAAACTGAAGGAAAACTGAACTATAATGATAAAAAAAACTTGGAACGGAATTGGAGAAACCGTTGGAGCCCTAATAAATATGACACATTACTGTCATTCATAGATCCTTTTAAAATCGTTAGTATTTAACATTAGAAAAAAATTATATAAGAATGTGATTGTCAAACAAATGTTAAATTGTCATTATTCTTTATTTATTTGAAAAAATGAAACCTTAAGAACTTCAGGGAGCAGTTATTCCTTTTGAGATGTTCCAAGAAATGTCCCCTGCGTTTGATGACAATATCACATCTAGGGCAATGAAAATGCCCATTTTCATTATGCCCATCTCCTTTTTTACAGCAGCGAGTCACAGAAACCCCTAAAATCAATATATAATTTTCAGCCAGTGAATCTAAATCGCCAACATAAAAAGATTCAATAAAAGGTTTCAAAATATGAAACTTGTTTTTAAATATTTCTTGAAAAAAGAAACGGTATTCATTTAGGAATAAGAATTTTTACTTAAGTTAGTGGTAATTACTGCATGGTAAAACTCACCATCAACTGTTAAACGATTTTTCCAATGACTGTCTAAATGATTGAGCATTTTACTTCTACGACATGGCTTTATATTCTCAATCGAACAGAAAGGACAGTGGTAAAGTTTTTTTCCCAAACGTGTACAACAGTCTTCTTCGCATTGTTTCATCAGTGCCAAATATTCATTCTCTATTGTCTCAGTGCTATTGTCTGTTACTACTACTTCTTCAGTAAGATGGGACCCATTAACAGTTTCTTTGTAGGATGATAACATTAACGGGACATCACTTTTTTCATTATCACTATCACTAGAAAAAAAAAAGTCTGGATTACACCCAGTTACAACTTGTTGCATAAACAAGCTAATTGAATTTTTAAGTTTCCAAAAGTTCAATCATCACCGAGACAAACATTTTTCATTTTCAAATGTAAGTTACTTCATACTGATGTGGAATAAGCATAAATGTTATTCTTAAAGGCCCCGTGTAACATTTAAACCACTTTGGCTTGTAGTGTCATTATCCAATATCATCAAAAGAAGTTAAGATGAAAATTAAGTTGGAAATCAACAAACAATAGCAGAAAGGTTGGTCAACTTTTTTGAAAAAATGTTTCGAACAATCAATTCATGTAAAACATATTTGGATGATTAAACAATATTTGAACTTTGCACAGGGCCTTTAAAAAAGAAATGACATACATGTACATGGTAACTTCAATCAATTGTCTATGTAAACATTTGTAGCATCAGTAAGATAAATGGAGATCCAAATCCCACCAAACAAAGTTGTTTTTTTAGATGTGTTCCGATTGCAATGTGGGAATATGAGCATACCAGTAAATAAGCGATGATCTTTGAACTTCTCGTTGGCAATGTGATATGTTTTATTTGTACATTCATATATTCACAGAATTTGAAAGACGACTTTTCAAATATAGTCAATTATGTTGATTGATATGCCCCTGGAGTATTTTCCTCATAAACCTAACAAAATGAAGGTTTTTATCATTACAATTAAGAATTGAAGTAATTTCTCACCACAAAGTTCAAATTAAAGAGTATAAATGAACCTGTTTGTGAGGTTTTCAGTACAGTACAATTCTGGAATCCTCATTGCAGACTGAAGCTACTATGAACTAAGCTTTGATAAAGGATCTCTATATGTGCATATGGAAAAACCTGCCTTAGTGAATGCCTCTCTCTTGTGAAAACCTGTCTCTAGTAGACACCCCATCATGATAAACCATGGCATCTCATTTCTTCTCAGCCCTGAGATGCCATGATATAATGAGCTTGATTTGGTGATCAAGGAGAGTCGAAATTGAGGATTTTTGAGATCTTTCATCCCAGCTCATATTTCATCTAATTGGGGTCATAAAACGTATGTACCTGTGCCTGTTCACAGAATATGCCTCATAATATCAGAGCGTGCTACAGGCGAAACAGAAAGATGCTATCAGTATCAGAATGTCATATACTCTACTGACTACTGAATAAATTGCACTCTCTGTAGTGAACGCCTACATACACTGAAGTTGTTTTGGCAAAAATGTTCAATTTACCAGTATACACACATTTCATCTTGCTGCAACGCCTTTATAAAATGTTTTCAAAACATTTATTCAACTTGGATTGATAATTTCTTCTTTGTTCTTATACTCTTTTCATTGGTCTCGTTTTGTGTAGATCTAGGTTCTGCAGACTTGTGACTACATGTTAATGGGTTAAAGCTTTTACTACCAGTAACACTCATTCCTTTTCCCTTTGTTTGTCTTCATTTTGTTGTTTTTATTCCATAGTTTACCCTCAGTTTTGAGACTATATTTAGTTGTGTTTTTTTGCATAATTCTTTTCTTTTTCTTTTTTAATCCCATTCATTCTTGTTTGATGAACATTGAACATCTTGTATTTATGGGTTGAAGTAATAAAAATCTTTCCACAAAGATCTCTCCTGACCAACGTGATTTTTTAGATATCTTAACCATAAAGGTTAAAGGACGGATAGATTCCTCCCGACAGGCTCGATTTACCATGGGCCACAAGTATCCTCACTATTCCTTTTTGTCCTCACTATTCCTCGTTTGATTTCTTTTGTAGATCCTCTTATCCTTGTCTCTTATCAGTCTGCATGATTTTCAAAACACAGTAAAACCTGTGTAAGTGGCACACCTTTGGTACTCTAAAAAGTGTTCTACTTGGGAGATGTTCAACTAATGCATGGGTCATATTTGCTCTGATCCATTGGCCAACACCTGGCAAATTGAGTATTTTGTTCAATATTGTATTCAATTTTGAACAAAATACTCAATCGGCAGGGCGCTGTAGTGAATATCGAGGCAAATGTGACCAAGGCATTACAGAGGTTCATTTAACAATAAGTCAATAGGATGCAGAAGCGTTCCAATTATGGAGGTGTTCAACTACAGGTTTTACTGTACTGTTACTGATTTTATACTTTCTAGTGCTTCAACCTAACTGTGTTCTTAAGCTTTCTAATTAACATTGAACCACCTTTAGTCATTTCACATACCTCTAGAGATATAAACTTACACGGTTCTTGTTCTACATCATCAAGATTAAAAATAATAGATTCAAATAAGGATTATAAATATAAGAGAAAATAGACACGTTTTTTTAAAAGTTTGCTTCCAATATTTTACACTCTATCCTTTGCTGTTTCTTTAGTACAGCGATTTTAACATTATAGTCATCATAATCATCTGCTTCTTTGTATCCCCTTGAACTTTGTTCAGTGGGATAATAAATATTCTTGTTTTTCCGAAATCAACTTAATTAAAAATAATCTAAAATAATTCTCACTTTTGTGTCTTAAGATGCACAGTTTGGATGATAATTGCATGGGGGAAAATGATAATTCCATGATGGAAGATGATAGTTCCATGATGAAAGATGATAATTCCATGATGAAAGATGATAATTTCATGGTGAAGATAATAATTCTATGATAAAATACCATGATTCCATGTGGAAAGCTGATAATTTCTAAAAGGAGATTATAATATTATAAGTTATCAGAGATGATAGTTCTGATGAACTGATGAAAAATTCTAATTCAAGAGAGAAAACAATTTGAGTGAATGTGAAAGTACACATTTTAGGGATTTAAGAGATGACAATTCAAAATGGTCGTTAAAATTAATGAAAGATAAAAATTCTTAGTTTTGAGAATAGCATTTTTAATTTATCAGAGATGACAATTCATATTTATGAAGAATGATAATTTCAATTAATGAGAGAATGGCAATACTTATTTATGAATGATGACAATATCTATTGAGAGATGACAATTCTTACTGATGAACGATGACAAATTCAGTATATGAGAGATGACAAGTTATCTATGAACGATGACAATTTCTATTGAGAGATGACAATTCTTACTAATGAAGAAAGACAAATCCAATACATAAGAGATGACAATTCTTATTTATGAAGAATGAAAATTTTAATTAATGAGAGATGACAATACGTATCTATGAACGATGACAATTTCTATTGAGAGATGACAATTCTTACTAATGAAGGATGACAAATCCAATACATAAGAAATGAAAATTACTACTATGTAGTTCATACTTACACAAATGGCTTCTCTCCAGTATGCTGCCTCATATGAACAGTGACACTTTTCTTCTCTGTGTATCTCTTACCACAAACCTCACAAGCAAATGGTTTATCTCCAATGTGTGTTCTCTCATGACGAGTCAGATTAGAACGTGTGATGAACTTTTTGTCACACTTAGAACAGTTGTGGCGCTTTTCTTGTGAGTGAGATCTCATGTGAACTGGAATGGAATGGGAATATTTTAAAGGCCTCGTGTAAAGTGTTTTAATTGATTTTCTTTATTTTTCCAGTGCTTTTATTGTATGCTTGGCAGTAGTATTAGAAACTTTTAATCATTAAATATATTCAACAATAAATTCATTACTTTTGGAGAAACTTTTTTCATTTATCCCATGCATCAAACATCCCATCAAAATTCATTTCTGATTTTGGTACTTGATTTTTACAAACTGTTCATATTATAACAGTTTAATATCAATGTAGTTGCTATTATCAAAATTGGTTTCTCTTTATTTGTTCAATTTTCAAATGTTGCCCATTGTGTTTTCTCATAAGTTCTATATATGTTTGACATCATTCAATTTCACCTACCCCGGCCCCCCGCCCAACCCCTCTTAATATATTCAAGTAATTGAACACCCTACACAAATATTCCAGGGACTCACCTGTCAGATTGCCAGGTGTTGAGAGTGTCTTCTCGCAGATAGTACAGGTGAATGATGTCCTGCCCGAAGATGGTCTACCATGCTTTTTTGGCTTCTTTCCAGCATCATCCGGTGGGTTTTCTTCATCTAGTTGGGTCGCATCATCACCATCATCATTCCAAACATCCTTTGCCTCAGAATCACCTGTCTTGTTGCTATCATCTGCAATACATTGTTTATGATTGCTATTAAATGGAATAAAATCTGAACATTTTTAATATCTGCACTCCAAATAATTTATAATTTGGCAATTGATAATGTCAATGCAACACCCCTTAATACTTAATACTTAATACTTAAGGTTTCTCACTGATAGGCCCATGGGAGTTTATCTAAAAGAGGGGCACAGGGACAGGATTACCTTTAAGCTCATTGCCTCCTGAGTTCATGCTGTCTTTCTCTGTGGAGTTATCTGCCTTATCTATAATATCATCATTAACAGGCTGGCTAACAACTGGCTCTGGTACCTCATCAGGAGATTCTTCTGTAGTTGATTTAGTCTCTTTATTCTTTGCATTTGGTGTTGTTTCTTGCTCCTCAGTGACTGCTGTATGAGTGGGTACAGTTGATTTAGATCGTGTTTTAATCTTGTTTGGAACATCAGTTGGTGAATCAACTTTAAGTGAGGGTTTTACGGTAGGTGATTTTTGTGTTGTTGATTTCTTTGGCTGTTCTTTTTTCACTGTGTTCCTTTTCTTTGGCGATGGAGGTTTGGCTTTCTTCCCATCATCTTCATCAGAATCAGAGTCAATGAATTTGATTGGTTTGCGTCTTCGTCGTGATCTTACTGTTGATGGGATAGCATCATCTTCATCGGGGTCAGAGGGAGGTTTTTTGGGAGTTTCTTCTGAGGGGATTGCTGTCTGGGTGGCAACATGATGCCTCCTGGGAAAAAAATTACAAAGTCAATAATTTCAATAACAAGTTGCCAGGAAAATATATACAAGTATATATTGTATATACAAGTTAACCATATCAATAAACCTTCAAATAATATCTTTAAAATGACTGAGTACCCCATGCATACCTTGGTAATGGTTTCTCAGCATATGCCACAGGGTATACCCCAGTGACGGAGGACCCAAGTGTTTCAGACAGAGTTTTCATCATTATCTGCATGAACTCCCAGGCCATCACCTTGTGTTTCTCAGACATGGCATAGATTGGAGTGAGGCTCTGCTGCACCTTTAACATGTAATCATAATCATAATGAAGTTGCTATGTTTCAGATATACAGTCATCTCCATAGAGGTCATTCAGTGGGGAATAAAGTACAGGGGGAGGTATAAATATTGATTCTTGTAATGTATCTGACTTCTCAGTATTTAGCTTCATTCAGTGGGGAATAAAATACAGGGGGAGGTATAAATATTGACTCTTGTAATGTATCTGACTTCTCAGTATTTAGCTTCATTCAGTGGGGAATAAAATACAGGGGGAGGTATAAATATTGACTCTTGTAATGTATCTGACTTCTCAGTATTTAGCTTCATTCAGTGGGGAATAAAATACAGGGGGAGGTATAAATATTGATTCTTGTAATGTATCTGACTTCTCAGTATTTAGCTTCATTCAGTGGGGAATAAAATACAGGGGGAGGTATAAATATTGACTCTTGTAATGTATCTGACTTCTCAGTATTTAGCTTCATTCAGTGGGGAATAAAATACAGGGGGAGGTATAAATATTGATTCTTGTAATGTATCTGACTTCTCAGTATTTAGCTTCATTCAGTGGGGAATAAAATACAGGGGGAGGTATAAATATTGATTCTTGTAATGTATCTGACTTCTCAGTATTTAGCTTCATTCAGTGGGGAATAAAATACAGGGGGAGGTATAAATATTGATTCTTGTAATGTATCTGACTTCTCAGTATTTAGCTTCATTCAGTGGGGAATAAAATACAGGGGGAGGTATAAATATCGATTCTTGTAATGTATCTGACTTCTCAGTATTTAGCTTCATTCAGTGGGGAATAAAGCACAGGGGGAGCTATAAATATCGATTCTTGTAAGGTATCTGACTTCTCAGTATTTAGCTTCATTCAGTGGGGAATAAAATACAGGGGGAGGTATAAATATTGACTCTTGTAATGTATCTGACTTCTCACTATTTAGCTTCTTTCAGTGGGGAATAAAGTACAAGGGGAGGTATAAATACCGATTCTTGTAATGTATCTTACTTCTCAGTATTTAGCTTCAATAATTGGAAGCTCAGGGGAGGGGGTGTACCTAAATAAATCAATTAATTGAAATGAGGTTGTACATTTATTGCAAATTATATCTTGTCATCAACCTCTAAATCCCCCCCCCATCCAATATTAATCTATTTCGATTATTTTTTGTATAATGCATGGAAACTAACTTTAAAAAGTGAGCAATGTCATTAGTATTGTGATAATATCGTCCCTTATACCTATTTATTACAGGTCGTGTAGACCATTGTTGCCCGATTTATAGCAAAAACATTGACTTTTGCACGTTGGTGATGATGCGCCTTTTTTAATAGATCTCATATCTAAGAAGGGTATCAGTTCAAAAAAAATACTAGGTGGGTTAACATATTTTGCCATGCACTGTGCCTATTCATTTGGCAATTCAGTTGTAAATTTTCCTTTGAAAAAATAAATCTTCCAAATTTTTTGAGTTTTCTTGTAGAAATAAACATGTTACTATGTAACCTAACCAGCAACAAAACAAAACAAAAACAAGCATGGGTTCGTTCAGTGTCTTGCTCATAAGCTACACCGAATCTGTTATAAAAAGGGATAATCAAGATAAGAAAAATAAAAAAAAATTTTTGGGCCCCTAAAATCAAAATGTGGGCCCAAATTTTGAAATTTTGAGGCCCATTTTCTTCAAAATTTGGCCTAAAATTAAAAAATAAGGCCTTAGAAGGCCCATTTATGACCAAAAAGGCCCACTTTTTGGGGCCACAAGGCCTTTTTTGGCTCAAAATTTTTCTGGGCACACCCGAGGGGGGGGGGGGGCCCGGGCCCCTGCCCCCCCCCCCCAGATCCGCCAGTGGGAGGGATATGATGATCAATAGACTGAATTCTCAAGATATTTTAGACTAAGTTTTAGTGGAAAACTCTGTGACAGGTAGCTCTGGGTTCCCATGAAATTTCATTTGTGACACACAGAAATATTCTTCATTCCAGTACAGTATTCGAGACCAAAAAAACAATATTCTAATTTCTAATGTCCAGTGAGCAAATAAACAACGCCCCCCTTTACATGATAGGAAAATAATACATAAAAAGATCTGGATTATACAGGACTATCCTTCTTCCAGAATTATAGATATAGATATAGATATATATATATAGAATATAGCCTAAGAAATATATTTAGTTTCACTTTCGATATGAGATTCGGAAGATTGACTTCTCGAGCTAGCCGTTGAAAATTTGCAATATCAAAATTTAAATATCTACTAAAATTTGAAGTACTTACCCCTGATTTGAAAGTCCTTAGTTGCTCCATAATTTTGACTTGTCAATGATCATAATATATTAGCTGCACTACTTCATTAACTTACAAAATACTACAAATTCAAAACGAATTTCGATCGAGAAGTCGTTCCTGCACCGCCATTTTGAATCATTAGCGTAATCGAGCAGCTGTCATAATAAAAACAAAATTTGGGCCAAATTTGTACGTTTTCCTTCTCAGTATTACACGATGTTGATGCACTGATACAATTCTTTTACACGACTGTCACCAAGTTAAGATATCATGGATTCCGATGATGTAATTGATGGTAGTATTCCTCCAGAATATGGTAAGTTATGGTCAAATAAATATTGAAAAATTAAAGATTTTAGGCCAACATTTTTTATTATCAATGGAATTTGAGAAGTTCAGAATATCATATACTATGTTAAACGACCAGTGAAGACAAGCGTTAACTCGAAATCGTTTTTCATCCTAATTAATTTTTGAGATAAATGCATCCTTTGTTGCAAATCTAGTACATCTCCTTGTCTGTGTTGAGAAGGGGACAGCGTTTATCGCATCCTACGACCCCTTTAGATTCACAATCTAAAGTGGTCGTAGAATTCGATAAGGACAGCGTAAGTTGGTTTGTAGAAAAAACGGCTTTGTATAAAAAACCTCCTACTTCATACCCACCCACGTACGTGGGACATGATACAGTCTTTGAAGGGTTCAATTTTAAAGATCTTAGTTTATGATGAATTATAGATGCATTTGTAACGACCCTTGATGACAAGTTGCTACTACATCCCAGCTGGGTTCGATTCCCACTCGGGGCAACGAATTTAGCACACTTTCTTTCAATTTCTTTATCTGGCTTGTTGGACCTATGCTCGTAATCGTTAGTTATTTATTCTCCCCAGGCGCCCTCGGGTCATTACACATTAAAATGCATCCATATGCCTTTATTTATGGATCTGTCATCTGTCTAGTCCGAAATTGTAGAAATGTTAATAATTTGAGCTATTTTGAGATTTATAATCTTTAAAATTGAACCCTTCAATGACTGTATCATGTTCCACGTAGGTGGGTATGAGGTTTTTATACAAAGTCGAAAAACCAGGTAGTAAATCCTCCATGTTGGGTTCAAACAAAAAACGAAAAATACGAATATATAACATAATTAGATCATTAGAAAACGTGTAAGATTTGTTTTGAATTGACAAAATTGAGCTAGAAGCTTCAAATAAAAAGAATTTTTAAGGCTCTTTTCTTCCTCTATCATCATGGTACCACTTGAAGTTTGAACCCAGCATGGAGGATTTACTACCCGGTACCCGGTTTTTTCTACAAACCCCGTAAGTTGGGATAGCCTTGCAGTTGCACTGTCATCTACTGGGCCAATATGAAATGGTAATGTCACTAGAATGTAAAAACAATACACATTCCACAACTTTCTCTGTGTCTATGATTTGCAGAAAGCCAGTAAGCCCATTCGAAGCATATATCGAATTTTCCAAGGTAATTGTGTATTATTTGTCTCTTGGTTAGGCTAATGTACCTTAATTTAAAAATGAATTTTGTTTTAGCAACCTGTTCATATCCACTTCTAAGGGCAGCAGCAGATGGAAGGGCTGATTTGGTGTCTCATTTTTTGGAAAATGGGTCACTTGTGAATACAAGTAACTTTGATGCAGTGACACCATTGCATGATGCCTGCTTCATCGGAGCAACAACTTGTGTGAAGATTCTGATTGATGCAGGTGCCAAGGTATGCATCATAATTATTTATATCCTGTATGTACAGTGAAATCTGTAAAGTGAAATACCTTTAGAAGTGGAACACCTCTGTAAGTGGGACACTTCAGATTCCCAAGACCAACTGACTTAATGTTGAATGAACCTTTATAATCAGAACGCCTCCCACGTAGAACACTTTTGAGAGGTACCAAAGGTGTTCCATTTATACAGGTCTCACTGTACATAGTTTTTGACATTGCTCTTTTGAGATTATATTTGTTATATCGATGTGATTCATCCACACATAAAATGCTGCAAAACATTTGAGCCTATTTGAGAAGAGAGGTGATCAAAATGAAAAGTTCCCTATTTGAGTAAAATCAATTTTTAAAATATCAAAGTAAATCACTTGCTTCAGGTTAATGCTAGAAACATTGATGGCTCAACACCACTCTGTGAGGCAAGCTCTAATGGCCAACTAGATTGTGTGAAATATCTCATAGAACATGGGGCAGAGTTGAACCCATTGTTCTGCTACACAACACCTCTTCATGAGGCAGTACTTAGAGGTGAGATTCATTATACTACTGCTAGAATTCCATTCCAGTATTCTGAATGGTTAATAGTACGATGTCCTGATATATACCACAACATTATAGCACATTTCCTTCAATGTTTGAATTAAAGATGAAAAGGCACATTTCTTCCATATTGCCATCTCATGGACTCTGAACATATTGAATTGGCTAAAAATATAGGAAGAGGGGAACTAAAAAAGAGGTTCTGGCCCTTCCCCTCTCCCCTTCTCAAGAGGTACATGTACTTATAAAGATTACATAAAATCAAAGACTGGACTGTCTCCCCTTTAATTCAGACTGGTTGGGCTAACCCATGTGTCTACATTTCAGGCAATACAGAGTGTGCACAGTTTCTTGTGTCTATGGGGTCCAATTTAGATGCTACAGATCTGCACTTTGGAACTCCATTACATGTTGCTACCTACAAAGATAACATCAAGTGCTCTGAGCAATTACTAAGAGCAGGTACAGTTTCTTTGTCTATTTTATAATGTTTCCTCCCAACATCAAGACTGCACATATACTTCATTCACTTTTTGCAGGGTTCTTTTATTCTTCTTTGAGGTGTCAGTATGAATGCAGCGATGTGGGTCTATGCTATATTCTAGGACCACCTGATATGTACTATCCCAAAAGACTAACCTCCTTTATTTCAAACTCAAAGACAAAACTCCTTTATTTCAAACTCAAAGACAAACCTCCTTTATTTCCAAAGGTGCCAATGTGAATACAGCAATGTGGGTCTATACCATATTCCTGGATCACTTGATATGATATATCCTCAAAGACATAACTCCTTTATTTCAAAAGGCACCAATGTGGATGCAGCAATGTGGGTCTATACCATATTCCTGGACCACTTGATATCATATATCCTCAAACGCACAACTCCTTTATTTCTAAAGGTGCCAATGTGAATGCAGCAAAGAACCATTGGACCCCACTGCACAATGCTGCACAGAATAGAAACCCTCAAATGCTAGAACTTCTTATAACATATGGAGCCGATATATACAAGAGGAATAATCAAGGGGGATGTGCTAAAGACATGGTACCTAAGACCTCTCAGTGTCATGGACTCATTCAATATGTTGAGGGTTAGTGTGTTTTCTTATACATTTGATTCTTTGGCATTTCGTATTGTGAAGATTCAGGTTCAACAGACTAACATTGCTCTTTCTGAAATTTATGATTGTTATGTCACCACAAGTGGTGACATATTGTTATAGTCTCCAATTTTTTATTGACAACAGTGTTCAGCAGTTGGTGTACTGCGTTCAGTGGTTGGTGTTTGGTGTCTGTAACAAATGGCAAGTTTGCGACATTTTCCATGTTGATGCCTTGTTTATTAGAGTTATAATTTTGGATCACATGGATGGATAGGATAGGAGAAAATGTCCATTTTCTTAAGCCAAGCTGAACTGTTTATACACATGTATCCTAAATCAGCTCGTAAAATTTTTTATGAATTGTATTTTCAGACAACCCTTGTTCCTTAAAGCACCATTGCAGACTCATGATCCGAGGATATTTAGGTCCACATCGACTTGTGGATGTACATACTCTAGGACTACCAGTTACTCTAGCAGACTTTGTACTCTTCAAGCACTAACATCTATAAACAACACTATGGTGAACAAACCACACATTACTAACCAGACCTGTTTATACTGTTAGCATATTAGCTCACAGTATGAATACTCAAGTTTGCTAATGCAAATGGAACACCTTTGGTATCTCTGAAAAGTGTTTCACTTGGCCTGGGAGGTGTTCCACTTACATTACATTAATAGACCTTTCCTTCCTTCTTTTTGTAGATGAAAGAAGCTAGCAAGGAAATATTAGCTGGACTGATGATGTCATTGGTTGTTGGTAGCAGTCTGCCTAAGCAAAATTAGGATTTACTTATTGCTAATTTTGAAAACGAACAACCTATGACATCATCAATCTTGCCAATATAATATAGGTTCTTTGATGTTTCAATAGGTGGCAGGATATACTCCATGGAAAGGTCTAGTAGTTATATGACTGGAAGTTTTCAATCACACCCTTGGTATACGCAGCTAACGAAAATTGACCGGTACGGGTCAAAAGCTGGACCGGTACGGGTTAACGGTTTTATTTAGTTCGGGGCAATATCATGAACATCATATATTGCCCCAAACCGGTCCGTCTTCTCGCTGAAAGCAGGAGGAAATTCTTTGTCACAAAGTTGGGCATTTTTTATAGAATGAAACGCGCGTCATTGAAACTCACAAGATGTAAATAGCATGTCATTTACATCATACCTTGATGGGGAAAAATAGATCTTATATGTTAGAAGTACTAAATAAAAGTAATCGTGAAAATGAGACAGTTGTTCTCGAGAGAAAAGAGCATAAATGCGCATTTAGAGTTTTGGTCCGTTTAAAAATCTGTAAAAAATTGGGGCACTTAAAAGCATCGAGAGGCATCATATATTTCAAATTAGACACGAGGAAGTCAATATTGAGCAAGTTATGGCTGTTTTAAATTGAAATAAAACCGTTAACCCGTACCGGTCCAGCTTTTGACCCGTACTGGTCAATTTTCGTTAGCTGCGTATACCAAGGGTGAATCACTTAAGGAGTTATTCCACTTATAGAGGCTAATTTAACATTACGTCAATTGGTAAAAGGACTCTGAAAGTATTCTACATAGCGAGTTGTTCCACTTGCAGAGGTGTTCCACTTTTCAGGTTTTACTGTACACATAATCTCCAGCAAAACTGCCAAGCAAACTCAAAGTATCTCGAGGTCGTGTTTGTATCCCTGAAGAAAATGCTTTTTGGACTTTGGTTCTTCCATGAACCGTATTCTAGTCATTAGTATGTGGACCTCACTTTTAGTTAATACATTAGGAAATGAAGTATGATAAAGAGTAGAAACTGGGTTAAACAGTTAAAGGAAATGGCCAATTTAGTCAACATTCTAAATTGTATAGTATTGCTTGAAGATACAGCTACTGAAATTTTTGTAACAGTTTTGATAACATGAAAGTCAATGGGATATCTTAAAATGGAACCAAGTGTTCACATTTTGAGGTGTTCGCATACACAGGTTTTAGTTTATTGCCTTTGAATTTGGGAGGTATTACCCTGCGTGCAGAGTCTAGTTAAACTACACTCTGCCTAGTAGAGACCATATTACAGTTTAGTAGCCCCGCCCCCACGACGGATAAGTTGACAGTTTGGGTAAATTACTTTTGACCTACGCGCTGACCTTCCTGCAATCAGCGAGCTTGAAGAAAATACGCTCAATGCGTTCTTATTAAATATGCGCATATCATTGGTCAATTCTGGGCTCAACGATGACGTCAGAAGGAATGACCATATAAAGAACGTCGTCAAATTTGGCCGACGAACACTGATTGGCGCGGTGAGTTCACAGGTTTATTTTAGTTTGAAAGAGTGAAGACAAGCTCTCTTTTAAGAAGTGAAGTCAAACGAATGCAAAGAGTAGGGAGGTATGGACTTGATGAGACAATTATACATACTCACTAGACACAGCCATAACCTGACACAATTGCTGAAAAAATTAAAGCAGTTTTTATAAGTACAATTTCGTTTATTCAGCAATATTTTCTTCACAATTTACAATATTTTACAGAAGTAAACTCTACGACACATTTTATGACATTTTGTATGTTGATGCAATGTACAAAGCCAAGTTCTAGACTGTTGTCATGACAACTGTTATATCAATTTTTTTCAAAACAAAAAAAAGCTTTTTATTAGTTAACACATGTATCATTATTTTTTCAAACAAAATGAAGGATGTATTATATTTTCACAAATGCCTTGATGGCAAATTATTTATATAAATTATACCAAGGTTATGTACAATGGCGTGTGGTTTGTTTTTTATTTAAAAATAAAACTACCTTGACTAAAAATGCTTGAAATCTCATGTTGTGTTGTTTTGTACCTATAATTGATATTTATGTTGTTTATCAATTTTGCGAATACCAAACTTCTGAAAAATGACCCACTGAAATTAACAATATTCTTATCGGACAATTTCTTCATTGCCCACCTAAAATAAATATGTTCTACTCACTAAAATATTGAGATCATCTATGTATATGTAGTCTACGACTTTACAAGCTATTATTGCCTAATTCCCTCTTTGTTTGATCCTTAGGAACCTACACCTTGGCAAAAATAGTTAATGTATTTCATCCAGGCCTCTGGGAAGACTTCAAGACTGAGCCTCTGATCTCACCATTACCAAGGATCTGTATCTCAAATATTTCCAAGTCTCACCAAAACTTAAAAAGCAGACTTCATTTTCATGAACTGTAATTCATTTTTTTTGAGAAAAAGTGTTAAAGTACATTTGATAGAATCTGTTATTTTCATTGATGTATAAAAATAGCTTCAAAACTGGTCCAAATGTGATTTTAACCTAGACTTGTCCACAATGTGATTTTGACCTGTGTTTCTCATATTTTATGCAGCAAGAGCGCATGTACAGATTTCGATGAAATACATTACTACTTAACAAGAATTTCTACCTCTACTCTATGTACAATATATACAAGGGCATACATGGATGTATGCATTCATTTGTGATTAGACAAGGCAAGAAATTAATATATACATGTATAAATCAACTCTTGTGATTATGCTGTAGATCTAATCTTCTACACTCAATTCAAAAATTTACATGAGTTCTTGTCTGTTTGGCATGAAAATCAGTTGATAAGATAATGGAATTTGAATAATGCAGGACTTTGGATCCTTTTCAACTGTATAAAAACTGATCTGAAGCACTACAAATTCATTTTCATGAATATGGCCTTTTAATTAATATTAATTGAATAAATGTCTTCATTAATATTTTTCTGTAAAAAATAATTTTTCTGTTTGTTGCTCGCCTGTTTTATGCCTGGCTACACCCATGAATGCAAAATTGGATATCAAAATATAAATATCTCAAGCTGATGAAGTTATATACAGCAGGCTTTATGTTGAATCTTACAAAATGTGGTTATAGTATAGCGGGAATGTAAACAAATAACACCACACAAGTTTTTTTCCAGAAAACTTTAATATCTTAACTTAGAGATGTGGGAAATATTGGTATGACGAGTAATGGTTGTGTAATGGTTATTTCATAAGTCAAATCCTCCTCGATATTTGCTAGCTTAAGTATATTAAAGTATGCAACAAAAATGTGGTGTGTTGTAACACATCAAATCAAATTTCTGTTCCTTAGAATTTTTATGTTTTATGTGAGTAGATATCCGGATATGTTTGTGATGGTTGTGAATGTCATGTATGTTTATTGTTTATTTGTTTCATGGAATATTTATTTACATTATTTACAAATACTTACACTGGTGTAAACATGCGATCCACATGTGTGATTATCAATTTTGAAAAATCATCTTTGTAAACATTCAAAGGATTTCATAAATTAATGGATTTTGAAGAATTCGGGATATAGATTTTTTGTATAATTTATCTGAATCGCAAAAATGAATAAACAAATTAGCCTACCAGAGGTCAATTTCTCTGATGCGTCGTAATTTGTGATATTCAATTGTCTCATGATTTTTGAATACTACTATTAGAGACAGAATTAGAAATACAAGGGGTGACAAAATTGCAACATATATATTGACCTACCAATTTATTCTTTATGACCTCAAATCTATTATCTCCCTAAAGATCTGTGTAGAATATTCAAAATGCAAAGACGTGTAGTAATCCAGAATAATGATATTGGATATCTACAATTTATAGAAAGATGAACACATGAATGTGAAAATCTTTTGTTTCCTTGAATGAAATATGAACTTTTGGGATATTTAGAAAATAGAAACGATAAGGAATGCTACGAGCCCAAACTGTTCTAAAATTGCAATAAATTTTTGAAAAGGCCACTCGCACAAAATTTGATTCTCCCTCTTATATAGTAAGGCAATTTAAGAATTTAATCAATTAGTTTCAATTCACTATGTTTGCCAAAATGTGCAATAAATATTTAGATAAATTGGAACCAGTTTGGTTATAATTTATTTTATTTTAAAATCAGAACTCAGCTGTTGGTATCGTAATGATTTTTGGTTTAATTCATTTGATTGAACACAAAATCTGGTGTTTTCTAACCATTCATCTTCCCAATCATGATTTCTTTGTTCAAATGCTGCCTTACGGTTTCTCTCTAGGATTTCACTCCATGTAATACTATACCCTACTCAGGGACTACTTTCTTTGTTCAACAATCAGACTCATCTGACTGAGTGGTTGAGGGTTTTCGCTCTGGGACTACTTTCTTTAAACAGGAAGTCCATTGTAGTTTATCGTGTTCATCATTGGCTATAAGTGTATGTGATTGTCCCCTGGTTTTATCCTCAAATGATAGTTTGAACATGAACTTCGCTGAAAAAGAGAAACAAATAATGGTCAAATGAAATCAAAATCTACGAAAAACTATAAAAATTCAAAATCTCGAATCTAAATAACTGAGTTCTAGACACTAAAATGCAATATAACAGTAAATTGTTAAAAAAAAAAAAATTGCCACGTTATAGTTTAAACTTGGAATAACCTCGTGTATGCTCTCTCCATGTCACAATCGATATGAAAGATACAGAAATTCAAGAAAATTAACACAAAAACGTACATGATTGACCGGGTGTGAATGCATTTCTGAAGGACCCACTGTTCTTCTCACCATCAGCCAGATCCTCAAAGATCATCTCAGATACAGGGATTGGCTGCCTGTAGACTTGGTAACAGAGACGATCATTCCTTGTGGCAGGCCTGGCTAGAACACAAATCTCTTCAAACAGGAAGACATGCAGCTTCTGAAACATATAGAAATATTGCGTTCATTCACTTGGCCTGCAAAGTGGATTATACTTCATGATATATGGTAAGTTACATTTCTTGAGATTTAAATGAAAGCCCAGGCTGATTAGTGATTACTAAGAAGATCAATCAAGAGTCACTGAATAAGACATGCTTTATTTTCTAGAGATGGAATTCCTTGAGAAGTCTCCCTTATCTTGATACACCCCCTCCCCTTCTGAAAATAATGCGGCTATTATTAGATCACATAGTGTTTTCCTCAAGTAGGTCGAACTATACAAATGATAAAGAAAGTCTAGAAAAACCTGTAACTTACAGTGCCTCTGTTATTTCTGAGGACCCCTTCACATAGAAGATGTTTCTGTCGTGCAATGATATCTTTCCCTCGTTCATCTAAGAACTCCAGCCTCTCTATAGTGAACTTGCACTTGGCTTCCCCTGCTTTCTGATCCACTGTCTCAATGATCTTCTCTATGCTCTGGATCTATAAGGTAAAGGCCATATGTTGACTTTAGAATAAGTTAAAACACTTCTTGCAGTGTTTTGTATTTAAAAGTTTACAGTCGGACAACAGTATTGAATGTGTATTCAAAATATTCATACGACATAATAGGAAGTGAACTGATAATGATATATGATATATATGAGGAAAGTTTGAAGGTTGCTTTTGACAAATCTAGTCTAATTTCATGTTCCAGAATACGACTGGAACCAATATCTAAGACTAGAATCAGATATAATGGGGAACCAAAGTAAAGATTTTCTCAATTTTAGAATACTTTGAACTCATATCACTCCTTGTATGATTCTGCCTTTAAACCCATTGAATTATTAAGTAAAATACAGGTATTTCAAATACATTTGTAACATGTATGGTGTTGAGGGTGCATGTTTATAAATTTTTCAAAATATTCTTATCAATCAATATATTTATTGCTCCATTTAAATTATTTACAAAACATAATATTACAATTTGACGCAGAGCGTATATTGTGTGTTAAAAGGTTTAAGGTCATGTAAAAGTAAGATAATTAATTGGTGAAGTATTGGAACATAACAAGTGAGAGTGAAAGGTCTGCAGAGTAATCACAATTATCTACTGAAGTTTAGCTTTACACACCTGGAGCTACATTATTACAAAAGTTGAGAACAGTATAAAATTAAATAAGGTAATAACTTACAGCTTCTTCTAACAATTCACAATCTTCATGTTCATCAGGTGTCTGGAAATATACAGTTATACAATTAACACATGCAACAAAACAGGCATGACATACAGCATTAATAGTATGGGTTGTCTTGTTACTCTACACTTGGTAATTGATTTGAAAACTGGTTGCTAAGAGGCCAATAGACTGGTTACCAATGCCAGTCTCTGTTGCCTGGAGACCAGGTTTTAAAGTTTAGTGTAAATCCTAATAACTTACATAAATATGAGACAACATGTGATTTTTCATAAAGGAAAGTAATTGCAATAATACTGATAATTTTTCCTTACAAGGAGTTTTTTATGTAAGCATTTAAGGGGAGACCAGATGAAATGTTTTTTGGACATTTGCATATGACATCTACATGCAAGAAGCCTACATTTGACAGAATCGAGATGAAAAACCTCATTGTCAACTTATTATTCAAGTTTACCTCAAACATTTGAAGAATTTTCCCAAAAATATCATGACAAAACTAGGATCATACAAACACTATTAGTATATGTAAATAAATACCTGGGTGTCCACAGTCTCTCTACATTTTACAGAGACTTAATGGACACCATGTATTGTTTTCAACAGCTTTTTTTCTATGACTAAGTCATACATAAAAAGGAAAATACTGATTACAAATGTGGAAAATTTTCAACATTAAACATACAACTTTATTTCTACATGCATTAATATAATTTTCTATGTTAAATAGTCCTAGTCCTAGATGATTTCTAAAATGACTACATGCATGATGTACATCATATAACTACCATATCTAGCATCCATCTAAATACACTCTATGTCAAAGAAACCAACAGTCAGAGAATACATGTGATGTTTCCTGATATTTATTGTAAATGGGAATTCTTAAATTTAAATGTCTTTCAGGATTTCACGATTTAATTAAGCAAAATCTTGAAGAGAAAGTGATTTTATTGGAATCATTTTTTGGAATTTGAATTTTTTTTTCAGAAACAGGGTCTGCGAAAAGATCCGAGGAGATGCGTTTAAAGTGACTTTCCCGGTGTTTTGTTTCTTTTTGTTTGTTTGCCGCTTTAACTAAGAGTGCCTTTTTAAATATTACCAAGTTTATCATCTTACATTTTCACTTCCAGACTTTTGCAACTAAAAATTGACAGAGAAATTGGAAATGTAATTTTGAAGAAGATACATTACAAATACCACTCATTTAACTACAGTCTATGATCTACATCATATTTCTATATTATAATAAAAAATTATTGTGTACTATTTCTATTTCATTCAATGTTTATATTAAGAAATTGTATAACTTATTCTTACAAGTTTCTGGATGTTCTTCAACAGAAGAGGGTACTTGACTAAACGACTCCTTGGAAGATCTAAAATAGAAATAAATAAAATAAATCTAAAATAATCCAAGTCTTTATAAGGCCATCATACAATTTATTTCATCTAATTGTATTAAATTATGTAACAGCCGCAACAAAGAATCATCAGATTTTTTCAAAATCCAACATAATTTAGAAAAAACCTATCTCTTTGCTTCAGTCAATAAATAATACTAAGGATACTTGAAGCTTCAGGAGTCAAAACATAAAATAATATTTTGATCAATCTTGTTCAAATCTATGGGATCATAAATTATGTAGTTTCCGTAATAAACTGCGTAGTTTCCCTACCTAGAAAGCTCCACAGATCTAGCTTCCTGCTGAATGAGGATAGTTGGCATCTCTCCAGAAAGTCCTGTAGTTTTTTATCAGACTTTTTCTGTTCGAGTAAATCTTTGGCATAAACTTGATTGGAGCAGTATGGGATATAACAGTACAGATTTGGCACCTGAAATAAATAAAATTGCAATTTAAATCACAAAGCCCTAAAAACTACATGCTTTGTCAAAGATGTGACTAAAATTTAATTTAATTTCAAATTCATGAAAAACAGAATAAAGGACAATATGCTTCGATTTTTAATAAGAAGAAATAATGCACATGTGAAAAATGTTCTATCATAATTGAAAATGCTCAAAAAATTAAATAGAGTACCTACCCATTCTACAAGGATTTTTCCAATTCCTTCGATAGTTTCATCTTCTTTCTTGGCTCCTTCAATTATTTTCACCAGGTCTGTAACATAAGAAACAGTTATTGGTTGAGTAAAGAATACAGTCAGTCAATACAATATATAATATACAAATCATGTGGATTGAAATCAAAGAAAAAGGATAGCATTTGAAAAGGGTTTCATGTTCTGGTTTAACATTCACCAAACTGAAATTGAGGTTAAACTGATACACTAATTGAAGTGTCAAGTGGTATTAAGTATGTAATTTTAAATTTAGTGAACAAATATCTTTAAAAAATAATAAATGATGACATGAGTAGTAATTGAGCCCAAAATGCCAGACTTGATTATTTTTTCTTTCCAGACTAAATAAATTTTCTTATGAAATTAAATGGCATCCAAGTTTGGGGTGCCAATGTTGTTATCTTATTTATTTCATTTTACATGGGAAGTTCCTGGCATATCTTCTTTAGCCGTTATGAACAAATATATATATAAATATACAGAAGAGCTCAGATTACTTACTTTCATGTAATGGCACCAGTATTCCAATAATACCAAATATTTTGTTCTGTTCAGCTTCTGTCATCAAGCCCAGTTTCATGATTGACTTTTGGTATGTCTAAAAACATAATAATCTTTTATTGACTCTGGTATGCATTTAAAAAACAATACAATGATCATTAATTAAGCAATCACCCGTAAAGCGAGGGGTCATGGGTTCGATCTCAACTGGGGTGGACTGACTTTTTCATATCAGCCCTTAGTGCAGGATTTCATTCTGTGTTTTCATTATAACAATGTAATAAATAAATGACTTCATGATAACTAGAACTTGTAATCTAAGGAGACATTCATCTTTGATTTATAAATATGTCTTAGTTAAACTTACATCTTTCACCATGTTGAGATCTTCAATCAAATCTTTTTCGCCTTGGAACAGTTCAAAGATTCCCTAAAACAGCAAAGACAATTGTTACATATATGTATTGAACTGTTATAACAGGCATTTTATTAGGTTTTGGATCAAAAGACAAGTATAAATTTTTATTATGCACCTCATTAAAATACTCAAATCTGATTGGTTAAGAGCTGCAGGGTCTATTGCCATACGTGGCAGCAAGATCTCATTCTATCCAGTAGTGAAGCAACGAGATCTCCAACCATCCCATATGCCAGAATACCTATCCTCGAAAAAAAATACTAGGCTCGGCTTCATCTCGCCTAGTATTTTTTTCCTCGGATAGGTATTCTGGCATATCCGCCTCATGGTCATCCAGTATTTGTTTAATATTGTACTAAATTACATGCTCACAATATTTATAAGGGATTAAGCCAAGAGATCAGTGAATTGTGGAAGATTTTAAGCACTAGGGTCTTGTAAGGGACTTCTAATGAGGTGAGAGCCCAAATTCAAAGTCTAGCATACAAGACATGTGTGCATAAAATCATCCACAATTAATTGAGTCATATGTGAATAAATTCTTTCTCACATGACAAAATGTTTATCACAATATCTAAAAAAGGATGGAATTCAACCAGAAACATTTTTGGGAGCTTGATATTTGCAAGGTGGTGGTGGCATAAAAAATAAGTAATGGAGTTTCACAAACCTCTTGACGTTTAATCTGTAGGTTACTGAACAATTTCTTGACTCCGCTCCCTACAGACTCTGACCAGCTGATGGTTTCTCTGCGCTTGGTGGGGGTGGGGCGAGGCTCTCTGTAGGGGGTTGTGCTACACTTATTAGGCTTACTGGGTTTTGGTGACTTTAAGTTTTTGAAACTCAATGATTTCTAAAAAGAGATTGAGATTTTAATGAAAAATTAGCTGAAAACAGGAATATCATGTAATGCATGAACATATCTGTTTATCATTGCATGTTTTTTTGTTAGTCATATATTAAGTACTACACCCCCCCCCCCTCTTTTGATTTACCCTTACCAGTTTTAGAGTTTAGAGAGAGAATATGGAATAGAAGAGGGATGCAAGACATGCTTCCTGTTACTGTTTAACTGTGATCTTTTATAAATTAGAGATCTTGATGGTTCTTATTACTTTGTGATAACATAAAATGGTATTAAATTACAATATTTTGCAGAAACAGTTACAATATTTTGCAGGACCAGTTACAATATTTTGCAGAAACAGTTACAATATTTTGCAGAAACAGGGAATATACCGGAAGTTCAATTCAGAGCCACAAAATCAGCCAATTTCTTGGAGGTGCATTTAAGACTGTAGTTTAATTAAGACTGTTTATACTGTAGTTTATGACTTACACTGAAGACTTTGTTGACAGCTTGATTGACAGGTGAAAGAATTGATGACATGTGGACCAGAGACCTCCTTCTCTTTGAATCCTACAACAAAATTGTATTGTTTTAGTCACATTTTATTTTGAAATATATATAAAAATAAGTACATGTACATTTTTTGGGTGATATGATTATCCAGGGCAGAATTTGTCACAACAGGCTAAATAAATGAAAACAACATGCAAAATTAATGGAAACTATAAATTTAAGATGGAAAAGTTGAAAAGTCCCTAAAAACAACAGGTAATTTTGTGAAAACAACGGTGACATCGCCTGTTGCTAATGAAACCTGTTATCCATCCCTTAAACAGTCAACTATCTTACTAAGATGTAAAGGAGTTAGTTTTAAGAATATTGAGCTCTGTACATTAGCAAATAAGCTTTTTTTTGTTTCAGGGACTTTGTCAACATATTTTCCAAGCTCTTGCCAACCTTTTCCTTTCAATCCAATATCTAGCTGTCCAGATATAACTGAGAAAAGTTCTCTTGATGAGTATGTCAACAAAGAACACAAACTGTGAAAAACTGCTGACAGGTTATTTTCTAAAGGGTCATTTGTGTCATTCAGAACAAGACCTTTTCTACTACACTGGAACGGTGTAACAAACATAACATTATACCTTCATTGCTCAATTTGGTTTAATTCTTGTTTGGAGAAAGTTTTTACCAAATTCAGAGTGTAATTTTAACTGTTTGAATCAATTGGTTTCCTGATGTGATTGAAATCAAATCATTCAACATGTGACATAATGTGAGCTTATTTAAAAAGTACAATAATAGATTTGTTCATATAAACAGTGACAGTCTTGGGGCCTTTCTGAACATTCCATACTGTGACAGATGGACTTCTCAGCAGGGGGGAGATGTCATAGGTGTGAGTACTCCCCTCCCCCCTCTGACTCAGAATTACTGAGAGAATGACACTTTTTCATCAATGATGAATTTTGAGAATTTGGGTGTGATGATCATTTTGGAATGAAAACCTGGTTCAAAAGGGCAATTTTTGATTCTTTTTCCAATAAAATCTTGAAAACTTTCTAAAAATGGAGTTCTGATGTTACCAGTGACATTCACTGTGTCCAAATCATCACTTTGCCAGTGGCCATTTAAAATATGTTAAGATAGGGGTAATGTATGACTATGATATAGCCCCTCAATGCCTTGAAAGTGACATGCTTTTTGCTTGAAAATAGGCAAATTATGGACAGAAGACAGTCACTCATTTCCATATTCTTCCCAAGTTCACCAAATTAAAAAGTTACCTCATTAAATTAACATTAATTAACATGGACAGTGAAAGTTTAATTTATCAAAGGCTATCATGTCAAAGGGCTAAAAGATGAAGATAGTAATTTGTGTAAATCTTATAAAAGGTCAACATCCCTCTACCCATTTAGATAAGATAGCTCTAGGCGATATCAAAATATTAAATAAATAATTTTCTTAAAAAGATTTAATGAGGTCAATGGTGATTCTTAATCAGCTTTAAGGTACAACAAACTGTTAGCTAGCAATAACATGCAAGAAAATTAGAAAATTTGAAAGTTAAGACTTGTGAACTTCAAGGTGTCAGTCATGCTGATAAGTTTGACTAATTAGAAGTAAATTACAGTAGATTCCTTATACAGCTAAGTAGCAATGTAATCAAATAAATAAGTATTTACATTAATGGGTAAGTGTAATCACCTCACCCCTTATAAAGTAAGTCTCTTGTCTCTGTATGTATGTAACAGATGTCAATACATTGAAATGTACAGATATTATTTTGAATATGTTGTTACATAATTTATATATACATCCCTGTCCCTGTCAATAAAATTCAAGTTTATGGCATTTAATATGAGAATCGTACAAACAGGAAAGCTGTTTGCAAGGGATGTGTGCTTTGAAGATTAGCTTAATTTGATTGCCTTTAGTTTTAAACTGTCAAATATTTAAATTAGTTTGCATGCTTTAGCAATAGTGGCAGGTGTTTTCACAAAATTCAAATATTAACAGTTATTTGAAATAAGTTAAATAGTTCAGACTTTTGTTGCATAATACTTGAGTAGCAGAAGGTTTTTTTTAAAGTTCATTGCCAACTTTAAAAAAAAATATAGTTAGTACAAAACCTGTGCTTTAGACAGTTTTGTGCAACAGAAATTCAATTTCTGATTTGGATAAACATTGAAATATCTTACCCTCCAAGTTATTCTCTTCTATAATAAATAAAATATCTTAAAAGGTTGATCCGCATAATGAACACTTTTATGCAATTTCCCTGATTATAATTGCCAATTATAGGTACTCATGTTTTTGACATTTTAGAGACATTTACATGGTATGATTGAATACATAGTTCATAATCAGAATATTTCAATTAAAATGTTGAAATTACCTTTCTCATATAGAATTCATTTGTTCAAGTGTGGAACTACCTTAACTTCACAGTGAAAGTTGTTACATCACACTGACAAAAGGAATTAAATATTAATATTTCCCATGTGTAGTCTCAGTAGCTAAGTCTTAGTAACAATTTACTAAATCTGTAATTAATTAAACTTAGGATTAACATGTAGTAATATATTCATCCCAGATTAGTCTGATTTGTATCTTACCTTGGATGTCCCCATGTCCAAACTCTTCACACTGATATTATCTTCTTCAACTTCTCCACCCTTTCTCTTACGTTTACGCTGTAATTTTAAATACATGACAAATCAAAATGCTGATTCCTCTATAGTATTTAAATGTTTTGAATAATTTATCTAGTATACACTACACATTGTTGCTTGTATGTTCTTAATTATTTTGATGCATGGCAGTTATCTAACATTTGTCAAGTACATGATGACTTAATGTAATTTGAATATCAAACAAAATCTAAGCTAGGTAATTAACTACGTATAATCTAAACTGATTCTATAGACATGTTGATGAAAACCACCATGTGATAGACAATAATCTTATGTCAAAATAATAATTGCAATCATCAGGAACATCATTGTTTCTTATCTGAAATATATTTTAATAACCTTGTTCATTTTAATCAGACATAGAGGAATCAATTTTACTTACCACTAAATTGAATGGACTTTTGAATGATATTTCAGATGCATTAGATCCTTTGCGTTTCAGTTTCGGACTCTTTAGACTATTAAATGACACAATTGATGAGTTGGAATCCTTGCGACTCAGTGTGCTTTGAATAGAATCTATAGAAGAGATTGAATCCTTGCGACTCAATGTACTCTTCATGGATGCAGTTGAATCCTTCCGAGTCAGCAAATTCTTGAAGGATGCTAACGAATCTCTACGTAACAATTTACTCTTCTTTCTCTTAAGCCTATCAAATAAATCAGTGTAAGATGGATTGTACTGAATTTCTGTTTCTCTTTAACAAGTCATACTAAAAGATGCATTGATTAGATATAAAAAATCTTAATCTCTGGGAAGATGTTGCGAAGATCTAGTACAGGTCACTCCGATCCCATATCTACATCATTACAAGAGGAACTCTATTATCATTGAAGTATAAAATTCATTTTCATGTCTCAATCGTGTCATTGGTTTCGATAGAAATCTACAGGTTATCATGAACTGAACTGGAATTCAAAACAAAGCATTTCAAGATTTGATTGATCTTCAGAAAAAAATAAAAACAAACCTGTGGTTTTCAGATCCAGTGGGTGGGCTGAATATATCATCCAATTCCGCCATATTGTTGTAAAATGTACAGTCGATACTGCGGCACAATTTGATATATTTAATTGTGTTCTCACGCTCCTATACCACTAATAAATCAAGCAAATGTGCAAACAAAAAGATATTTCAAAGTTTAAAATATGGCGGAAGTAACGGCATCAATGCTTCTGACCAATCAGAATGTTTGTAACAGAATTTATGGCAAACTTTCAATAAAACGAAATCCTTACATGTTTGGCATAATTGGAACAAAAAACATTAATTAGTACAATTATCTTCATTAAAATATTTTTAGCATTTATTATTTTATCACTTAAAAGGAATTTGTTAAGAAAAAGCGTATTGACGGTGTCAACTATAGATGGCATGACAAGTCAGTATGGCTGCCCTTTTGGGAAAATCTTTTACGGTCTTCATAATTCCTTTAGTTTTAAGCTGTTTAAGCCCAGTGATACTACAGTACGTACCGCCATGTGAAACTGGACAATGCCAAGTCACAGTGAGTATATTGTTATTTTCAATAACTTCGCAGATTAAAGTGAATATCGAGATGTTTTTTCAATGTTTTGTTTTTGAAAATTTTTGCTTTGGAGTTGAAATTTCAAGCCTTTCAACTTCAAGGAACTAAAGAAGGAACTAAACATAAGACTGAAGTCAGATTTTCTTTGTAAGATGATTGGTCCTTTTTATTTGACAAGATTGGAAACAAAACAACGAAATGAACTTACACCTCTTTTATTTCCATGATTTTTGGGTCGCGAGTAAATCCTATAGGCTTATCTTGTTCCCGGACTATGGTCCTGTGAACATCTCACTCTTTTGCCTGTGCGATTACAACATGGGAGAATTTTTTACGCTTCTTACACTTCAGATACCTACTTCAATAGATTCCTTGGTATTTTAGCATTCTTTTCGTGTAGTTGAATCCACAATTGTCTGGGTTTATCGGCAGAACGAAGACATTTTCGTTTTTGATCGCAATATTTGCGTGTAACATTTAACTTATTTCAACCGTCAAATTCCTCCATATTGGTACTTCCGGTCCACATCCAGTACAGTCATACGGGGATTCCCCTTTTAAATCCAACCGCCATCTTGAAAAGTGGTGGAATCTCTCTCGATGAAAAAGAAAAATTTTCCCGTTCTGCCGATATACCCAGACAATCGGCGGTTCCAATACATTAGAAGTTACATTTTGAGTTCTATAATGCATTGAGGTAGGTATCTTAAGTGTAAGGGGCGTAGATAATTCTCCCAAGTTGTAATCGTACAGGCAAAAGAGTGCGCTCCATACAGGACTATAGTCCTGGTACGGGATAACTATAGGCAATATGTATGAATATGATATATTATTGATGTTTCATCATCATCATTATCAAGTTCTGAGCTTGTAGGTCTTAACTAACAGTCCTGTTAATGCTCAGATCTATATTCTTTATAGTTCATATTCAATTAAACTATATCATAGTGGTAAGTTTGCCAAAATCTGTCTAGCCTCCCTTTAAACTGATCTACACTGTCAGACATCACAATCATCTCAGGAAGGCTGTTCCAGTCATCAATAACCCTGTTGCTGAAGGAGTTTCTTCACACAGTAGTGTTGCAGTGATGCTTGTATAGCTTCAAAGAATGCCCTCTGGTGGTAGTGGTAACCTTAGTAAAGAAGGAGCTTGGCTCTATTGTGTCGATTCCATTCATGATTTTAAAGACTTGGATCATGTCGCCCCGTCTGCGTCTATATTGAAGTGAATGTAGTTTTAGCTCTTTCAGTCTTTTTTGGTAGGGCTTATCCTTTATTCCAGGTATTAATTTAGTAGCTCGTCTTTGTATTTGCTCTATTTTTCTGTTATCGCCTAGGAATCTTGGATGCCAGATGCTATTACCGTAGTCTAGAATTGGTCGGATTATGGATTTATACAGTGGAATTATATTTTCCTTTATGTGTGTGAAACTCCTTTTAATAATACCTAGTTTACTATTGGCTTTCTTAGCTACTTGACTAATATGTTGCTTAAACTTAAGTTCAGTGTCCATGATCACTCCTAAGTCCTTTTGTTCTGACACTGATTCAATGTCTTTACCATCAAGTTTATACTTATGGTTCGTATTCATATTCTTTCTGCCTAGGTTTAGCACTTTGCACTTTTTTTGATTGAATCTCATTTGCCATTTATTTGACCAGTCTGTTAGAGTGTTTATATCTTGTTGGAGACTTAGCCGCTGTTCCTCAGTTTCACTTTCTCCGTATAGTTTAGTATCATCCGCAAAAATCTTTATCGAGTTCCGGATCTTGTCTGGAGCATGTTTGATCAATGTCGAAATATTTCTCTGACAAGGGCTGAAGCAAATGCTGAAATCTGATTGGTCAAACATCAATAATCATATGCCATATTGGATTTACTCGCGCTCATGATTTTTGCTGTGTTTCGCTTGGTTTGATGGCTGTAAACTGAGATGTAGAGGACAGGGGGTGAGGGAGACAATGTCGCCCATGTAAGTAATTGTCTGACTAAGAAAGAGCTACACTGAGTTTTCCGACATGGACGACATTGCCGCCTTGTCCTTTATTCGTAAGACTCTCAGTGTATCCCAGTGCCCTAGAAAAAATAGATTGATTGTATGTTTTTATTTTAGTTTTTGTTCTATATAGATAGCAAGAGAGTTCTGGCAAGCTTAAATGACCTTGACATTGTCACTGGACGAAATTTGACATCAGGATAAAAACTGGCATGATGCAAAACATGTGTTAGAGGTCCAATAATGCTCCAGGTTTTTACCCGATGAGTGTAGTCCAGCGAGAATGCCCCATAGATCTCAAATCTGCCAAAATAACTTAAATTTCCTATTTAGTTATAACCTTCAACTGATTGATATAATTCTTGTGATCTCCTGCTTGACAATGAGAGGTAGATATGTGACATCCCCAAGAGTTCGACTTCTGGCATCCCGTTACATACCTTCTCAAAATTTAGATCACCTAAATTTTTAAAATAAACTCTGACAGAAGCCTTTGTAAATAAAGCTTACTTTATGTAAGTGGTTTCTAGCCTTTTACTTTTATATCTCTTCATGCATAATGTATGTGTTAAAACAATTTTCAGAGGCATATAGATAAGGGGACCTGTCATTTAGAGATCCACTTCCAGAATAGTCATATTTTATCCATTAGCAGGATGACTTGATGTTCATGGATACCTTTTCTGTATAATTATGATTTGGTAGTTCGGGGCATTCCTTGCCCACTGAAATATCAGACCTCAATACATTGTTGAACTTTAATTCAAACCCCAATCGTCTGTGTTAATTGGTATGTTAGTTTTTTAGAGTTGAATTTCTGTCAAGATGGCAGTTAAAACAGAATTTACTGAAGTGTTTTAATGCATTGTCACTTCAGGAATTTTATGGAAATGGTGAAACATCGAAAAGGATTCCTTTAATTCTGTATTGAATTGTGTATCGTCACCTCCGGGCTATCAGTACCATACCACCAAATGATCTGGATTGTGGTTTTGATAGAAATTCATTCAGTTTTGTTCGGTTATTTTCAGTGAATTTCCAGATATCAGTTGCTTTTGCAACCTTTCGTGTTACCTTTCTTTCCTTCTCTCTTCAAATAAGTCCATCTTATTAACAACCTTTTAGCATTCCATCGTCATATTTTTCAGAATTACAAAAAAAATTTCCATTTTAGAAAGCAACAAGGGGGAGGGTGTATGAGATGTCCGCAAAAATGTGACAAACATTCCAAGGAATTTAATACTCAATGTTGACAGAACTTAACTATGGAGACAATAACACCCCACTCCTGTCTCCTAACTATCCTAATTATATGATATCGATCATCTGTATCGGTCCATTGCTTCATTGAAAATAAATGAATACATGTAGAAAACACATATACTTAGGAAGTGTATGATTGAGCATAGCCCCAGGGAAAGTACATGTAGTAAGTAGTAAGCTTATAATAAAGCTACCTACTACTCTAGTCTACTTTTCCAAAGCTTATGTCATCAAGACTGAACCATTGAATTTAAGAGTCAGTTTCTATTCTAAGTTAATAGTTGGGATTACTTCTTATTGATATAAGCACCTTTTATAAAGAAAGTTATCTTTATGTTCCTACCAATACTATTACCAGTATAGGTCAGTTTGACATTTGTTATCTACGGGGATATGTTTTTCCAATTAGTGTTGTTTTTAAGAAACAGTTTACATAAACATGGACATTCAAGTGTTTCATTAGAATTTCTGATAGCAGGCAAAACAAATGTAACGACCTGAAGGTAGGATGAGTAGAAATTATGATTTTAACGGGAAATGGTTGTAAAATTTAAAAAAAAGAATTATTTTGAAAAAGAACAGCCAGAGAAAAATTTCTGTTTCCTGTTGCTAATCTTTTTTCTTTATTTCAGGTTAATACATTTAAATACACAATGCATAGACAGCCAAAGTTAAGACCCCAATATTCCTTGTCTCATCATTTTCTTTTTTTTTGCTTACAGGGTGCAGCACCTAATATAACCTGCACAAGCAGACAGGGCAGAGGTAAGTAAAAATCTAAAAATTAAGGAAAGGGGTTATCTGGAAAAGATAACCAATATGAAGTATTCAAATTATTACAAAAAATGTTTTGTTGATAACTGGCTAACTATTATCTAAATATTATGGATGAGTAAGTACATGTATTAGAGATCATACCACCCCAAGAATCAATTATCTGACAAAGGTTCAGTATCCTATAATCACTGTTCCACAGCTGGATGACTCTAACTGCAGTTAGCTTCATTCAAGATGGTTGCCGAAATTATTTCGTTTTCGATAAACCTCCTATTTCAGCTAAACTAAGTTGAATCTGGATTCAAAATATTTCGCCATGTAGATTAATAAAGCTACAATGGTAAATAACTATAAATGAATGCTCAAACAACTGCGATATTGGAGAATTTTATAGAAAGTGGCTCCACTTAGAATGACTCTAACTGAAGTTGATGATGACATAATGATGACGTAGATCATCAACTTCAGTTAGAGTCATTCTATGTGAAGCCGTTTTCTTTAAAATTCTTTAATATTCAGGGTGTTTGGGCATTCATTTGTGGTTGAATACAATCATAGTTTTATTAATTTGCATGGCAAAAGTTTTGAAAACAAGATTCAATTTAGTTTAGCTAAAATCAGAGGTTTATCGAAAACGAGAGAATCTCGGCAACCATCTTGAACGAAGCTAACTGCAGTTAGAGTCATCCTGCTGTAGAAAATTGATAATGGACATTAGGTTTTGTGGTGATGTTTTAGGCAGGTAGTAACTCCCAAATATTTCTTCAATTAAACCCCTTCAGTTTGTAGTCAGGTGAAATCAAACCACAGAACATGTTTAAGAAACCTCATTTTGCCTAAATGTAAATGTCATATATTCAAGTTTAATTTTGTTTATGAGATAAATGTACAAAGAAAGCGGTTTTATCTGATAGCTCCAGTATGTATATTGATATGAGAGATATCTTATTGAAATAAATCAGACGAAAATTGGAGGTCAATATGAATAAACTTGGTGCCACTTTTCATGTTTATTTTACATGCTTTGCCACTCAAAGTGATTGAGAGGTACATATACAATGTAAGCTGAATATACCTGTGTTGATTTTTGTGTTATTATTTGTGCAAATTTCCTAGAAATATATATCCTGGTTCAATATCTGTTTTGTAAAGGATAAACTGTACTCCTTTTAATGTGCAAGGAATGTAATAGAGATCAAATAGCTCCTCGCTTGGAACATGCTGAAACAGTGACAATTGAAATATAATACAGTAAAACCTATATATCCAAACACCTGGCTAATCTAAACACCTCCTAATCTGAACACTTTTTGGGTCCCTTTTTTTCCTCCCATGTTAAAAAACTTTAAATGTGAACACCTGCTAATTTGAACAACGAACACTCAGCGGTCATATATTTGAAAATTAAAAAGTAACCTGTCTAATCTGAAGATTTTATAAAATATCACATGTTTCATACAGTTCAAATATTTAAGATTTATGTAGACCAAAGAGCAGGGGTTATATCATTGAATACTCCCCACAGGGCTAGGCACAAACATTTTCGAGAGCTTTTGTGCCTAGCCCTAAGGGGTGTATTCGACAATATTACACCTGCTCTGAGGTATGTATTACGATTCAAACATGAACACTAACCAAAATGATTCAAATATTCATTATGGTTCACAATTACTACGGCCCGTTGTTATAACGTCACACATTACTCGTATTACCAGGGGTGTTGTTCGGGAATATACCCCGGGTGAAATGTTGACTTTTTTCACAGTTTATAGAAGGCCTGAATACAGTCATGTTGAATTTTTATTAATCACTGATTTATTATGATATCTAAACTTTTGGAAAAAACATTGAATGTTCTCAATTATATCTGTTTTTCAAAATGATTAATGAATCATTTGAATCAGATGTTCATATTATTAAAATGCCATAAAGCAGTGTAGTCAAATGAACTATGAAAATTGATTGGGAATGTGTTCACATTTCTCAAAAATCTAAAATATCTCACGAATGCTACCTCAAAATATGAACATCCACTAATCAGGTCTTGAGCTAAGGGCTGGTCCACTGGTCATTGCCAGGTTACTTTTGAAATGGACCAGCTGATTTTTGCAGTAGGTATAGGAAAATAACATGGCAACTGGTTCAAATCCTCCTCCTAATCCAAACACTTTTAGCCTGGTGGCATTCAAACACTTTTAGTCAGTTCCAATGGCATTCGGATTAGTCAGGTTTTACTGTATACTCAACTCTAATTTGATAATCCTTAGCTGTTCTGATAAGACCATTTTAAAAGTAAATGGTAATGTCCATGCTAATAGTCCTCGATTCATGTAAAAAATGTTAGAAAGGAGGCTATGCATCCTTAATTGAGATATATGTACAGCTAAACCTATATTTCTAAACACCTCTCAAATCGGTATACCTTTTGAACACTTTTCAGTTCAATTTTTAATCTACCATAGATAACCATGTAAAGGAACCTTGAAATATGAAAACCTGCTAATCCGAACACATATGAGATAGGTGTTACTATGCATAATGTCCATATTGATCATGATGAGGGTTATACATGAACGTCTTCTATGTATTCTTTTCAAAACACAGACATCACATCACACGCTAATTTTGTCACTCAATTAATTTTTTTCTTTTGAATATGTGTCATCATGGATCCATGTTTTTTTTAAAAAGCTTTAGAATTTCATCTTTTATTTGCTGAATGGTTTAGGCAAGCTACGCAAATGTGATGTATTTTTTTACATGGATAAGTATAGTACCTAGCTTCTTCTAAATATATATTATATGTATGTGTGTACATATTTTATCCAACTTAAAAAGTTTAAGAAGGATTAAAAATGCAATCCAAATACAATATTATACAATTTATTCTGTACAGACAGATGATTGATTATGTGTATACAGTCATGTTTACATGCTAGAAGACTCCCAATGCAGCCCTTGAAGAAAAAGTTTGATATACGTCTTCATAGTGTTAATATTTTTTATGTCACCACCGAAAGGTTGATGTCCAGCATTCAGCGATTGATGTTTGTAACAAATTCTTGCAACTTCCAATATCTTATCAAATACTGTTTAGACTGATTTCAAATTGTTACTGCCAACATATATGAACATGCTTAGTTCCAATACATTTAGCCAATATCTGTTACCATGGCAACATGTTGAAGGTCCAAATGTATTTTTTCAATTTGCTTCAAATTGAATAAATCCTTTTTCAAAATCATCTACAAGTTCTCAGAAGTTTGAGTTCATCTATGAAGCTCAGCGGTAGCGTGTGTACCAATTACGCAATGAATGGGTCTTAGATTTTATTCCTGGTTCAGGCATGACTAACAGGGGTTACCTTTTTCTAAGGCCACTATATCGTGACCTTCGTATGTGATGTGAGTTATGTCGCTGTATACTGCTCATGTCGTATTCATAAAATTTGAAATCAAATGTTCGTCATTTTTCCACATCACAATTTGAATTGCAAGTTTTGGTCTTATTACCTCACCAAACATTGCAAAACACACATGAAGTGATCAATGTATTAGTTCACATCTTCTGGATCGCTAACTTTACAGCCACATTACTAATGTCAGACGTTAATGACATTTCGTCCAGTTTTCGAATATCGCCATTTCTTGCAGCCGTTTGTTTTAATTTTAGACGAAATCATGCAATATCTCATCAATGAGCCCAGCCAGTTCCATTTCAATTCAAGAAATATTAACACAACGGTTTTTAGAATATCACTTTTTATTGAACCCCGGCTAGAAATTTAACAATAGTTCACAGTGTTCCAGATGACTTCTTGCCAAGAATTGGCCAGAGACTCGAGTCCAGTGTTGGTAGGTGTTCACCACAGAGAGGGTAATTTATACAGAAGTCAGTAGAGTATGTATGTAGGAAGAATGTCCACTAGAGACAGGTGTTCACTAAGACAGGTTTTACTGTATTGTTGCACTATTTGCTTTTAGAATGTTCCAATACGCAATGGCCCTCTGTAGGACAAACTCAGGAAGTGTTACCATCCCTAGAAGGTGTCACTCTGGAAGATCGTCTCAACAATTCCACCAATACCACATACAAGTCACTTAAACTCACTTGGTCCATCCCTTCATCAGGTGAGTATATGAGAATGAATTGATGAAAACACAGAATACCATGTCTTAGGGCTGATGTGATGGCAAATTATGTATTATTATGGATCAGATCCATGACCCCTTGCTATGTCTGGAGTTACAAGGCTGACTGAGTTTTCCACATAAACATTGAATATACAGCATTGCACCTGTGTCTTACACTGCCCCCAGGATTCCGTGTTTGCAGAGCGCGGACGGAATTTGCCTCTGCCCGCGGAATTGCAGAATCAACTATTTTGGTCAATTTCCGCGGAATTTTCCGCAGAATCCATATATTTTCCAAAAGTTTAAAAAGTCAGTCTTACCTGTAACAATTTGACACGTTTTCAGTCAAATCCCTTGCAGAAATAACCCAAATTATGCGAAGTGAAAATTCTAAACGCCATCGTTTGATTTCTGCCGTTAGATGGCAGCATGTATGTAGTGACTGACTACCTGACTATCACGATATTTTCCCGTTTACTGGTTCGAAAACCATTAGTTTTTCTTTCGGTTCTCGTCAGAAAGTTAAACAAAGACATAAATTAATAACAGTTATTTATATTATATAAAAAAATGCCGCGAATATCCGCGGAATTTCTGCAGAATTAGCCCTTTCTTCTTGCAGAATTCACTAATTTCACTTGCAGAATTGAGCATTTTAACTTGCAGAAAACTGGGGGGAGTGGTCTTACATGCCTCTAGACCCTTTATATTATGAGAATACATTTATATTGCACATATTCTTTTTTCAGTTTTGCAAGAAAAAATGATTTGGTAGTGCAAAATGCCAATTTCTTAGTTTGGATTCATTGCCAGAAACCTTCATTTTATGATTTCAAATAAAGTCTATTGTAACCATGGATATAGATGTCATAGTAACTACCATTTCAATAATTTACATTGTATCATAAAAAACAACTATTTTATCAAAATGATAGGGAGTTTAGGCCCCCCACAATCATGTTCACTTCTCATAGTTTTCTTCAAGTTGATATGATGAACTCTGAAAGTCGAATTAGTGTTTTTTTTAGGGAAAATGCAATTTCCATGAGAATTCTATAGAATTTCATGCATTTTTTCATGAAAATTGAGGCAGATGTGAACAAAACTGAATGGATGATATGGGTACATATAGTCATTGAGGCATGCTGACATCAAGCAAGAAACAACTAATGACACATACTGACATCAAGCAAGAAACAACAACAATTACAACATGGCTGATTTATTTGGCATTTTATTTTTGGCAATTTTCTATTTGAACGAGATTCTGCAATTCTGCGTCTGGAGGTCAGTTCCATTCTGTACTCCATGGGGCATACAGAATCTCAGCAGTGCATGTTAATGTTAATAACTTAATATGCATGGATCTAGCATAAATATATCTTCTAGTCTGCTTGTGCTACCTTCCCTTTTTCTCTTTTAATGTCTGCTATAAGTAGGTGACCTATATATATTTATCAAAAATCATTTTCTATATGCCTACAAATTTAATTTTGAGCATTGCTACAGTAGTTTAATTCTGTTTCTGAGAACAATTCAAGATGAAGATCATCCACATCATCAAACTAAAAATAACTTTTACTCTCCCACACAGTTTCAGATTTTGATTGACAGCTCTCCATATTTGGAACATGAAATTGATGGCTTGTGTTAAAATTCCAAGGTCAAGCTGATCTGGTCACTCTCTAAGACAATTTAGAAACAAATTTTTTATAGAAATTGATCAATTCTATCTTTGAATTTCTCAATCAAAACATATTTATGGAAAAATTGACCTTTCAAACCATTCTTGTCGATCTAATATCAGTTTAAGGAGGAGGCTTTAATGATGATTATTTTTGGTTGAAAAGGGGATTTTGCAGTGTTTTGTAAGACTGTTTTGTCAAAGAATTTCTTAAAAAAGTGCAGTGTCTTTATGCTTGACAAGTTCAGGGATTTTGTGTGCTTGGTGGAATAATCAGTTTTACCAAATGAGGAATCATTGATTTAATGTTTATGTCATAAAATGAAGCATTTTTGATGAATATTAGAACTTGAAAATGACATGATATCACCAGTCCAATTTAGGCTCTCTCACCTATTTTGATATTTTAGTGAGACACCTTGTTTTAGCACCTTTTTTGAAATTTAATTATTAGGTTTACAATGTTACCTAAAAGAGAGCTAATCAGTCATCACATCATCAGTGCTACTATATATGAAATCATTTATCTTCAAAACTCTTTTCATTTCTTTTGATTAACAATTTGATCTGAGCTTGATGGGTTTACTTCTTTTTTGTACAAACTTTGTGAAGTCCATCCATCCATTTGAATGTTTTTTAAGCATGAAGGTTTGACTTCCTTAATGCACTGTCTCAATTGAAATGGTTGTGTTGATTGTTCTGTCATTTCGAGCCAGGGTGAAGTGTGAATTGATTATGATGATATTTGTGTGATTTATCAAATCAATGATAGCTCTGTTTTGACTGAATTCTTGTTACAAATTTGAGTCTTGCTTTAAACCCTTGTGATCCCCTACATACCTGATCTAATGAAGGGGATGGGTCCTAGCATTAGACAATAAAATTCATGTAAATTTTAATTGCAGCTTTAACATCAACCAAGGGTTTCTATGTAGAGTGGGCACAGGGCCAGTCCAAGATGTTCAACTGTGCTACTCTGGACTTCAGGGATTCCCAACTCGTTAATAATGTAAGTAATAAGAGCGACACTTGAAGCCACCTTTTGGACGATTGGTCAACTGTTGTCGCATGTGTCACATTACCTGTAAATCTCTGAACTCTTTAAGCCAATCAGGACATCTCTTTCCTCAAGTGTAATGATTTCTATAACATTCCTTAGACGTCCTATTGTACAAAAGACTCAATTACTCTGACATTTGTATTCTTTCCCAAGATGGCTGCCCTCTGATCAGCCTCGTGGTGTCACATGACTCAGTGACGACATATAATACAATGCAGTAGTAAGCATTTAATGGTACAATTTCCATATATTTGTTTGAATAAATGATGCCTGCTCTTATATTGACTTTTCAATGAACCCATCAGAAATTATATATAAATGGCAGAAAATCAGATTCTCATTGAAGATTAGAAAGAACTTTCATTTTGAAAGAAATCTGTTATCTTTTTTCCTGAAATTTTTGAACAGTAAATAATATTTGAATTTTGGTGCTCTTGTTCTTCTAGATGCAGTTTTCATACAGTTGTTTTCCCCGTGTCTTGCCTGGTGAATGTTTCATCGTCAAGGTGACGTCCATGCCTCTCAGGTTTACCGCAACATATAACATCACACTTCCGGATGATCTAAATAGTATAGGTAAGATTTTGCTGTAAAATCGTCAGCTCAGAACACACTTGGTGTATCTGAAAAATTTTAAGTTTTGAGTTAAGCACAGATTCTGAATGAGGAGACCATGAGGATTGCAATGGTAAGGTTCATTTTAATGTATCTATCCCCTTTATTGAGATTATCAGTGCACTTTTAGGTTATCTGCATATTCTGAAATAAAAATCTGGAGTACACTTAGTTTATCTAATTATACATTCTTCATCCAATCAAAATGCACAAATAAGGTCACATGCTCAAGATGGTTTGCAGATACACTAAAGGTTCACTAAATTGTGGCATTCAATATATACATTATTTTCATTGTAGAGCTGCCTGCTTCCTACTTCATGGTTACAAGGGATAGTATTATCCTTTGTAAATAAATGGTGACAAACATTCATTTCAGGGTTGATAGACCTACCAAACAATGTTTTACTAAATAGCCTACAATAATTTAATTGGTTAGACTTATGCCTCTGTAAAGTACATTTGACGTTCCATAAACTAGTTCACAGCACAAGCAGTTTTTGGAAGATATTTCCTGGAATAAACATCAATATGGCACATGAACTATGCAATTCTGAAACACAGCATTGCTCTTCAAGACTTCATTATGCCATGCCATAGTCCATAATACATTGCCAGGAAATTTTGAAATGTGCAATTCCTTCGTAGTGCCAGACTGAAAAATTTAAAATGTTCTTCAGTATAACAGAGATTTCAATATCATGTTACAAATATACTGAAACAAAAGAAATCAGATATACATGTAAGAAAGAAGACACACACAAGAAATATCTAAGCACTAGTGCCAAGGGAAAGGAGCAAAAGTTGTAATGGAACTTAGCAAGAAAAAGCAAACTCTAAGTGCATACATATACCAGTCTAGAGAAACAAACCCCATATAGCCCAAACCATGATTTAAGGTGAAAAGAAACAATGTCTAATACCCCCTTTCCCCCACCGTTCGAGAACCGATATCACAATCCTAGACCAGAACATCAAGGGACATTTAATTCATACTGGAGTCATTACAATACATGTTGAAGAAAAAATTAGAAATTGATAGCCAATACTCATGACCTCAAAAATAGTTGTAGATACGCAAGTACTCATACAAGATAGAGCATTCAGTCTCAAATGATGTGTGGTAGATAAAATCCAGTCTCCAAGTCCATAGGCGTTTCAAAGGGTCAACATCCATTCACAAAAGCCGTCGCCATAATCAATAAAACACAATAATTCACAATGGTCATCAGGAGAAAACTATGGCTGGTTTCGATCCTTATTTCTCAACCATTAATGCCATAGCCGGGATCCACCTCAAATTTAGACGAGCAGGTGTTTTATCAACGAATACAGACCGCAGGGCTAAGCACAAACTTTTTCTTCTGAACGACCAAAGGGAGTGATGGGTTCGAAGGCTTTTGTGCCCAGCCCTAAAGTCTGTATTCGTCAATATAACACCTGTTCTGAGGTCTATATTAGGATTATAGTTAAGTTGTTAACATACAGTTGTCAAGGGATGTCCCGCAGAAAGGGATTGAAGCACTGAATCTAAAGTCAATACCAGAGAAAAGATATTGCATTATTGATCATTGAGAAGAGTGACTTGTAGTTAAGACAATCATTTATTTTAATACTTTGAGTTGTTTGAAATGCCACAAAGGATCTGAAGGCAAATGAAGACAGTGGTGCTATAGTTGTGATTGTAAACAAACATTTATTTTAATACTTTTAAATTGTTTGAAATGCCACAGATGCTGATTTCAAAAGATTTCAAAAAGTTTTCTCAAATCTGACTATGTGTAACATTATGTTCCAATGAAATTTATACGCATGTGCGCACAGTCACATTAGTAAAAATCAGATCTTAACGATGTCGCTACGAAACATTATTTACTCTGTAAACAGTAATTTACATGAGTTTTATGTCAATAATCTTTCTCCATTATACATCTTTGCACAAAAACAAACACAACATAGCTAATATATAAATTTGCCATCATGGAACCCTAACTCCAATGAGTTAAATCATATAGTATGCAAATACCCTAAAGTAGAACTGACAAAATCGAGGATTTTTGTGAGCGAATTTGGTGTATCTGCATTTTTAATCTTTTAAAAAAGCAACATGGCAACCTTGAAAATTACTCAGAAAAAGCATACATAATCAGAGGATCATTTCTACAACCTATGTAAATTTCCAATATATTTGGTTCAAAATAGAGGGTACATCTATGAGCTTAAATGTTTAACTTCTCATATCTCAAAATAAGGAAATGTGTAGATACATCAATAGTGAACTGAGCTGACGAAATATAAATCTGTGCAGTTCCTTTTGAACATTTAGTCTCCACCTTTTTTGTGGACTGGTGGTTGGTGTCCAGGGGTTGGTGCCTGTAACAAATGGCAGGTGGTGACATTTTGTATGTCAATGTCTTGTTTTCACTCTTTTAGCATTTACTCATTTCAAGTGGAAAACCTCTCTAAGTGGAACACTTTTCCATATCCCTATACCATTAACTTTATATAAAGTGAACCTCCATAGGTTGAACACCTTTAATGTTGAACACTATTTGAGTTACAAACGGTGTTCCACTTATACACATTTTACTGTACCACTTTGGAAGAGTTCCACTTATAGAGATTCATCTAACATTAAGTCAGTTGGTCTTGGTAAGATCTAATACCTCTAGATATTCCACCTCTAGAGGTATTCCACTTATACAGGTTCTACAGGTTCTACTGTACTTAGATGTACCTTTCTATTATGTACTTTCTAGATTCAAAAGAACCGAAGCTGTGGTCCACAATAACTGCCATAACTGCTGATTTATACAACGCTCAAGTCACTGTTGCCTTCAGTGGTGTTCCACACGCCAGTTTTACTTTTAGACATTACCAAGTTATGTTACAACATGAGAGTCATCCTCATGCTGCCATGGTGAACAAAGTAAGTATATTTAAGCATTTTGGAAAGTCTCATTCAAACTGTAGGTTGAAAATAGAATGAGAAAGGAGTAATCTAACTAGAAATTAAATGAGATTAAAGTGGGAGTATCGATTGCCAAGTCGTATCCAATGATCCTGGGCCTATCGTAAAATGAAAGCTTTGAATATGTTGTTGCCTTTAAAAATGTATCTATTTTCCATGTATGCTACTAGAATTTGTGCACATACCTTATAACGATCGATAATGGCAAAGGAAAATCCTCTAATTCTTCGTCATAATTTCTCCTTCGACTTCCGCCATTTTTTATTAAACCGGAAGTTTTTCTCTGACGTCCGCGCAATGTTTTTTCACTTTTATTTCAGATTACGCTTCGGATTCAACATTTAATGCTTTCTAATATTAATTAAGTGTTTTCTATCAGAAAGATTTCATAAAAAGACTCACACTATCAGAGATTTTATCGATTCGAGCAGCCAGAAAAATTAGTTTCAATTTCACCCGCTAGGTGTTTCGACGTCGACTTGGAAAGAATTTGAAAAATCTATGAGTGGGACTCCTTGTATGGAATTGTAGATTCTAAACGATTTGCCAGTTCTACTGGTTGATGAATATTGCCATATGCATACATTTTTATAAAATAGGAATAAGGAAGAAGATGTTGGACCAAACTTCACCCCGATAGCTCAGAAAAGGTAAAATTTCTCCATTTTTCTCTCCACAGACCTTAGAGCCGCTTTAAGATGTTCTTATTTGTGTCCTTTTGTTTTACAATGCAAGGATTGCAAATAATTAAAAACAGGCAAAATAATTTAAAAAACAGGCAGAATTATTGTGTCACCACCACAAGTGATGATATAGTCTCCAGAGTTCGGCATTTGGCAGATGGGGTCTGTAACAAATGACAGTTGGTGACATTTGTTCTAGATAATGCCTTGTTGGTAATTTTGACTTAGCATTGTAAATTTTGCAAAATTCCTCAAAATGATAGATGATTTGAGTAAAAAGAACTGATGATCGAGAAAATGATCTGAGGCCTGCGCTGCTAATGAACCTCCTGCAAAGTGATTTTTACTTTTAATGGAACAGAATTTGGAAATAATCAGTGAAAATGATCTCAGCTCTTACTCACATTGTTTACAGAATTCTTATGCTTATTTCAGGATGCAGCTTCAACATATCATACATTTTTAAATCTGGATATTGGAATATATAGTGCAAAGGTGAGGTTTGAAGATTGAAATTTTACCTTTTTTGTTATTTGACCTCCTTAGAATTTCTTATCGGAAATTGTAATTATCTTAACATGGAGACAGTTCCTAAAATAATTAATAATATTGCATGCTTTATATTGCATGTTTGTAATGAAGCTATTGCAAGTCTGTCAATTCAACCTGATTTTGCTGTGCCAGTTTTACTCAATTCACATTTCAAACAATGGTTGTCATGTTTTTTAGAGAATGAAATCTTTATGAAATATGTCAATAGCCACATGCTGATATTTTTCTCGCAAACTTTGAACATTTCAGATCAAGTTAGTTGGAGCGTCATGCGGACTTGATTGTCCTGAGATACAAACTGGCCAGATCAATTTAGAAAGTAAGATTTTATATGAGCTTTGTTTTATAAGTTTTTGAGTTTTGTATTGTTGGGAACATTATTAACAATGAAATTCATCCTATAAAAACTCAGGACATTACAAAAAAAAATTTATTGGATCAACATTAACTTGTCAGTAATGTGTATGCATGTAGAGAGATGAGATCAATTAATTGTAAAAATCATTTATTTTAAATTGATTCAATTGAAATAATTATCTATATCATAACTTTTCAGAATCAATACATTTGAATGATGGTGTCACAGATTCAGACCATGGTGTCACTAAAGATAATGGCGGTGATGTCACTACTGAATCAACAACATTGCCATCAACTGGGGGAAAAACAACCCCCACAACCACAGATGGTATGTTTAAATGTTATTTCTAGAGAAGCTTTTTCTTTTTATTTTCTGTTTTGAATATTTTGTGAGCCAATTGTCATTTAATCTTTCAGGACAATAGCTTTTTTTGTCATAGAACTTGAGTGTTGGTTCTATTACTACGACATGTTTTCTTATATCTGTTCTTAGACATGTCCATGTAATATATAAGGGTTGTGTACTGGGAGGGTTTAGATATAGGGTTTATCCCAAGGGAAATATGTGTATCTCACCAGGGACCGCAGGGACCGAGAGAGATACACATATTTCCCGCGGGATAAACACTGTATCCAAAACTGACCGTACATAACTGGTGTATCTCATACTTGAGTGGGTTCGGGGTAGATATAACCTTTACCACCTTTTTCAAATGACAAGATAGGCCTATACTGTAAAAGCACAATTTATATTTAACATTTTCATAATATTCCTTCAGCTCAATACAATAGAATTGTAACATTTAAACCTTTTGAAAAATTTTAAACTTCTGAAATTTAAGTTTTCAACTTTTTTCAACTTTTGAAAAAATTCCCAGGAGTGGGATGGATATATTATATCTGCCCGCATTTGGCCTAGAGCGGGACATATACAATATATCCTGCCCGCTCCTCAGATATGATATATATTCCCGGGTGATATCTACCCCAAACCCACTCAAGTATGAAATACAACCAGATATTTGATGGTGAGGTCACAAGCTCACATGTCTTCAGAAATTAATTGTTACAAGCAAGACGTTATCTCCTTTCTGTAGTCTCAAAACCATATGATTCAGAGCTGGTAGTGTATTAAGAAAGAAAACGATGTTGTACTGTATTATTGAACTGTTATTAAATAAATCTGGAATTGTAAACTAGCATGTTGAATTATTGTATTTTCACTGTTTTTCACTGTACTATATTGTATTTTCAGGTGCCGGTAAGCCTATAGTGGAGCCCTCCCCAGAACAGGAAGAGTATGAAAAACAGAAGAAGATTGTTGGAGGCACTGTGGGGGGTGTTGTTGGGGCAGCTATCCTCGTGGGAGTTGCTGTGTATTTATACAAAAGGAACCATAGGCCACCTGAAGGTAAGTGTAAAGGGACGAGGGTGTATGTCTTCCAAACACAAAGCAAAACAAGATATTCTGGATTTTAGAGCTCTGTCGCGGAGGTTGCTAGATAGAATAAAGGCTGGAGATGGACAGCTTGTAATGTTCAATCAGATTTTATTAACGTTTCAACTTTGTTTAAATATTTCTTTTTTACTTGGTTTTGAATGGAGTGTAGTTATCAAAAATAAGAATTAATTGATAGTATCTTAATTATATTTTGATTCTCATTTTTGTGTATTTCAGATTTCCAAATGCGGAGATTTAGTGAGGGTAGAGACAGTAATAGTTCACTGACTATGGGTAAGAAATTCCTCCATTTTTCACAAAACTGAACAAACCTCCACTGATACACACACTTGTATATTTAACTTCAAAGCTTGAAAATTTGATTCAGAATAAGTTCATATAACTAGTTCATACATTTAACTCATTCATATTTCACAAATTTTATGGCAATAGCAATTTTAAAAGATATTCTTTAGATTTCTGTCAATACAAAAAACAGTTGCAGCATAAACCAAAATATAGTTATTATTTCAAGAAAAATGACTCACTATTTTTCCAGAACAAGCATTCAAGGCCCAAGCAACAGTTCTCATATTGTACTCCTATGACTGTATTGAACATGAGAAAGTTGTTTGTGCATTTGCAAACTACCTGAAAGCTGTTGGGGGATGTGAAGTGCACCTTGATATTTGGGCCCAAAATGAGGTCCAAGAACAAGGATTCTATTGGTTGACAGACAAAATCGACAAAGTGGATTTCGTCATCATGGTTTGTTCAACGGGTGCACGATACAAGTGTTCTCGTAACAGGAAATCACAAAAAATCAAACAGGAACAGCCATTTCCTGATATGTTTGCCTCTGCTGTGGAGCATGTCGCAGAAAAGATGCGTCTCATTCGAAATGAGGGTGATTCCCTTGAACAGTTTATTGTGGTGTATTTTGAGTATTCTACCGAAAGTGATATCCCGCATAAGTTAGAGCTTGCGAATCGATATAAAATGGTGGGCGATATTTTCACTCTGTACTGCCATCTACATGGGGTGAAGGTTGAATCGGCCAAGAGTATCCCAAATAATACAGGAATCCTAAAAGAGAATTATCACCAAACACAAACAGGTCAAGAACTTAAATTTGCAATAGAGGACGCTGCAGTATACTTTAAAAACAATCCTGATTGGTTAGGAGAGAAACTCGAGTCATTACAAAATGATCCAATTGAAACATCATCCACTAGTGAAACCAGTGATAAAAACAATGTGAATTCAGGTGTTCAGAATGGAAAAAATGAGGATGTCGTGCCATCACTGGATGACGATATAAATCCACTTGAAAAATCATCACGGGAGCGCCATCTACATCGTTCACATAAAGATTCTGAGAGATTATCGAGGGAGAGAACTCCTGTGTTATCACGTGAAAGGACTCCTGATTCTATCAAGGAGACAGACAGTTGGGGAAGCACTGTTTCCCTTGTGAAAATCAATATTGATGAGTTGCCCAATAGTCCCAGTATGTTGCGCTCCCCTGGAGGGTCCAGTCAAGGAACTATGTCTCCCAAGGGTGGGGCTAAAGATGAAGGAATTGTAAATCCATTATTCAACATACAAGATGAGGATTTAGATGACCAGCAACTTCAGAGAGACCTCGATTTTATACAGAACAACAAACCATTCCAGGTTACGAGCCAATCAAATCCCAGCTGGTTAGTTGCCCAACCTAGCCATGACACACCCCAAAGAGGATTCAGTGATCCTTGGCTAGGTCCCAGTTGCACTCTCCCCCCACTTATTCCCACGTTACCCCGTCCAGTGGACCAGGGGGATGTCAGTCTGGATTTATTGCCTTTGAATTTTTTACAAGGGGGTACACCTGACTCTAAGTCAGGTCTTCCACTTCATGTCAGTATGTAAAGATGTCAGCATGTAGAGATGTCAGGATTATGGTCAGTTGTATTTCCAAGTTTGAAATACCGATGTATACTTAAGTTGTATAGATTTTGTGCAGTAAATATGATATGAAAGTAATATCATGTGTTTTAAAAATGTAATACTTACATGTATATCTACATACAGTGTTGCATTCACTAATTTCAATGATTCGAACTATTTTGGATCACTTTACCAGCATCCAAAAGTATTTTGAACAGATTGGATTTTTTTCTTGAAATCGACTGTAAACATTGTTCATTATTCATTAATTTTCTTTTGATTTCCTGTGAAAATCCATTTGTTTCAAGGTTCATGTTTGATGCTGTATATATACGCAACTTTCATATTTTTATGAAGTTGATATTCATGAAAAAGGTGGTCGTTATTTTCACAGATTCATCGTTATATATAAGAGGTCAATATGAAACATAATCAATTTAATTACAATATATCAATTTATTGTATTTAAACTGTCTACCCTCCTCATCTTCCATAGTGTTCTATTAATAGCTGGCCTATTTCACTATTTTAACAATTCATAATGTATTTTAGAAGGCTTATTTCTAACAGTAATTTGTGTAATACATAAATGTGCATGTATAATTGAATTCATACATGTTATTTGAAATGAATACTGTGCTCAATGAAAATATGATTTGTTGATTGCGATTAAGGTAGTTCTGTTTTCAGAAATTTTTAGTTTTTAAATTTGTGGAAATGCCATTTCAACAATTTTCATAGTTCTTATGTCACCGCCATAAGTGGTGACATATTGTTATAGTCTCCAACTTTTTTATGTGGGCAGTTGGTATTCAGTAGTTTATGTTTGGAGTTTGGCATCTGTAACAAATGGCAGGTGGTGACATTTTGCATGTTAATGCCTTGGATGAAAATGTATTCTACCAGAACTTGTCATTATCTACATGAAATTTTGAAAAAATATACCATTAATTCTTGGTAATTGCAATGATGAAAATTCCCATTGTGCACTTCTAGCCTGCACATAAATCTGATCTTTTTCTTTATTATGAATTTTTGTTAACATAGGGGTAAAAAATGTGATGCAGCCCTTTTCTACCAAGACTGTCTTAAAAACACTATTGTCATATACAGACTATATTTGTGTAGTAAACAGCAAATATGTCAGTAGTTTTATTATTTTCATGTTTTAAATATGGAATCATGGGAGTAATCCTGCATCGTAAATTTTAGTTGAGATTTCTTGGATTTTTAACGACTTATACCAACCACTGTCAGTCAATTATTCATGGGGCAACTGAGATGCCCCATGGAGTGGGTGTTGCTCCATTTTAGAGCCTTCATTTTAACTTTTTCTTTAAAAACTCCATCTAAAGGAACTAGAAGAGAAAGAGTTCAGTTGAAAATAGGTCTCAAAAGATTGTCACAATTATACAATATTTATCCTTTCATTATTACATCCCATTTTCTAAAAAGTTAAATGTTCTCCAATTAATTCAGGTTATTTCTTTGATTTAATCTACTGGTCATCTCCCTTAAATTAGGGCATTTCTACATTTTAAATATATAATATTTTATAAATAAATATATATTATCTATATCTTCTGTATTTGATTAGATATCGCAATTCATTCTTCAGAAAATAAGATTACAATTGTAAAGAAAGCTTTTTGAAACTTCTAACATTTTGTACTCTCTATTTCTTCTTATTCCTTTAATATTTTGTGGAGTATTAATGATATTGAATTATTAAAGGGACGGATTTATCTGTAAATTCTCAGGTATTCAGCTTATAGTGATCAGATTTGATGTTGGTGTTGGAGGTTATGTTGGAGGTTATGTCTCTTTGGGATATGTACCTGAGGGCATCATGCAATCTCCAAGCATTACATTTATTATGATCTTGCCTCTCTGCAGACCCCTGATTCACAATAACAGAAACTAGTGATCTATCCAGTAATAGAACAATTGTATGCTATACACTGTTTGAGATTCCCTACCACCCCAATGAAAATCTATTTATACCCTGTAACAAAATCTGGGAGAGTTCATCGAAGTTTCTACCATTTTCAGTATTTTTGTATCAAATATAACTAGATTTGTGAAATTGAACAAGTTCAATTTAAGACTCCAGATTTATTTGACCTAGATAGATCAGTAAAGAGCTGAGTAAGTAACTGAGTAATTAGCTGAGTAAGTACCTTAGTAGTAGTTGAGTAAGTAGCTGAGTAAGTAACTGAGTAAAAAGCTGAGTAGGTAGCTGAGTAAGTAGCTGAGTAAGTACCTGAGTTAGTAGCTGAGTAAGTTGCAAAGGAAGTAATAACTAATTAAGTAATTGAGTAAGTAGTCAAATAAGTAGCTGAGTAGGTAGAGAGGTAAAGTAGGGTATGTAGGAATTTTTGAAAGTATATTTGATCAATCTGCATCGTGAATACTGGCAAGTGCGAATTTCAAACTTCAAAATGGCGTAGAATCTAAACCGGGGGTCGGATTGCAATTTTAATTTCAGATCCAGATTCCTGGGGAAATTCTACCCCTAATTCATAACTCATACTTTAAAATTGGAGAACTTTTTATTTTGACCTACATTTCGGACACCATATCTCAAAAGTGGGTCAAAAAACTTATTGACGGCAAAATGTTAACATTATTAGCACACTCTTTGCTACAAGTTTACAAAATTTCGGAGAATATCATTAAAGTGTAGTGTCAGAATCGCAAAATAAAAAAAACTATGAATTTGACCTAGATTTTGAACTAGGTATTTTGGTGTCCAAACTTTGAAGGAAAGTAGCTTTTGAGGTCCCCTTCTTCTATGGGCTTTCATTATGTTGAGCTGTACTCATTCTATATCTCGTATTTTTATACTTCAAAGAATTATTCGGTCCCATTGATTTAACATGGGGCACCAAATTTAGCGATTTTTGAGATTTCAAAACGCCATAACTTCAGAACAAGTAGTCGGATCGAAATTTAGTTTGCAGATCTAGATTTCTGAGAAAATTCTGCCCTTAATTCATAACTCATACGTTAAATTTGGAAAACTTTTAACTTTGGCCTACTTTTCGGACACCGTATCTCAAAAGTGGGTCAAAATACTTTTCTTTGCCACCTGTATACAAAATTTTAAAGCAAATCATTTAAATATAGTGTCAGAATCGCAAAAATAAGGGAAAACTATAAATTTGACCTAGATTTTGACCTAGGCATTTTGGTGTCCAAATTTTGGAGCTAAGTAGCCTTCAAGGTCCCCTTCTTTAATAGGCTTTCATTATATTAAGCTGTACTCAGTCTATATCTCGTATTTTACACTTCAAAAAAATCTTTTTTCCCATTGACATAACATGGGGCACCAAATTTAGCGATTTTTGAGCTATCAAAACGACATAAATTCCAAACCAAAAGTCGGATTGAAATTTGGTTTGCAGATTCGGATTCCTGATAAAATTCTACCCTTAATTCATAACTCATACGTTAAATTTGGAGAACTTTTTAGTTTGACCTACTTTTCGGACACCATATCTCAAAAGTGGGTCAAAATACTTTCTGACGGCAAAAGGCTAACACTATTAGCACACTCTTGGCTACATGTATACAAATTTTCGAAGAATATAAATAATCTGTAGTGTCAGAATCGCAAAATTAAGGAAAAACTTTGAATTTGACCTAGATTTTGACCTAGGCATTTTGGTGTCCAAATTTTTATGAAAAGAAGGTCTTGTGGTCCTTTTCTTTTATGGGCTTCCATTATGTTTAGCTGTGCTTAGTCTATATCTCGTATTTTACACTTCAAAAAAATATTTTTTCCCTTTGAATTAACATGGGGCACCAAATTTAGCGATTTTTGAATTTTCAAAACGCCATAACTTCTGAACCGGAAGTCAGATCGAAATTTGGTTTTCAGATTCGGAATCCTGAGATAATTTTCTATAAGACTGATATCCTGGACATTGGATTCGGTGAAATCTTTTTTGGACCTCGTTTTCGGACACTGATATCTCGAAATCGGTTTGAGATACTAAAAAACTAAATCGACCCTAGGTTTTCTACTTTTTTATGAGGAACACAATGAAAAAAACCAGGATCAAAAATATTGAAGGACGACCGAGATAATGGGAAAAAGTGACAAAGTACTGGATTTGACCTAGTTCTTGACCTTTGACCTAGATAAAAATTTGACCTAATTTCCCATCATCCCAGATACATTCCCTAGTTAATCATGTAAGCAGCTTAAAGTAAGCTCTTCTAGTTGGTGAGAAATCTGGGAAGGAGGAAGAGGAAGAATAATAATAATAAAGAAAACTGGCAAAAGCAATAGACTCCAGATTTTCATCTGGAGTCTAATAATAATAATAAAGAAAACTGACGAAAGCAATAGACTCCAGATTTTCATCTGGAGTCTAATAATAATAAAGAAAACTGACGAAAGCAATAGACTCCAGATTTTCATCTGGAGTCTAATAATAAAGAAAACTGACGAAAGCAATAGACTCCAGATTTTCATCTGGAGTCTAATAATAAAGAAAACAGGCAAAAACAATAGACTCCAGATTTTCAATCTGGAGTCTAATAATAGGATTTGCCCATACGCGTATAGAGGCTAATGGCTCTACGGGCGCTCTGAGGGCCTATAATGGTCGATTAAAGGTCGGGGAATCTAGGGAGGTAGTTGGGGAGAATGCCTGGCTCGTGCTTCGCGGATCCGTCGAGGTCAAAAAATAGTCCTTCAAAAAATAGGCCTTCCAGACGTCTATATAGAGCTTTCGACGTAGATTCGAGCAGCGTACGTGTCGTTCTACATTCCGCAATCGTTAGTTTGACGAAGGGAATCGTTGTTTTAGAAATGCTCTAGTCATCGTTCGGGCCTATTTTCTTTCAAATGTCTGTTGTTCGCAGAGATACGTATACCAAGTGTATACCAGGTGTCGTCTAGATATACGGCAACGGTGGCCCGTACGCGAACTTCAAACGCGTATATCTCGATAACTAATGGTCGGATTGAAATTTGGTTCACTGTTTTTTTAATGCTCGGAAAACTGTCTTTCCGACCAGCTAGTTTTCCTCCGATTCTGACTTCTTAAGGAGGCTCGAGAGGCCAAAATAGCGGAAATGCAGATTTCGACCTAGATTTCGACCTTTGACCCAGATGAGGATTTGACCTAATTTCCCATCAACCACGCCTAGCCCCCTAACAACGTGTATGAGTAGATTTATCCAAATATCTCTCGTTGGCGAGAACGTGTGTGAGGAGGATTTTTGCTTTTTGCAAATACGAAAGCAAAAATCACTAGATTTGTGAAATTGAACAAGTTCAATTTAAGACTCCAGATTTATTTTACCTAGATAGATCAGTAAAGAGCTGAGTAAGTAACTGAGTAGGAAGCTGAGTAAGTAGCTGATTAAGTAATTGAGTAAGTAGCCGAGTAGCTAGCTGAGTTTGCAGCTGAGTAGGTAGCTGAGTAAGTAGCTGAGTATATGCTGAATAGGTAGCTGAGTAGGTAACTAAGTAAGTTTTGACTTATTAAGTAATTGAGTAAGTAGTCGATAAGTAGCTGAGTAGGTAGGGAGGTAGAGTAGGGTATGTAGGAATTTTTGAAAGTATATTTGATCAATCTGCATCGTGAATACTGGCAAGTGCGAATTTCAAACTTTAAAATAGCGTAGAATCTTAACCGGGGGTCGGATTGCAATTTTAATTTCAGATACGGATTCCTGAGAAAATTCTACCCTTGATTCATAACTCATACGTTCAATTTGGAGAGCCTTTTATTTTGACCTACTTTTCGGACACCACATCTC